GATAATAAATTATTATTTATTAAATACAGCAGCGCCTGAGCTCTGCGAGTGCAGCATTTTTCCGTGCAAATTTGGGATTTCTTTTACATTACAGTGGCCCCTGGTATCCACTGGGGTTTGCTTCCAATTATTATTATTATTATTATTATTATTATTATTATATTGAGTATTTGTGCCAAGTTTGGTCCAGATCCACCATTGCGTGAGTTCACAGTGCTCTCTGGATATAGGTGAACTACAACTCCCAAACTCAAGGTCAATGCCCATCAAACCCTTCCAGTGTTTTCCATTGGTCATGGGAGCCAAGTTTGGTTCAAATCCATCGCTGGTGGAGTTCAGAATGCTCTTTGATTATAAGTGAACTATAAATCCCAGCAATTACAACTCCCAAATTACAAAATCAATCCTCCCCCAACCCCACTAGCATTCACATTTGGGTGTATTGGGTATTTGTGCCCAGTTTGGTCCAGTGAATGAAAATGCATCCTGCATATCAGATATTTACATTATGATTTATAACAGTAGTAAAATGACTGTTATGAAGTAGCAACGAAAACAATATTATGGTTGGGGGTCACCACAACATGAGGGTCTGTATTAAGGGGTCACGGCATTAGGAAGGTTGAGAAACACTGGTTTAAATATTTAAAACATTCAAAGGAGATTGCAAGATATATTCCACCCTCCCCGCAATGAAAATAGATGCTGTCCCATACCATTCCCACACATAGTGAGCAGTAGCTGAGTTTCTCATTTTTGCGGTAAATCTCTCGGAGGGCCCGGTTTTGGGCACATTTGTCGCATGGGCCAAACACATTGGCCAAAAAAGTCTGGTCACACATCTTTGCGAAGTGCTGGAGCTGGAAGAGAGAGAGGGAGAGAGAGAAAAGAGAATGAAAGCAGGTGGATGCTAGACGTGAGGCACAAAGCTTTTGCATTTTAAACAGCACCAGCACTAACAATTTAAAGGTCCAGCAAATTGTTATTTGCTTCGTTGTGTTTTAACTGTCAAGGATGTGAAGGACTACTTGCAGTTCTGCAAAAATAACATAACCAGCTTGAGGTTAAAATTACACCCCAGGTGAAAAATGTCTTGACCTAGCGCTGCCTTTCAAGCGTCTTAAAGAATCTGCAACTCCTGCAGGCAGGGTAAACGCCGCTCTTTGAATGCAGGAAAATTCTGAATTCCTGCCACTTGTGTTCAAGATGCCTAAAGACAACCGCCAATTATGGTACAATTGATTATTACAACTTTGTTGTTTGTTGCCTTCACGTAGTTCCAGCTCACGGCTTCCCTAAGGTAACCATTTCAGAGTTTTCTGGCAAGCTTTGTTCAGAGGAAGTTTGCCATCTCTGAGGCTAAAAGAAGCCAAAAGGCCCAGGAGCAGAGAGTGGGTTTCAGTGGCCAAGAAGGGATTCAAACCGTGGTCTCCCACAGACTTAGAACTAACGCAATATGAACTATGAGGATTATCCAGAAAGTTTAAATAAATCCAGAAAGGATTTTTTTAAAATATAAAGAATGAATGTATTCTAATAACACTTACATAGATTGTAGTCTAGGTATTACATTATTTTCCCACATAATCACCATTCAGTTCAATATATTTTGTCTTTTGTGGGATGAGTTTTTGATGCCTGTGTCACAGAAGTTTCCCTCCACATTTTTCAGCCAGTTCGTCACTTCGATTTTCACTTCCTCGGCATCGGAAAAGTGTTTTCCACCACGCTGTTCCTTCAATTTAGTGAACAGACTCACTGGGTGTGAGATCAGGGTGGCTTAAAACATCCCAACCAAACGAAGTCAACAACTCTTGTGTTGCATGAGCCGTGTGCGGACGGGCATTGTCATAACTCCCACTGGCAGCATCCCACGGCATTTGTTTTGGACGGCTCTGTGAATTTTCATCATGGTCTCACAATATATTCCGTACCCATTTTCTCCCATGCTGTCTTGACATTACGTCCTCTCCATAAACTGAAATGATTTTGCGATGCATCACAGCTGCGTTTATGCCCTTAGCTTTTAGGTATTACAGCGCAAACTTCGCACTTGGAGGGAAATGGAACGAGGACGCTAATCTCTAACCTTTACCACAAAGTTAGTCGATGAGCTACTGACAACTGTCACTGCTCGTTCTCTTCCGCTGGCTTCCCACTACACAGCAGTGATACCAATTTCCCCCAAGAAAATTCCCCATGAGGATTAACGTGCCTTGTAACCTTACTTTCCGGATAACATTCAAACTTTGAAGGCCATGTTTAAATGCACTTGGAGGGAAACAGAATGAGAATGCTCATCTCTAACCTTTACCACAATGTCAGTCATTGAGCTACTGACGACTGGCACTGCTTGTTCTCTTCCGCTGGCTTCCCGCTATACCAATTTCCCCCAAGAAAATTCCCCATGGAGTTAACATGCCTTGTAATCTTACTTTCCAGATAACCCTCGTACTTTAAAGGCCGTGTTTCAATGTACTTGGAGAGAAACAGAATGAGGATGCTCATCTCTAACCTTTACCACAATGCCAGTCATTGTGCTACTGACGACTGGCACCACTCGTTCTCTTCCGCTGGCTTCCCACTACGTGGCAGTGATACCAACTTCCCACAAGAAAATTCCTCATGAGAGCTAATGTGCCTTGTAACCTTACTTTCCGGATAACACTCATACTTTAAAGGCCGTGTTTAAATGCACTTGGAGGGAAACGGAATGAGGATGCTCATCTCTAACCTTTACCACAACGTCAGTCGATGAGCTACTGACAACTGGCACTGCTCGTTCTCTTCCGCTGGCTTCCCGCTATACCAATTTCCCCCAAGAAAATTCCCCATGGAGTTAACGTGCCTTGTAACCTTACTTTCCAGATAACACTCGTACTTTAAAGGCCATGTTTCGATGCAATGTAATCCTGGGAATTACAGTTTGGTGAGGCATAGCACTCTTTGGCAGAGAAGGATAAAGGCCTTGTAAAATGTAAACACATTGTTCTGTAGCATTTTTAAAACATTGCCTTTCTTACAAATTGGGTAATTGGTGGTGGTTTGGGGGGGCGGGTTGTAGGTTTTTTGGGCTGTATGGCTATGTTCTAGAAGCATTCTCTCCTGACATTACGCCTGCATCTGTGGCAGGCATCCTCAGAAGTTGTGAGATCTGAGTGGTTTTTTTCCCTTGCATGTAAATGCAGGTATAATTCACTTTGGGTGCTTAAAATATATTAATGGATATAAAATTATTTGAGTCTAAATGTAAATTCTTTGCACTACGTTTTATTTGGCAGATCAGGCTTCTAAGCAAAAAGGAAAAACAAATTAAATCCCACAAGTCTGTCCATCCCTGAGGCATATTGATAATCCCTGATCTTTGATCCAAAGAGCGTAAGTCATATCATAAGACTCCCAACGAGGAATAAGAATCTGATACTTCATTGTTGTTGTTCATTCGTTCACTCGTTTCCGACTCTTTGTGATCTCATGGACCATCCCAGGTCAGAGCTCCCTGTCGGCCATCACCAACCCCAGCTCTTTCAAGGTCAATCCAGTCACTTCAAGGATGCCATCCATCCATCTTGCCCTTGGTTGGCCCCTCTTCCTTTTTCCTTCCATTTTCCCCAGCGTCATAGTCTTCTCTAAGCTTTCCTTTCTTCTCATGATGTGGCCGAAGTACTTCATCTTGGCCTCTACTATCCTTCCCTCCAATGAGCAGTCAGGTTTTATTTCCTGAAGTATGGACTGGTTGGATCTTTTAGCGGTCCAAGGCACTCTCAGAACTTTCCTGGAGTACCACAGTTCAAAAGCATCTCTCTTCCTTCACTCAGTCTTCCTTATGGTCCAGCTCTCACATCCGTAGGTGACTATGGGAAATACTATTGCTTTCACTATGTGGATCTTCGTTGCCAGTGTGATGTCTCTACTCTTCACTATTTGGTCGAGATTGGTCCTTGCTCTCCTCCCAAGAAGTAAGTGTCTCCTGATTTCCTGGCTGCAGTCTGCGTCTGCACTCATCTTCCCACCTAGAAATACAAAGTCTGTTGCTGCCTCCACGTTTTCTCCCTCTATTTCCCAGTTGTCAATCATTCTTGTTGCCATAATCTTGTTTTGTTATGTTTAGCTGCAACCCAGCGTTTGCGCTTTCTTCTTTTGCCTTGATTAGAAGGCTCCTCAGCTCCTCCTTGCTTTCGGCCATCAAAGTGGTGTTATCTGCATATCTAAGGTTGCTAATGTTTCTTCCAGCAATTTTCACCCCAGCCTTGCCTTCGTCAAGCCCTGCACATCGCATGATGTCTTCTACATACAAGTTGAATAGGTTGGGGAAGAGTGGACAACCCTGCTGTGCATCTTTCCCAATCTTGAACCAGTCTGTTGTTCCGTGGTCAGTTCTTCCTGTTGCTACTTGGTCCTTATACAGATCCCTCAGGGGAGAGACAAGGTGATTTGGTATGCACATACCACCAAGAAGTTGCCTCAATGTATTATGATCCACACAGTCAAAGGCTTTAGAATAGTCAATGAAACAGAAATAGATGTTTTTCTGAAACTCCCTGCCTTTCTCCATTCTCCAGCATCTGGATATTGGCAATATCCTACAAAGCCCTGAATGGTTTGGGACCAGCCTACCTGCATGACCGTATCTCCGTCTACGAACTCACGCGTTCACTACGTTCATCTGGAGAGGCCCTGCTTATGATCCCGCCTGCGCCGCAAGCGTGCTTGGTGGGGACACGAGACAGGGCCTTTTCCGTGGTGGCCCCCCATCTCTGGAACACCCTCCCCAAAGATCTTAGACAGGCCCTAACATTGGCAGAAAGAACTTGAAGACCTGGCTGTTCCGATGTGCCTTCCCCAATTAGGAAATCTCCAATACCAAGTCCCAGAAGCACCTTATTAGAATTAAGATTGCCGCACACTGCACACTGCACTTGTTCTATAATCCTTACATATCACCTGTCACATCAGCACTTTTAATCCTGTACCCTTTACTCTGGCCCGGCCCAGTTTTATAGTGTCTTGATGTATTGTTTGTTGTTTTGTTGTTTTAATATTGCTTTAATTGTTTTTAATTTGCTTTAGGTGTTGTATTGTTATGTTGTGTTTTGAGGCCTTGGCCTTTGTAAGCCGCATCGAGTCCTTTGGGAGATGCTAGCGGGGTACAAATAAAGTTAATAATAATAATAATAATAATAATAATAATAATAATAATAATATGGTCTCTGGTTCCTCTGCCTTTTCTAAACCCAGCTTGTCCATCTGGCAACTCTCGCTCCATGTATTGCTTGAGTCTTCCTTGCAGGATCTTGAGCATTCCCTTCCAGGCATGAGAAACAAAAGCCACTATACGGAAGTTTGAGCATTCTTTAGCATTTCCCTTTGTTGGTACGGGGATAAAAGTTGATTCATCTGGGGAGGCCCTTCTTTTGCCCCTGCCAGCTTCACAAGCTCGTCTGGTAAGCACAAGGGAGAGAGCTTTCTCCTCTGCGGCCCCCTGACTTTGGAACTCACTAGCTAGAGAAATTAGGGAAGCCCCTACCCTAGAAACCTTTAAAAAGGACCTTAAAACCTGGCTCTTTGGAGTAGGTATACAATCCCAGACTACTGCTTAGCCTCAATGTTCTGTCATTGGTGTATGTGTCGTCCCCCCACCCCCCGTGGGAAAGCTTGATTCCACAACCCCTGCTATAATGAGCCTTCCTCCGCAAATAATCTGTCTCTTTTTTATCTTGCCTGAGTTTTAAAATAATAATAATAATAATAAAACTTCATTTGTACCCTGCTACCATCTCCCCAAGGGACTCGGTGCAGCTTACATGAGGCCAAGCCTGCAGTACATCAATAAAACGAAAGCAGTAACAAAATAATCAATACAAAACAGTAAAATAAATCTCAAAACAAAAATAAACAATAAACAATAACAATGAACAATAACATACAAGCATTTAAAAGTTTTAATTAGTCTCTCTTTTAATCATTACATGTAGCCCGTCCATTGTTATTGTGATTGAGTCTATTGTAATTTTATATTGTTATATATTTACATGTTTATTTTATTATGATGTTGTTGTTTACTGTTTGCATTTTTGGTTGTGTTTTGGTTTTATTTTATTGTAATTTGTTGTTCAGGCTTGGCCTCATTTAAGCCGCTCTGAGTCCCCACTAGAGAGACAGTGGTGGGGTCTAAATACAGTATTTTTCCGGCCCAAGATACCTATCCGACCGCATCTCGACCTACGAGCCCACCAGGACTTTGAGATCTTCCGGAGAGGCCCTGCTCTCGATCCCGCCTGCTTCACAAGCACGGCTGGCGGGGACGAGAGATAGGGCCTTCTCGGTGGTGGCTCCTCGGCTGTGGAACACCCTTCCTGTGGACATTAGACTGGCTTCTTCCCTGATGATATTCCACAGGAAATTAAAGACTTGGTTGTTCAAGAAGGCGTTCGAACAAGAAGTGCAATGATTGGTAATGACTATAGGAATGGAACAACGGAAAATGATATTGGATTGTGGTTTGGACGATGAGACAATGCTGAATGGTTTTCGTAGTAATGACAATGTTTTGTATAATGCTTTTTGTATAATGTTTTTGTATAATGGATTGTGAATTGTTTTTATACTGTGTTTTGAATTTTGTTCTTCCTATGTTGTACACTGCTGTGAGTCGCGGTATATAATCAAAGTAAATAAATAAATAAATAAATAAATAATAATAATAATAATAATTATTATTATTATTATTATTATATTTTTCCAGTCTGAAGGCCATACTTGTGTTTTCTATATTTGCTGGCTTATGGCATGCATCATCTTTCAGGATTTTAAACAGTTCATCTGGGATACTTCATTACACAAAATTCAAGAAAGCAGTCACTTTGTTACCTCGATCAAAGAAGACACAGCTCTGAGTTGTCAAAACCTCAGTAACAATTTATCTATAGTAAACATATTTTAAGTATTTATGCTAAATAATAAACAATATAACAATCATCTCAATATTTCTCTATGGCTTCTAGATATGTTTGATATTAATAGTATTTTAAATGCTCCTTACCTTCTTTTTTCAGAGCAAAGACTTCAAGATGCCAGGATGGCAAGCAACTGACCAGCTTCAACTGGACACATAAGAAGACAATCCTAATGCTGTGATAATCGGCTTAGACAGTCAGAAGGCACACGCCTGGGTTTTGTATTGCAACACCTTTCCTGCTGCTGGTTTATGGTTCCACAGAAGGGAATATTTTTTTTCTCAAGCCATGGAAGAAGCTGTCATGGGTGATAGAAAAAAGTTTTAGAGTTGTAGTTCACCTATCTCCAGAGAGCACCGCAGACTCACACAATGATGGATCTTGACCAAACTTGGCATGAATACTCCATATGCCCAAATGTGAGGACTGGTGGAGTTTGGGGAAAATAGACCTTGATATTTGGGAGTTGTAGTTTCTCTTGGTCCCAAGGTCAATGATAGAAAAAAATAATCCAGGAAGAGCAGTCCATAACATTGTGCCCAGTTTGAAGTTTGGGTATTGGCAGAAAAAAATTTAATGTAAAGATGGAGGATGCCTGGCTTGACAACAATATGTGTGGAAAAGATCTTGGAGTCCTCGTGGACAACAAGTTAAACATGAGCCAACAATGGGTTGTTGTAGGTTTTTTCGGGCTATATGGCCATGTTCTAGAGCAGTGTTTCTCAACCTGGGGGTCGGGACCCCTGGGGGGATCACAAGGGGGTATCAGAGGGCAGAGGCGGCCCTAGGTAATTTTCAACGGTAAGCAAACAGTATTTTGGCGCCCCCCCCCCCCAACCAATCACTGATATATATTTTCTGTTCATGTGTGCCATATTTGGTTCAATTCCATCATTGGTGGAAATCAGAATGCTCTTTGATTGTAGGTGAACTATACATCCCAGTAACTACAACTTGCATATGTCAAGGTCTATTTTCCCCCAAGAGCGCCTCAAGAGCGCCCCTGGGCAAAATCCAACTCCACTGCAAATGCTTACTTTGGTAATGGGTTGAGCCACCCCTGCAGAGGGGTCCCCAAAGACCATCAGAATATACAATATTTCCTGTTGGTCATGGGGTTCTGTGTGGGAAGTTTGGCCCAATTCTATCATTGGTGCGGTTCAGAATGCTCTTTGATTTTAGGTGAACTATAAATCCCAGCAACTACAACTCCCAAATGTCAAGGTCTATTTTCCCCAAACCCCACCAGAGTTCACATTTGCACATATTGAGTGTCTGTGCCAAGTTTGGTCCAGATCCATCATTGTTTGAGTCCACAGTGCTCTCTGGATTTAGGTGAACTACAACTCTAAAACTTAAGGTCAATGCCCACCAAGCCATTCTAGCATTTTCTGTTGGTCATGGGAGTTCTATGTGGCCAGGTCTGATTCCATTCCTTCGTTGGTGTTCAGAATGCTCTTTGATTGTAGGCGAACTATAGATCCCAGCAACTACAACTCCCAAATGACAACATCAATCTCCCCCAACCCCACCAGTATTCAAATTTGGTCCAGTGAACGAAAATCCATCCTGCATATCAGATATTTACATTACGATTCATAACAGTAGTGAAATTACAGTTATAAAGTAGCAACAAAAATAATGTTATGGTTGGGGGTCACCACAACATAAGAAACTGTATTAAGGGGTCGTGGCATTAGGAAGATTGAGAACCACTGTTCTAGAGGCATTCTCTCCTGAAGTTTCGCCTGCATCTATGGCAAGCATCCTCAGAGGTAGTCGAAGTCTGTTGGAACTAGGAAAATGGGTTTATATATCTGTGGAATGACCAGGGTGGGACAAAGAACTCTTGTCTGTTGGAGCTATATTAATAATAATCTTTATTTATACCCCGCCACCATCTCCCCGATGGGGACTCGGAGCGGCAGGGCCAGACAATTTTTTTGGGGAGGGTTGAAACTTTTTTTAGCAAATCATGAAGAGTAGTTCGATAACACAACAACAACATTTTTAATACAGTCCAAAGACCCTTATTGCACCGTAAAAGGTATAAGATACAAGGTATGCAAGGTTAGTAAGGCCAAAAATAGCCCAAACTGATTAAAACACATTATGTGGATGGAATTAACAGCAGATAAAACTGATAAAACAAGAATTAAAACTTATAACCAGCATTTAAGATAGCAATGACGTAGGTAAAAGACTACAAAGGCATGTTTCATCGGGCCATAACATAAAATACTTTAAATTATATGGTTTCAAGTATATTTCATGTAGCCTTCATTAAATCAAATTTCTATTTTAGTTAAAGTTTTGAGTCTTAAAATAACTGAAAATGATTTGCTAATCGATAATTTATAGTTACAAAAGAATACCACAGAGTTTGTTAGAAACACTTGAAAACTGTGTCAATTCACTTTGACAGAAATCAGGCTCTCTTGATTAACTTCGATGGACACTCAAGAGTGCAAGTCCAGTCCGTCTTTCTTGCCTCGTTGTGCTTCTTGTGTATGTTTTCAAACGTTTAAGGGTTGAAAACAACCTTTCATTTGTAGCTGTTGACACTGGCAATGTTGCGGAAATCTGAAGAAGTTTCTTCACATTCGGAAAACACTGTCCATCACAGACAAGATAAGATACGCTTCCAGTGCATTTGATGGTTTTTCTGCAGGTGCAATCTCATAGACTTAGCATGGGAATTTGGTTAACCAGTTAAAATTCATGAGCAAACCAGGGTTTTTTTTAACCTGAAAAATTATTTGGGGGGGGGGTTGAACCCCTAACCCACCCACCCCCGCCCCCATCCCCAGCTACAGGCCTGCAGCGCCAAGCCCGGACAACATATTACAACAAATAAAACCAGAGCATTAACAATAAACAACACCATCAAATTACATCAAGAAAAAAATTTATAAGTACAGTCATAAAATAACATTCCAATAGGCACAATCACAATAACAATGGGCGGGCCACATGTACAGGATAAAAACAATTCTAAGACTCTAATGAGATCAAAATAGGAGCACATTATCTGCAGGGAACTCGTAAAAACACACATAGTTGTGAAGCTAAACTTCCCATTTGGAGGGCGTGTATTCCAGTGGGAAGTGCGTTGAGGGGTGCAATGGTGTCATATTATGCACCTACTCGCCAAAGGCGCAGTGGAAGAGCCAGGTTTTAAGGTCCTTTTTGAACATTTCTAGAGAAGGGGCTTTCCTCATCTCTCCAGGTAATGAGTTCCAGGTAATGAGCTAGGTGTGAATGTTTCAACTGACCACCTTGATTAGCATTTGATGGCCTTGCAGTGCCAACAATGTCATGCAACAGTGAGCCAACAATGTCATGCAGCAACTGAAAAAGCCAATGGGGTTTTGGCCTACGTAAATAGGAGTCTAGATCCAGGGAAGTCACGCTACTCCTCTATTCTGCCTTGGTCAGACCACACCTGGAATATCACTGTGTCCAATTCTGGGCACCACAACTGACGGGAGATGTTGACAAGCTGGAATGTGTCCAGAGGAGGGTGACTAAAACGATCAAGGGTCTGGAGAACAAGCCCTATGAGGAGCGGCTTGAAGAGCTGGGCATGTTTAGCCTGAAGAAGAGAAGGCTGAGAGGAGACATGATGAGGACCATGTATAAATATGTGAGGGGAAGTCATAGGGAGGAGGGAGCAGATCAAGGGTCTGGAGAACAACCCATATGAGGAGTGGCTTAAAGAGCTGGGCATGTTTAGCCTGAAGAAGAGAAGGCTGAGAGGAGACGTGATGAGGGCCACGGATAAATATGTGAGGGGAAGTCATAGGGAGGAGGAAGAAGATTAAGGGTCTGGAGAACAAGCCCTATGAGGAGCGGCTTAAAAGCTGGGCATGTTTAGCCTGAAGAAGAGAAGGCCGAGAGGAGACATGATGAGGGCCATGTATCAAGATGTGTGAGGAAGTCATCGAGAGGAGGGAGTAGGCTTGTTTTCTGCTACCCTGAAGATTAGGATGCGGAATAATGGCTTCAAAGTACAGGACATAAAGGAGATTCCGCCTGAACATTAGGAGGAACTTCCTAACTGTGAGAGCTGTTCAGGAGTGGAACTCTCTGTCCCGGAGTGTAGTGGAGTCTCCTTCTTTGGAGACTTTGAAACAGAGACTGGATGACCATCTGTTGGGAGTGCTTTGAATGTGGTTTTCCTGCTTCTTGGCAGGAGGTTGGACTGGATGGCCCACGAGGTCTCTTCCAACTGTATGATTCTATGATTCTAAGTGGGAAGCTAGTTAATGTGGAAGGAAGAACCCTCTGAATTTAATCTGGGAGTATCATACTGTGTCCATTTTGTGTGTTTTTGAATGATACAAGAACAATGCCCCACCACCTTAGCAAATTCTCTTGTTTGAGAATGAAACATTATTATTATTATTATTATTATTATTTAGAACTTTTGTATCCTGTTTTTCTCTACCTCCAGATTCAGAATGGCTAACAGCAAGAATTCAATGCAAACAAAAAATAACTTTTAAAACATTAACCATAACAACATAGGTTAAAATACATATAAGATTAAATTACATATAAAACCATTTGCCAAGCTAAAAATATCATCCAACTCAGACCGCACATTGTGTTCAATAACTTTAGTCTTTACTGGTCTCCGTCGTCACTTTGTACATTCCTGATTCCAAAGCCAGGATTTCAATTGCTTCCTGAAGGACAGGAGGGAGGAGGCAGACCTAACTTCATTCGGGAAGAGTTCCATAGCTGGGGGGCCACCACAGAGAAGGCCCTGTCTCTCGTTCCCACCAGACGTGACTGCGAAGGTGGAGGGACCGAGAGCAGGGCCTCTTGGGAAGATCTTAATTATTGTTACCTATGTGACGATAATTTGACATGACATTACATGACATATATATTGTGGCACAGTTTAATAGCCATTTGTTTTTTCATGGACCATTTATTAAATATATCATACGACTTACTTTTAAATATATATATATACACAGTGATGCAGATGTACAAAAGAGTGATAACAAATATTACAAAGAAGGAAGGCATTCATCTTTCATTACTGAAAGCGTGAGAATCACCAAAGGCCCAGTGCCATAGTTTCAACACTGAGGACTCATCATCATCATCATCATCATCATAAAACTTTATTTATACCCCGCCACCATCTCCCCAAGGGACTCGGAGCGGTTTACATGAGGCCAAGCCCAACAACACATCAAAAACAACAAGCAGTAATAAAATAACAAGCAATAAACAAAATAAACAATACAATTAATATAACTCACAAGTAGACAATAAACACAAGAATTTAAAAACCTATGGCTGGGTCAAATGTAATAGTTAAAACTTTAAAAATAAATGCTGGACATGAAACACCAGTGAGACCCATTTTTTAAATGAAGGTGACGATTTATTAGTTTTGGATGCAAAAAAAAGAAAAAAGAAAAAAAAGAATGTGCAGTTCTTTACATCCAACAACCTGATCTCCAAATGTTTTTGCAGCATTAGTTCTTATGCTACCAAATGTTACTACACAGTGACATGGTTGTGTGATACTCCTTTACTCTCCAAGCACCGATTTCCTTCTTTCCTGCTATATTCTAGTGAGAAAGCCAAGTTTGAAACTGCTGGGGATCTGTATGGCTTCCAGAGCATGTGGCGAAAGGGTGAAAGGAAACGTCACTTGAAAGAGGTATTTCGTATCGAGCATCAATTGTGCCGAATTCTCTCTGTTGCTCAGCATGGCCTGGAATGAAAACAGAGGGAGAGGTGACTGAAGTAGCGCAAAGTAAAACTGCCAGGGTTGAAATATTATTTTTTATCTCAGGAAACACCACACACAAGAGTTTGTTGAATAAGACTGCAAACCAATACCCATACCTGCACCTTGCGAACAAAGGATGGAGCGACTCTTTTCTCAAAGTCATCAATGGGAGTGTAGGAGTTGAGAATTTTCACTATCTGTAGAAACGATTTAAATAAAATAATCAATGGGTGACATTTACAATTGCTACGACTTTAAAATAAACGTTGAAGCCATTGCAATCTGCCCCCAACAGCAGCAGAATTGGGGGGGGGGGATACTATAGAAAGCATTTGGCATTTGAAAGCGTTTGGCAGGGACGAGAGACAGGGCCTTCTCTGTGATTGCCCCTCGGCTATGGAACCCCCTTCCTAATGAGATCAGGTCAGCCCTCTCCCTCTTGTCCTTTAGAAGGATGATAAAAACGTGGCTGTGGGACCGAGCCTTTGGGATTGTGCAATGAGGCAATGATATGAACCCTTAGTATATTTGATATGGTTGTTGAGACAGTTTTAATGTCAAGATAAGTGAGTTTAATGCTTTTGTATGTGTATGGTCTAGTATGTTTCGGCATTGAATGTTTGCCATTTATATGTTGTGCTCTGCCCTAAGTCCCCTTCGGGGTGAGAAGGGCAGAATATAAATGCTTTAAATAAATAAATAAATAAATAAATAAATAAAGCAGGTGGTAAGGTAACAGGAAACTGAGGCTCCATCTACACTGCCAAATAAACCCGTTTTTAAGTGCATTATAATGGGCAGTGTAGACTCATATAATGCAGATATAAGCACACTGAACTACGTGTCCATGGGAGGCTCTCCTCTCAGTCCCACCTCCGTCTCAAACCCGGCTGGTGGGAATGAGAGAGAGGGCCTTCCCTGCAATTGCCTCCCACCTCTGGAACTCCCTTCCGAAGGAGATCAGAATGGCCCCATCGCTGGCCTCTTTTAAGAAGCAAATAAAAACTTTCCCGTGTACTCAGGCATATGGAGATGTGAATGTTTAAAGAATGGGCTTTATGAAATATTGAATTTATGAATTGTTTATTTATGAAAATTTATGAAATCACATTGGGGACCCCTCCCTCCAGCACCAACTGCTGCTCTTGGCCAGAGTGAAGAGAGGGGGGGCCAGAAGACAGTTTCACCTTGTCTCCTGTGCTATGCTAATAATGTAATACATTATAATATAATGTAATGTAATATATTGTATATACATATAATATTTATAATATTATAATGTAATACAATATAAAATTACTAATAATATATTATAATTATATATTTTATATTACATGTAATTTATTTATCGTGTCAGGAGCAACCAGACATTTGTATTACATTTTGAACAAAGCAAACAAACAAACAAACAGACAAAACACGAAGTTTGCAAGCTTGGTAGTTGATTAAATGTCCTTTGACCAGTATCTGGCCACTTGGAGTGCCTCTGGTGTTGCCGCAAGAAGGTCCTCCATGGTGCATGTGGAAGGGCTCGGGTTGCATTGCAGCAGGTGGTCAGTGGTTTGCTCTTCTCCACATTCACATGTCATGGATTCCACTTTGTGGCCCCATTTCTTAAGGCTGGCTCTGCATCTCGTGGTGCCAGAGAGCAGTCTGTTCAGTGCCTTCCAAGTCGCCCAGTCTTCTGTGTGCCCAGGAGGGAGTCTCTCATTTGGTATCAGCCTTTGATTGAGGTTCTGGGTAAGAGCCTGCCACTTTTGGACTCTCGCTTGCTGAGGTGTTCCAACGAGTGTCTCTGTAGATCTTAGAAAACTATTTCTTGATTTAAGTTGTTGACATGCTGGCTGATACCCAAACAGGGGATGAGCTGGAATGTCCCTGCCTTGGTTCTTTCACTATTGGCTGCTACTTCCCGGCGGATGTCAGGTGGTGCAATACCGGCTAAGCAGTGTCATTTCACCAGTGGTGTAGGGCGCAGACATCCCGTGATAATGCGGCATGTCTCATTAAGAGCCACATCTACTGTTTTAGCGAGGTGAGATGCATTCCACACTGGGCATGCATACTCAGCAGCAGAGTAGCATGGCGCAAGGGCCAATGTCTTCACTGTGTCTGATTAGTGTTGGTTAAGTGGTGCACACTGCTGGAGCTCAACTGCTGTTCCTTAAACACCAGAACAACCACACAAGCCTGAACAACATACCACCTTATAAACAAGTGTCCAGCCTTTAAACAACAAGAGACAAACAAATAAGCTTTTTAAGAGACAAGGGGTACCTCAATCTAAGATGGCTCCCTGGTTCCTTATTCTTTGGCTGCTCACATGGCTAATCAAAGAGAACTATGGGAACTACACTCCAAAACCTATGGAGAGCCATGGTTATTTCCCCCTAGAAGAGCAATACCTGCACAGCAGAAAGCGATGTACAACGTTCATAGATCTCCCTGGCATCGTCATCTGTGGTCTTTTTGACTTGAAGGAGCCAAGCAGCTTGAGAAAGAGGCTCCAGGGTCTCCTTGGCAGAGCTGCTCTGGAGGTTCTTGTCCTTCAGCCATTCCTCCAGGTAGCTGATGTTGCACCTAGGCATTGACAAACCCAAAGAGACACAGGGTAACTTCTCTTGTCGGGGATAGCCACAGGGTTATAGCCATTCTCTACAAGAGGGCTAGGCCACTTCTGGAATTAAGGGCTTTCACAGGACCACATTGAATTCCAAGTGACCTCCCCCTGAAAAGGAGTCTCTTCTAAGCTTAAAACAGCCACGGAAGGGGGAAACTGACCACAAAATCTATATCTATATATATAAAAATGCTCTGTGTATAATGAATACCTTAAAAACAAAAGAACCAATGAATGAAATCACACCAAATTTGGCAACAAAACATCTCACAAGACAAGGAGTGACCATCACTCAAAAATTTATGATTTTGTCATTTGGGAGTTGCAGTTGCTGGGATTTATAGTTCACCTATAATCAAAGAGCATTCTGAATTCCACCAACGATGGAATTGGACCAAACTTGGCACACAGGACTCCCATGTCCAACAGAAAATATTGGAAGGGTTTGGTGGGCGTTGACCTTGAGTTTTGGAGTTGTAGTTCACCTACATCCAGAGAGCACTGTGGACTCAAACAATGATGGATCTGGACCAAACTAGGCACAATTACTCAATATTTCCAAATATAAACACAGATGGAGTATGGGGGAAATAGACTTTGATATTTGGAAGTTGTAGTCTCTGGGATTTAGATTACCCTACAATCAAAGAGCCCCCAAACCTGGCACAGTACCTACATGGTCAATATTGAATACTGATGCGGTTAGGGGGGGCGTTTTTCAATTTTGAGAGTTATCATTCACCAACACCAAAAAGGAAGAGAAGGACGGGTGGAGAGATCTTCAGCCTTCTGAGCTAAAAGTGTCCTAAGACCATCAGAAATAGAGGTCTTTGTTGACCTCTCTGAAACCCCCCTCGTGACCCCCCCCAGGGGTCCTGACCCCAAGGTCTACATGTATACTAATCATTAAGAAAATGTGTTATGAGTTTTGGGTTGTTGTAGGTTTTTCAGGCTATATGGCCATGTTTTAGAAGCATTCTATCCTGACGTTTTGACCTCACAACCTTTGAGGATAATTGTCATAGATGTAGGCAAAACGTCAGGAGAGAATGCTTCTAGAACATGGCCATATAGCCCGAAAAACCTACAACAACCCAATGATTCCAGCCATGAAAACCTTTGACAATGTTTTGTTTTTCTTCCCCTCAAATCCCCTGCTTTTTACCTGATCTGCATCCCTTTTCGACAAGAGCACATGTCCTTGCGTAGGAAGAGGCTATTAAGGGTGACTGAGCCAATCAGATAGAAAAGCTGCTTCACGGCCTGCTTTAGAAGCTCTGAGTCCAAGCCATTCTGGCACATGGTGGTATAAAAATAGCTGAGCTGTTGCAGGATGGAGGTCATGGTGTAAGCATCCGTGTCGTCGATGCTAGAAGAGCGCTTGCGGAATCCGGTCGGTTTTAAGCCTGAAATCCCCTGGAGGCTTTCGTACTCCAGCATTCCCGGCACTGGAGGAGAGAACAGCCAGCAAGCAGAAAAGAAACAAGGTTCCTGAAATTAGCGTTTGGCTCTAGAAATCAACTGCAGGCTTCAAAGCTCTTAAAAAGGTTTTAAACATCCGCTATCTTATTATGACCACAAAGCAAGAGGGAGCCATTTGGAGATGGATTTTGAAAATCCTATATTCAGCAGACATTTCGGCTCAGCTGTAAAATGGAAATACAAACCTAACAAAATCAGTTCAGCCTGGGGTTCTGAAGCTGTGGTCTCCCAGGGACTCCGTGGAGGATGTAGGGCAGGCATGGGCAAACTTTGACCCTTCAGGTGTTTTGGACTTCAGCTCCCACAATTCCTAACAGCCGGTAAGCTGATCGAGATTTCTGGGAGTTGAGGACCCAAAAACCTGGAGGGCCAAAGTTTGACCATGCCACAGAAAGGTAGAGTTGTGGTTTTGTGCTGCCATCAAAATAAAAAGTCAAAATCAATGGAATGCCAGAGATAGCAGTCTCGCATAATTCCTTGAAGAGACAATGTCTGGAATACACCCTTTCTGACTGTTCCATGTTTTTGAGGGTTCCAGTCTCTTCACTGTTGGCTTCTGTCTGTTGATCAGAGACAGGAATTGTCATGTTTCACTGTGACTAATATCTACCTTCCCTCCCTGTCTCTTTCGTCTCTTTCTTTTCCTTCCTTCCTTCCTTCCCTTTCTTTCCTTCCTTCCTTCCTTCCTTCCCTCCTTCTTTCCCCTTCCTTCCTTCCTTCCTTCCCTCCCTCCCCCCTTCCTTCCTTTCTTCCTTCCCTCCTTCCCTTTCTTTCTTTCCTTCCTTCACTCCCTCCTTCCCTTTCCTTCTTCCCTTTCCTTCCTTCCTCCCTTCCCTCCTTCCCTTCCTTCCTTCCCTTTGTTTCCTTCCTTCCCTTCCCTCCTTCTTTCCTCCCTTCCTCCCTTCCCTCCCTCCCTCCCTTCCCTTTCTTTTCTTCCTTCCCTCCTTCCCTCCTTCCCTCCTTCCCTCCTTCCTTCCTTCCTTCCTTCCTTCCTTCCTTCCTTCCTTCCTTCCTTCCTTCCCCCTTCCTTCCTTCTCTTCTTCTTCCCTTCCTTCCCCCCTTTTGTTTGCCTTCCTCTTTCTCCTCATTCTTCCTTCTCTATCTATTCTTGGACTACAACTCCCAGCAGTCCTCCTGGTCAATCTATCTACCTACCTATCTCTATCTAATCTAGCTATCTGGAGGATTGCTGGAAGTTGCAGTCCAGGAATAGGAAATTGGAAATCTGCAGGGATTGGGATGCTCTCAAAGAAACCGCTTTGAGTCCCCCCAGAGGTGAGAAAGGAGGTATATAAATACTGTAAATAAATAAATAAATCCAAGGAGAAGAAAGCTTGCATCTTGGAAGCAGTACATTTTGATCACCCTCCTCTCCTAAAAGGCCTCATCTAGGGGTTGCTGGAAGCTGTAGTCCGGTAGCAAGTGTGGATATGCTATTGTGTGTTTTGTTTGCTGGGGGAGTCGTTTTTGCACATGCGCTGTAGTGTCTTTTTGCTTTTTTGAGTCCCTTCCGCTGTGTTTTTCAGTGCTTTTATGAGTGACGGTCACTCGTTGGCCTGAGAGGTGTCTTGTGTCCAAATTTGGTGCCAATTCATCCAGTGGTTTTTGAGTTATGTTAATCCCATAAACAAAACATTACATTTATATACACACACACACACACACACACACACACACACACACACACACACACATATATATATATATATATATATGTGAATGACCAGCACCGAAAAATGTACAAACGTCAGAATAGGAACATATACATTTAGGCATTAAGAAACACTATGCATTTAAAAGTGTCAAGACTTTATAAGCCATCCAGACAAAAATATTAAGAAGCATCCTTAGCCCCCCAAGCTTTGTGCCTAATGGAATTTTATTTCTAGAGATGGGTCAGATCTCTGTTGAGTCTCGGATCTGGATGTATATCCTAATTTTTTTGGTTAAAACGGATGTTTATGCCTAAAATTTTGGCCTCATTGACCCTTGGTGATCTAATCCAATCAAGGTGGAAAAATTTAGTTGATGAGAAAACCCTAAACATTGGATTCTTACCAAATACCATCCTTAGTATGGGTTACACAAAAGCCAAATAAAACATACAACTGGGTATCTGAGACACTGTGCTGCAAAACTATCTAAACGCAGCCTCTATTCTTCCATTCTTCAAAGACAATGGGAGGGCGGAGTACTTAGGCAACCTAATTATCCCTAAACATAGGAAGGCATTCTCTTTGGCTAAATTCAATGTACTCCCTTCTGATGTACTGGAGGGAAGATATAACAAAGTACCACACAATGAACTCCTATGTCCCTGAGAGGCTGAGGCAGTGGAAACTGTGCAACACGTTTTGTTGTACTGCTCTTTTTACCGAGACCTTCATAAACATTTTATAAATCCAATTTTAGAAAGTTTACCAGGGAGATCTGCAAGGTTTTATGTCGATTGTCTTTTGGCTGCCAAAATTGCTGCCAACGTTGCAGCAGCAATAGCTTGTTGGTGCAAGATGCTGTCACTGTCTTAGAAGATTTTAATATTTATTTCAATATCTACCATTGTCATTTTAGCATATAAATGTTTAATAACGTTTTAACTATCATATTCAATACTGGGTTTGCTTTTTACGTGTTACTAGCCATCCTCTGCCACGCTTTGCTGTGGCCCAGTCTGTGTAACACAGGTTCGCAGCTTGGGAGTGATCCTAGACTCATTGCTGAGCCTGGAACCCCAGGTTTCAGCGGTGACCAGGGGAGCACTCGCACAGTTAAAGCTTGTGCGCCAGCTGCGCCCGTACCTTAGGAAGTCTGACTTGGCCATGATGGTCCACGCTCTGGTTACATCCCGTATAGACTACTGCAATGCTCTCTATGTGGGGTTGCCTTTGAAGACTGTTCGGAAGCTTCAAATGGTCTAATAGTCCAACGTTCGGCAGCCAGGATACTGACAGGAGCAGTGCTCAGGGAGCATACAACTCCTCTGTTGCGCCAGCTCCACTGGCTGCCAGTTTGCTACCGGGTACAATTCAAAGTGCTGGCATTAGCCTATAAAGCCCTAAACAGTTCTGGCCCAACTTACCTGTTCGGACGCATCTCCTCCTATGAACCTGCTAGGATGTTACGATCATTTGGGGAGGCCCTGCTCTCGGTTCCGTCTGCATCACAAGTACGTCTGGCGGGAACGAGAGACAGGGCCTTCTCAGTGGTGGCCCCTCGGCTGTGGAACACCCTTCCTACAGAAATTAGATCAGCCCCCTCGGAGGAAAGTGAAGACCTGGTTTTCGAGCAGGCATTTGAATAGGCAGTGTATTGAATATAGGAATATGGAATGGATTATGAGATTGGATCTTGATTCTATGTATGAGATGCTAATGAGATGTTCTAGTTATGTTTAATTGATTGCTTATTATGTCATTGTTTTAATTGTTTTTCAACTGTTTTTATGATGTTCAGCATTGAATGTTGCTATTGTTAACTGCTTTGAGTCGCCCAAGGATTGAGAAAAGCGGTATATAAATGAAGTAAGTAAATAAATAAATAATTGTGTATGTGTATATATGTGGTTTTATGCATGCATTGTAATGTATTTTTTATTTTTTTGCTTTTTAAGTTTCTTCTGCTGTGTATTTCAGTGTTTTTATGAGTGATGGTCACTCGTTGGCCTGAGTGGTGTCTTGTGCCAAAATTTGGTGTTAATTTGTCCAGCAGTCTTTGAGTTTTGTTAATCCCACAAACGAACATTACATTTTTATTTATATAAATATTAGCCATCCCCTGCCATGCATTGCTGTGGTCCAGTCTGTGTATATATGTTTTATGTGTGTATATATAAAATAAATCTCATAAACAAAAATAAACAATAGACAGTAACAATAACAACAAGCATTTAAAACCTATGGCTGGGCCAAATGTAATAATTTAAAATTTAAAAAATAATGTTGGACATCGACAAGGTAGGATATAACTGGGATAGAGGTTTCAGGTAGAGATGGGGCGCATAGACAATCCTAAATCAGTGATAAAGTGCATTTAGGGACATATTTGCTGAGGGTATTTCCTTATTCTGGGAAGGCACACTGGAACAACCACGTTTTTAGGCTCCTCCTAAAGCCTGCCAGAGTTGGGGCATGTCTGATGTCCCTGGGGAGCGAGTTCCAGAGTCGAGGGGCCACCACCGAGAAGGCCCTCTCCCTCGTCCCCACCAATCGTGCCTGTGATACAGGTGGGAGCGTGAGCAGGGCCTCTCCAGATGATCGAAGAGATCGTGTGGGTTCGTACACAGAAATGCGGTCATGCATTTCTTATACATGGCTGTCATATCTCCTCTCAGCCTTCTCTTCTTCAGGGTAAACATGCTCAGCTCTTTAAGCCGCTCCTCATAGGGCTTGTTCTCCAGACCCTGGATCATTTTAGTCGCCCTCCTCTGGACACATTCCAGCTTGTTAACATCTTCCTTCAATTGTGGTGCCCAGAACTGGACACAATATTCCAGGAAAACGCCACATAATTTGACAAAAGAAGCTGGGTACTGGAAAGAGCAAACCGTTTTTTTCATAGATCTTGTATTTTTCCTTGAATTTTCATGTACTTTTTGCCACAACGGTTAGCTTGCTTAAGACTAATCAATTTTTCTGGACATTTACTCAGACATAAGGGTCACTGTGTTCAGTGATGCTTACTCCAAAGAAAATGGCCATTTGCTTACAACCTAAGAACATGTATGTCTAGACACATGCATAACAACTGCACACTCCTTTTGGACACACAAAGAAACAAAACCATATATTTTATGTGACTGTTCACATCATTTGTTCGTTCTTACCTATCATCTGCTGAATGTTGTTCTCCATAACAATAATAAATTGATGATAAATCCTAATGGCCAGGTCACTAAGAACCTGCCTGTATTCTGACAGATCAAAGTGCTTCAGAATGTTCTTGTTTTGTTCCGGAGTGTTATGCTTCATGAATTCCTGAAATCAGTTATACTTTTATAAATACATGGCAATTAAACCCACTGCAGGTTTTACACCACGACTCATTAAGTAAACTAGAATGAATATATACATACACTCAGGATAGCAAAGGACTATTAATGCACTAGAGTTATGAGCATCCATGCACATATTTTCTACCTGCAAATGGCAGAATATCCACAGCTATGGAGTCGTCCCGCCCCCCCCCCCCCCCAAATCTAACTTTTCAATTCAAGGACAGATAAGTCCATTGTATGATGCCTCTAGATAGGAAAGAGATCAGAATGTGCCAGGGAGGAAAAGAAAGCAATTCAGGTGTTACAGTGGATTAGTCCATGGCTCCTTCTCAGACACATATGGACGGTGAAAGCAGGGGAGGGCAGGGAGAGTGGTCCATTAGTTAAAGCACAGGTTGTCCTAGCCTTAAGAGAAAGCCTTGGTGATTCAGCTTCCACATGGAAGGGTGGACATTACATACAGCCTATATTAAGCATGGAAAAGGGGAAACAGATGTACAAATGTTCTTTTTAATATAATGAAGGGTGTGGTTCCTTCTGGCCTCCAGATTTTTAATCTCCAATCAGTGCCACCCAGAATGACCTAGGCTAAAGCCAAAGCCCCAAACATCTGGTGTGTCAAAGGTTCCCCACCCATATTTTACAACCCTGTCAAATTAAAACACAGCAGTAAGCAAATACAACAGACATCAGAAGAACTGCAATTATACTATAAAGTTTAATGACATTTAAATAAACGTAAAACCATTCTTACCTCTTCGCCGCTGTACTGTTTGAGGCAGTTGAGAAAGTGGCATGTATTTGAAAGCCAGAATGATAACATCTCAAAGTCTTCAACATGTTCCTAAATAATAGGTTACGGTGTTTGTTTAATTTGCATTTTATGTATACACATAATAAAGGCAAAAACATGTATGTGTGTATGTGGCGGGGTGTCCACTTACACAGAGACGTTCCCACTTCTGCACATAGCTACAACTCCCAATAACAACAACAACAACAACAACAACAACAACAATACAGGAAAACTCATGATCATTCATAATTCATTACATCCTCGCAGTGATGTTGACCGGATATATCTGCCTAGAAAGTCTGAGGGCAGAGGATTTTGACAAGTCAAACAAGCAGTCGAAGAAGAAAAACACAATGCCCTGGCAGAATATGTCAAGGAAAGCCAAGAACCTGCTTTAATTAAAGTCAATAATCGGAAACTTCTCAAAGCACAGCAGACAAAGAGTCAGTACAAGAAAACTGCACTCCAAACCAGAGCTGATAGCTAGCACAACAAAGCATTGCATGGGCAGTTCCTTGAGAAGACTGAAGGAAAAGTTGACAAGGAGAAGACCTGGTGATGGCTCACGAATGGAACCCTGAAGAAGGAGACAGAAGAAGGCCTAATTCAGGAGTGAACAGAAGTAGGGTGCCTTCCCTCCAATGACATTGCAGGTTATAGTGAGCACCATGAACACGTCCAAGAGCCCTGCCAATGTCCTCCACAAACACCACACTGCCCACCACCCCAGTGAAGGCTTTCACACAGAGACAATTCATCCTAGATTTTCTATTTTTCCTCCATCACAGACATCTCAGTGTTTCTGGCTCTCTCCACTGGTATGGAATTTGCATGACCCCGCCCACTACCTCTCCTTTAACACTTTCCTGTTCTTTTCTATGGTACACAGCAGATAGAGGAATTGATCATAACTGAACATACAAGAGTGGTTTGGGGAGAATTCATGATTTCTAGGAATTGTAGGTACTGGGATGTATAGTTCACCTGCAATCACTGAGCACTTTGAACTCCACTAAAGATGGAATTGGACCACATAGGGCTCCCATGACCAGCAAAAAAATACCACAAATCTTTGGGGAAAATTCACTTTGATTTGAGAAAGTTGTAGTTCACCTGCATCCAGAGAGCACTGTGAACCCAAACGCCAATGGATCTGGACCAAACTTGGGACACATACCTAATATGCCAAAAACTGATTACTGGAGGGGTTTGGGGGGAACTGACCTTCCTTTCTGGGGGTTGTATTTCACCTACAACCAGCAAAACTGTGACCTCCACCAATGATGGCCCTGGACCAAACTTGGTACACAGAACTCTGATGACTAACACAACCTACTGGAGGGGTTTGAGGGGACTGACTCACCATAGTGGGAGTTGTAGTTTACACTATAGCTACAGAGCACACTGAACCCTACCAATGAAGCATCTAGAGCAGACTTGCCAAACATAACAAACTTTAAGTACTGATGTGAATTTTTCAGGGTTAACCTAGCATGAAGTGAATTGTAGTTCATTCACAACCTTATTTGTTTATTTATTTATTTACGACATTTATATGCCGCCCTTCACAAAGCGACTTATAAGATATATATACATATGATATATTATATTATTAGCATAGTATAATATCAGTATTACATATTACTATATTGTATTATACCATTATATTGTAATATTATTAGTAATATTACATGTAAAATAAAATATATAATTATAAAATATTGTATTATTAGTAGTATTATATTGTATTACATTATAACATTATAAATATTATATGTATATACAATATATTATATTATATTATATTATATTATATTATATTATATTGGCCATATATTATATTACATATATTATAAATATAAGTCCCTTCCGCTGTGTTTTTCAGTGTTTTATGAGGAATGGTCACTTGTACATGCATTATGTACATGCATTTTGCACAGTGAAAAAATGACTTTTTCAAATAACCTGGGCAAGCTAGATTATTCATATGGTTTTGGTGCCTAAATAAATACAATGTGCAGGAATTGAAAAATATAATATGATTCATTTCAGAAGGAAAACCCAAATGGCCTAAATCCAATTGCTAGCTTCATCTGCAGCAGGTGCTTTGAATCAATAGAAGATAATAAGGGTTAATTTACCAAATGTCTATTCATTCAATGAGTGCATTGTACTTGGTATTACAAATTGGATTGAGGCCAGCATCTACCATTAAGTCTTTCTTATTCTTAAATTATTTGGAGTGAGGGATGAACGGTGAAGTGGAAAATTGATAGACGATGCCCAATTATTCTGGATGGCCATATCAAAAAAGGATTCAGAGGGTCTCTAAAAGGACCTTCGGAAGGAGGGAAATGGGGACTAGAAGGACAAAGACAGTTCAATATACGGAAGTGAAATAGGATGCATATTGGGGGGAAAATAAAATCTGAAACTGGTAATGACTATGGGCATATTGCAGACATGTCTGGCCAATATGAACAATAATGCTCAACTGGATGGGCCGTTCTTATCTATATAAATAAATATGTAATGTTCGTTTGTGAGATTAACATAACTCAAAAACCACTGGATGAATAGACACCAAATTTGGACACAATACATCTGTCAGGCCAACGAGTGTCCATCACTCATAAAACACTGAAAAACACAACAGAAGGGACTTAAAAAGCAAAAAATAAAATAAAAAATACATTACAACATATGCTCAAACCCACATACATATATGCATATACCACACATATACACATATATACAAATATATACACACACAAAATACATATACACATACTGAGCCACAGCAATGCGTGGCAGCGGATGGCTAGTCTATATAAATAAAAATGTAATATTCGTTTGTGGGATTAACATAACTCAAAAACCACTGGGCACATTGACACCAAATTTGGACACAATACGCCTATCAGGCCAACGAGTGACCATCACTCATAAAAACACTGAAAAAAACAGTGGAAGAAACTTAAAAAGCCAAAAAACAAAATTTACATTAAAATGCATGCACAAAACTACATCTATATATATATCTATATAAATAAAAATGTAAAGTTCGTTTGTGGGATTGACATAACTCAAAAACCACTGGATGAATTGACACCAAATTTGGACACAAGGCACCTATCAGGCCAACAAGTGACCATCACTCATAAAAACACTGAAAAACACAACAGAAGGGACTTTAAAAGCAAAAAAAATTACATTACAACGTATGCGCAAACCTACATACATACATATATATATATGCAACCATACATATACACAAATTTATACACACACAAAATACATATATACAGACTGGGCCACAGCAATGTGTGGCAGGGGACGGCTAGTCTATATAAATAAAAATGTAAGGTTCGTTTGTGGGATTAACGTAACTCAAAAACCACGGGACGAATTGCTGCGAAAATTGACCACAAGACACCTACTAACCCAAGGAGTGACCATTGCTCAAAAAAATTGATTTTGTCATTTGGGAGTTGTAGTTGCTGGGATTTATAGTTCACCTACAATCAAAGAGCATTCTGAACTCCATCCATGATGTAATTGTATGCCACCCCAGTTATTAACCTGGCTGGACTATTTGAAGATCCCGAGCAGTCTTCAAAGGCAGCCCCACATAGAGCAAGTTGCAGTATTCTATCCTAGATGTAACGAGAGCGTGGACCACCGTGGCCAAGTCAGACTTCCCAAGGTACGGGCGCAGCTGGCGCACAAGTTTTAATTATGCGCATGCTCCCCTGGCCACCACTGCCACCTGGGATTCCAGGCTCAGGGATGAGTCCAGGATCACTCCCAAGCTGCGAACCTGTACCTTCAAGGGGAGTGTGACCCCATCCAGCACAGGTTGCAACCCTATACCTTGCTCGGCCTTGCAGCTGACCAGGAGGACCTCTGTCTTTTCTGAATTCAACTTCAATGTGCTTGCCCTCATCCAGACCGTCACAGCGGACAGGCACTGGTTCAGGACTTGGACAGCCTCCTTAGCTTCTGGTGGAAAGGAGTGATAGAGTTGGACGTCATCTGCATACAGATGGGATCGGACTCCAAAACTCCGAATGATCTCACCCAGCAGCTTCATGTAGATGTTAAACAACATGGGGACAAGACAGCCCTGCGGAACCCCACAGGACAAGGGCTGTGGAGCTGAGCAGGAGTCCCCCAGCAACACCTTCTGGGTATGACCCTCCAGGAAGGACTGGAACCACTGCAGAACAGTCCCTCCAAGACCCATCCCTGCGAAGTGCCCCAGAAGGATAATGCTGGTACATGGTATCGAAGGACGCTGAGAGTTCCAGGTGAACCAACAGGGACACATTCCTCCCCCTGTCGAGCTCTCTGCGGAGATCATCCACTAAGGCGACCATGGCTGTCTCAGTTCCATGTCCCGGTCTGAAACCCAACTGCGACAGATCCAGATAATCAGTGTTTGACAAATATGCCTTAAAATTTGGATTAAGGTGTTAATTCACTTACTTGGAACCATGCAGGCTAGGTAGTGCCTACTATACATAAAGAAAGCAAATACTACACAAAATACTCCTACCTTAATTACTTGCTTGATGCCATTGACTGTCATGTTCATGAAAGATTTCAGCATGCCATCATCGTTCAGGTAATCTGCGTATCTTACGCACATGAAAAGGATGTGCGCCGGGAGGCCTGGGATCATATTGACCACAACTCCACGGGGCTTCAGTTCTGCAGAAATCCAATAATCAAATTATATTTATTTTTTTAAGGAAAGCCAACACAATTGTACAAGTGAATCATTTTGAAGGAAATTAGATTGACAGCTCCCTCCCATACTCATATTTTGATCATATTGTTTGAAACTATAGTGCAGAATGGGTTGCTGTGAGTTTTCCAGGCTGTCTGGCCCTGTTCCAGAAGCATTCCATCCTGACGTTTTGCCCACATCTATGGCAGGCATTCTCAGAGGTTGTGAGATCTGTTGGAAACTAGGCAAGCGGGGTTTATATATCTGTGGAATGTCCAGCGTGGGAGAAAGAAGTGTGAATGTTGCAAGTTATCACATTGATTAGCACTGAATAGCCTTGCAACTTTAAAGCTTGGCTGATTCCTGCCTAGGGAATCCTTTGTTGGGAGGTGTTAGCCGGCCCAGATTGTTTCTTGTCTGGATTTCCCCTGTTTTTGAGTGTTGTTCTCTATTTACTGTCCTGATTTTAGAATTTTTAAAATACTGGCGGCCACTTGCTTAGTTTCCAACAAACCTCACAACCTCTGAGGATGCCTGCCATAGATGTGGGTGAAACGTCAGGAGAGAATGCTTCTGGAACATGGCTATACAGCCCAGAAAACTCACAGCAACCCAAACAAGAGTTCTTTCTCCACAGATATATAAACCCTACTTGCCTGGTTTCCAACAAAACTCACAACCTCTGAGGATGCCTGCCATAGATGTGGGCGAAATGTCAGGAGAGAATGCTTCTGGAACATGGCCATACAGCCCAGAAAACGCACAGCAACCCAGTGATTCCAGCCATGAAAGCCTTTGCCAACATATAGTGCAAAGTATCCAGAACTAAGACTATTTGCACAAGATATTTGCTTTTTCTTCATGAAGTTATTTTTGAGTTCATTTTGTAATTTCTGTTCATTGATTTAAAAGCCTATTAGTAGTAACTGTTTTTATACAATTACACTGTAAAATGCAGAAAGGGTGCCTATAGCCGAAGAAGTGGCAACACATACTGCAAAAGTGCAAACCCTTTCCCAGCAAAAAACAGGGTCCTAATGTTTGTTTTTTTTCTAAAATGTGTATTTTAGAAAATACACATTTTTATGAAATGTGTATTTAGTCCGGAAGTATGTTGTTGTTCATTCGTTCAGTCGTCTCCGACTCTTCGTGACCTCATGGACCAGCCCACGCCAGAACTCCCTGTCGGCCGTTACCACCCCCAGCTCCCTCAAGGTCAGTCCAGTCACTTCAAGGATGCCATCCATCCATCTTGCCCTTGGTCGGCCCCTCTTCCTTTTGACTTCCACTTTCCCCAGCATCATTGTCTTCTCTAGGCTTTCCTGTCTCCTCATGATGTGGCCGGAAGTATATCACAATTTTTTAAGTGATACTAAACATATAGGAAAAACTAAACATATATGAAACGCAATTATACTAGCCAAAGTGTACATAAATACAAAATATTATTATTTATCGTATTGTCATCAGGGAAAAATATACATTGATGGGATTGAAGGAATGAAAATGAATAGGAAGTCTAGAAATAAGCGAAGTCTTAAGATCAGCATAAATGAGATTAAAAAATGCAGAGCAAGAAATTAGAAAAATGGTATAGAATACCATTCTCCGGTCATATAGATGCCATATTTTTTGTGAATGAGAAAAAATGGAGGTGGTGGATAATTGATAATATTGAGGGGATTTATGAAAAAGAAATGACAAAGAATTCATACAATGGGGGATAAATTTCTGGACTTTGTGTGGATATGTTTTCTTTTTCGTGTCAGCAGCGACTTGAGAAACTGCAAGTCACTTCTGGTGTGAGATAATTGGCCGTCTGCAAGGCCGTTGCCCACGGGACACCCGGATGTTTTGATGTCATGTATAAATATGTGAGAGGAAGTCACAGGGAGGAAGGAGCAGGCTTGCTTTCTGCTTCCCTGGAGACTAGGACATGGAACAATGGCTTCAAACTACAAGAAAGGAGATTCCATCTGAACATGAGGAAGAACTTCCTGACTGTGACAGCCGTTCAGCAGTGGAACTCTCTGCCCCGGAGTGTGGTGGAGGCTCCTTCTTTGGAAGCTTTTAAACAGAGGCTGGATGGCCATCTGTCAGGGGTGCTTTGAATGCAATATTCCTGCTTCTTGACAGGGGGTTGGACTGGATGGCCCATGAGGTCTCTTCCAACTCTATGATTCTATGATTCTATGTTTTACCATCCTTGTGAGAGGCTTCTCTCATGTCCCCGCATGGGGAACTGGAGCTGACAGAGGGAGCTCATCCGCGCTCTCCCCATATTCGAACCTCCGACCTGCCAGTCTTCAGTCCTGCTGGCACAAGGGTTTAACCCAGGGGTCCTCAAACTTTTTAAACAGAGGGCCAGGTCACAGTCCCTCAAACTGTTGGAGGGCCAAATTATAATTTGAAAAAAATGAATAAATTCCTATGCACACTGCACATATCTTACTTGTAGTAAAAGAAACAATTAAAAACAATACAACAATTAAAATGAAGAACAGTTTTAACAACTCTAAACGTATTAGTATTTCAATAGGAAGTGTGTGCTTGCTTTTGGCTGATGAGATAGGATTGTTGTTGTTGTTGTGTGCTTTCAAGTAATTTTAGACTTAGGTTGACCCTGAGTGAGGGCCAGGTAAATGACCTTAGAGGGCTGTATCTGGCCCCCAGGCCTTAGTTTGAGGACCCCTGGTTTAAACCATTGCGCCACCGCAGGCTCCTGTGTGGATATGTGAAACCATGGATAATAGCAAATCCTATTGAAATAAAAGATTTCTGAAAACCAAAGTTGCACTGAAAATGCCAGAGGATAAATGAAACTATAGATAACAGTCCTCTGGATATTGGAGATCATACTGTATAGGAAATACATTTGGGTTTATGAAAGTAATTTTAAAAATGTGAATACAGGGAATATGTTTCATTTAAGGTAATGCCCAACTAGTTTATTTACTATAAGGACTAGTTTACTTACTAAAAGCCAGGGATCCACAAACTTTTTAAACAGAGGGCCAGGTCACAGTCCCTCAAACTGTTGGAGGGTCAGATTATAATTTGAAAAAAAAAAAACATGAATGAATTCCTATGCACACTGCACATATCTTATTTGTAGTGCAAAAAAAGTACACTTAAAAACAATACAATAATTAAAATGAAGTACAATTTAAACAAATTTAAACTTATTAGTATTTCAATGGGAAGTGTGGGACTGCTTTTGGCTGATGAGATAGGATTGCTGTTGTTGTTGTTGTGTGCTTTCGAGTCGTTACAGACTTACTTAGGTTGACCCTGAGCGAGAGCCAGGTAAATGACCTTGGAGGGCCGCATCCGGCCCCCGGGCCTTAGTTTGAGGACCCCTGCCATAAGTAATGATAGATCTGAGAAGGAAAAGCACATTCCAGATCCTGGAATCCTCCATGGGTTTAGCTTCAGCAGTGAAAGGTTTAAGAAATATTAGGAAAAGAAAAGAGATGAAACAAATTGCTATTCTGAAGCAGTCAGAAACAGTAATACCCCTTTAAGACAGAAAACAGGTGAGGATAAAAGATAAAGAATCATTGAAAATGGTGAGTCACTTCAATTGCCATTTGGCCATGATGAAGATTATACTTGGTTGAAATTACTGGAGTACCAAGAATTAGATTCTGAATGATTTTCGCTTCATCTTCACTCCTGTACTGTAACATTCCAATGTATTCTTTCGACGTGGATGGCATGGGTGCTTCGTTAGCTGTTAAATAGAAACACAAGTTATATATTGCCTCCAAAAAATTCAGCAAATTTCTTGGGAAGACAGCAGACAAATGTCAGAGTGCTGGAAGAAGCAAAGACCACCAGCACTGAAGCAAGGCTCCTATGCCATCAACTCTTCCGGATTGGCCACATTGTCTGAATGCTGTCTCCCAAAGCAGTTACTCTACTCCCAACTCAAGAACAAAACGGAATGTTGGTGGGCAGGAAGTCAACATTATCTCTTGTCATTGTGTTAGTCCATCATTGATATTCAAGAAGGCTTGGTTGATCCAAAACAAAATGGTTCAAAACTCGTTTTGGATGTAGGGGGCACTGGTGGTTCAATTCTAAAGTCTATTCCGATTTTCACAGAAAAAAATGTTCAAAATTTTTTGAAACTTTCGAGACTTCCGAAATCTTTTGTTAATAGTTTGAAAGTGTTATTTCCTGTTTCATTGGGTGAGCTTTACTTTGAAAGTAATTGTTTTACTCCAGAAGCAGGGAATAGCAAGAGGAGGAAATTCCTTCCTTCTCTGGTTCAAAACTGGCTTCTCTGGCTTGAGCTGAGGCCAGGAAATTCCTTCCTTCTCTGGTTTAAAACTGGCTTCTCTGGCTTGAGCTGAGGCCAGGAAATTCCTTCCTTCTCTGGTTTAAAACTGGCTTCTCTGGCTTGAGCTGAGGCCAGGAAATTCCTTCCTTCTCTGGTTTAAAACTGGCTTCTCTGGCTTGAGCTGAGGCCAGGAAATTCCTTCCTTCTCTGGTTTAAAACTGGCTTCTCTGGCTTGAGCCGAGGCCAGGAAATTCCTTCCTTCTCTGGTTTAAAACTGGCTTCTCTGGCTTGAGCTGAGGCCAGGAAATTCCTTCCTTCTCTGGTTTAAAACTGGCTTCTCTGGCTTGAGCTGAGGCCAGGAAATTCCTTCCTTTTCTGGTTTAAAACTGGCTTCTCTGGCTTGAGCTGAGGCCAGGAAATTCCTTCTTTCTCTGGTTTAAAACTGGCTTCTCTGGCTTGAGCCGAGGCCAGGAAATTCCTTCCTTCTCTGGTTTAAAACTGGCTTCTCTGGCTTGAGCCGAGGCCAGGAAATTCCTTCCTTCTCTGGTTTAAAACTGGCTTCTCTGGCTTGAGCGGAGGCCAGGAAATTCCTTCCTTTTCTGGTTTAAAACTGGCTTCCCTGGCTTGAGCGGAGTCCAGGGACCACAAGCGGGGAAAGCAAGCGGAGAAAATTCCTTCCTTCTCTGGTTTAAAACTGGCTTCTCTGGCTTGAGCAGAGGCCAGGGACCACAAGTGGGGAAAAGCAAGCGAAGGAAACTCCTTCCTTCTCTAGTTTAAAACTGGCTTCACTGGCTTGAGCCGAGGCCAGGAAATTCCTTCCTTCTCTGGTTTAAAACTGGCTTCTCTGGCTTGAGCCAAGGCCAGGGACCACAAGCGGGGAAAGCAAGTGGAGGAAATTCCTTCCTTTGGTTTAAAACTGGCTTCTCTGGCTTGAGCCGAGGCCAGGGACCAGAAACAGGGAAAAGCTGGATTATTTCCGACTCACTTCATGAGTCATAACAAAAATTGCGGAAAAGGCTTCGGAAGGGCAAAGGGACTTCCAATTTTCTTAAAAACTTTGAAATCGCTTCAAAAAGGTAGTTTTTCCAACTTTATTCCGAATTACGAAGATTCCACGAGTACCTAACTATGCCTAATATTCAGAGCCTATAGAATGAAACATGGTGTAATATCTGCTGTTCAGAATGGATGCTGAGAATTGCATATACTACACAGCCTATCCTGTAACAATTCAGGTATTTCATCCAGATGCAGTGAAAGATGCTTGGGGCATCACCCCCACTAAAGCAGAATTCAACAGATAGTCTTATTAGTTTTGTACACAGAATTAAAAGATGCCACCATATGTTTAGCTTCAAATAGCAAAAGGTTTTTGCTACCAAACACAGTTCTTCTTGTGTTTGGTAGCAACCTTCCCTGAAAGAGATAAAGCTGATGGGCATCACAGCAAATGAACCTGCCTTTAAGAACTCCACAATTACGATCCCAATTTTAGTTTCAGTTTAATGTATAACAAGATTTCCTCACCTATTTCCATTGACTTTCTGAGTGTCTTGATCTGATCCTGAAGCTTTTTTATCAATCTGTCCTTCTTGTCAAGCTCTTCCTCTAGATCCTGCAATCTCCATAGAGTTGACAAAGAATAATGTACATAAAAATGAGCTCCTGTCAGTGACAAATGTTAGCTTCTTTATAATATTACCTTCAAATGCAGGACAATATTCTTATTACTGAGAAAAGAGAGGTATGTTAGACAAACAGCATGATTATGTGCAGCAGAGACAGGAAAATCTGGTTTTGTAGGGACATTAAAAATGAATTTTTCCCAACAAATGCTGGTAAAAGGTACATGCAGAATTTTCCATGGTCTATGGTGTATTGCAGTGTTTCTCAACCTGGTGGTCGTGACGCCTGGGGGGGGGGGGGGGGGGGTTGCGAGAGGGTGTCCGAAGACCATCAGAAAACACAGTATTTTCTCTTGGTCATCTGGGTTACGTGTGGAAGGTTAGGTCCAATTCTATTGTTGGTGGGGTTCAGAATGCTCTTTGATTATAGGTGAACTATAAATCCCAGCAACTACAACTCCCAAAAGACAAAATCAGTTTCCCCCTCCAACCCCACCAGTATTCAGATTTGGACGTATTGGGTATTTGTGCCAAATTTGGTCCAGTGAATGAAAATATATCCTGCATATCGGATATTCACATTACAATTCATAACAGTAGCAAAATTATAGTTATGAAGTAGCAACGAAAATAATGTTGTGGTTGGGGGTCACCACAACATGAGGAACTGTGTTAAGGGGTCACGGCATTTGGAAGGTTGAGAACCACTGGTGTATTGTATTTTCTGTAATCTCCTTGTTTTTTTATAGTTCTATTAATAAACTACTTTTGTCATAGTCCATTGAATCCTATTCCTGGCTGATGCATCACAGAATCAACAGTATTAAATTATAATTTTGTAAACACTTAAAAACATCTACATCTCGAATATGGTAAACAGAGTCACTTAATTCTGTAGGAACCCCCAGTGGCACAATGGGTTAAACCCTTGTGCCGGCAGGACTGAAGACTGACAGGTCGCAGGTTCAAATCAGAAGGGAGTGCAGATGAGCTCCCTCTGTCAGCTCCAGCTCCCCATGCAGGGACATGAGTGAAGCCTCCCACAAGGATGGTAAAACATCAAAAATATCTGGCCATCCCTTGGGAAATGTCCTTGCAGACAGCCATTTCTCTCACAGAAGCAACTTGCAGTTTCTCAAGTTGCTCCTGACACACACTTCCCCTCACATTTTGATACATGGCCCTCATCATCTCTCCGCCTTCTCTTCTACAGGCTAACTATCCCCAGCTCTTCAAGCCGCTCCTCATAGGACTTGAAGTCATTGTTCCACTGCGTCCTAATCTCCAGGGCAGCTGAAAATTGCTCCCTCCTCCCTATGGCTTCCCCTCACATTTTGATACATGGCCCTCATCATGTCTCCTCTCCGGCTTCTCTTCTGCAGGCTAAACATCCCCAGCTCTTCAAGCTGCTCCTCATAGGACTTGAAGTCATTGTTCCATTGCGTCCTAGTCTCCAGGGCAGAAGAAAACAAGCTTGCTCCCTCCTCCCTATGACTTCTCCTCACAGCTTGATCCATGGCCCTCATCATGTCTCCTCTCCGCCTTCTCTACTACAGGCTAAACATGTCCAGGTCTTTAAGCCGCTCCTCATAGGGCTTGTTTTCCAGACCCTTGATCGTTATCATGTTTAAAGGTATTAATATAAATAGACAAATGTTTGGTGCAAAAGTTGATGACAAACACAAAACTGTGGGTCATATAGCTTTATGATGAGGATTCATGAGAAATGTGCACGGCACATAATTGTTACCCAAGAGGATCATGGCCAAAAGAGCATGTGTAGATATATTTTATCTGCTTCCTCTTTTCTATATATCCAGCGAAAGTACTAATATTCCATGTGTAATCATCAGTCTTTAAATATGGGTGAATTTGTGTTCAATATTTAGCAACCTTTAAATAAAGCATTAACAGAAGTGCTTATCAATTCTTACCGTATTTTCCATGGTGAGATAGGCTACATCTTGCCATATTTTGCTCTTGGTTTCATTGTCTCCTTCCAGTTGGTTATCTATGTAATTGTTTGTCTCCTGAAAAGTGGCTCTCAGCTTCACTTTTTCCTTAGTGTACATTTCATTTTGGACTTGTTGTACTCTGAAAATAGGGAAGGAAAGGGTTTGCTCTCTCCATTTCCTTGAAGCTCACCTACAGTTGTTTTCTTTGGGACATTTCACACTACAAAAAGTGCTAACTGTTGTTAAAGATTTGGGTATAGGGGCTACTTCAAGCATTCTTCCAAAAACAAGTGGAAATTTAGCATGAAATGGCTGGTGCATATTAATTCCAGAACTTCTGTTTTGATATACTGTAAATTGCTAAACTATGGACAACACTTTTTTCAACTTTAAAAAAAATCAACTTTCTTACCTTCTTTGTGTTCCATCCTTTTCGGTGTTTTGACGCAACAGATTTTCCATGTCTTCTATTTTCTCTTTAATAATAAGGAATATCGTTTTAAAAAACAGGGATTAGAATTTAGTTTAGAGAGTGGGCCTTCACGCTCAGTGGCTGCCCCTCAGCTCTGGAACTCCCTTCTTCCCAGGGAAACTCGAATGGCCTCCTTCCTGCTGTCGTTCCAGCAGCAGGCTTAAACCCTCTAATTTAGACAAGGTTTTAAAGAAGGTTTTTAAGATCAAGTCACAGGGTGTTGTGGCTTTTAGCTTTATACAGTTCCGGCCCAGTTTACCTGTCCAAACGTATTCTCCCCTACGAACCATCAAGAGTGTTAAGATCGTCTGGAAAGGCCCTGCTCTCGGTCCCACCACCTTCGCAGGCGCATCTGGTGGGGATGAGAGACAGGGCCTTTTCTGTGGTGGCCCCTCGGCTATGGAATTCCCTCCCGTGTGAAATTAGATCTTCCCCCTCCCTCTTGACCTTTAGGAAGCTTGTGAAAACTTGGCTGTGGAATGAAGCTTTTGCGGAATGATGTCTGAGACCGGCAACCAACCAACGTTACTGACCACAATATATAGACTGAATATATGGACTGAGTTGGACATGATTTTATCTTGGCGAATTGCTGTTATGTAATTTATCCTATATATATATATAGGTTAATTTTAATGCTGATGTATGATGTTTCAGATTTTAGTGTTAGCACTGAATCTTTGCTGTCAGCCGGTCTGAGTCCCTCTATGGAGGTAGAGAAGATTGGGATAGAAAAGTTTTAAATACATAAATAAATAAATTTGTTTATATTTTTATGGATTTTAACTATGATTCCTTACAATACCATTTATATTAAATTCTGTTTTAATGTCTATATATATTTAGATTTGAAATTATATTGAAATGCTTTTAATGTAAGCTGCTTTGAGTCTCTTTGTGAAGAAAAAGTGTGGTATAAAGAAGCATCATAATAATAAATAATAATCTACTCTGACCAGCAATGTGTTTTCAAAGTCTTAGGTGGTCACGTACTCTTACTCTCTGAAATCCTTTTAAAAAATGGATAGTAATGCCAGTTGAGCATGCATTCGATCATCTATATCAGGGGTCCTCAAACAATTTGAAAAAAGCATGAATGAATTCCTATGCACACTGCACATATCTTATTTGTAGTACAAAAAACACTTTAAAGCAATACAATAATTAAAATGAAAAACAATTTTAACAAATATAAACTTATTAGTATTTCAATGGGAAGTGTGGGCCTGCTTTTGGCTGATGAGATAGGATTGTTGTTGTTGTATGTTTTCAAGTCGTTTCAGACTTAGGTTGACCCTGAGTGAGGGCCGGGTAAATGACCTTGGAGGGCCGTATTCAGCCCTCGAGCCTTAGTTTGAGGTCCCCTGATCTAAATGTTAAAATGTTCTATTTTGGGGGAGATGTATTGATCAAAGCAGAGTTCTTTAGGGCAAGGTACCTTTATTCCTTACAGTTTCTTCTTGAAGATGGTTTTCAAGGTTCATTTTCTGCTTCTGAAGCTCGGAAATCTGCTGCTTAAGATCGGGAATCATCTTTATAAAAACGGAGATAATGTTCAGTATTCAACTACCTATATAATCCAACAGTTTATCTGAAGTACGATTTTTTTTGCACAATAATTGATTCCCTTGGTATTAAATTTCACTTGGTGTCATTTTATACGACAGCAAATCTGAAATATTTTATTGCATTTACTTAAATATGAAATAATATAATGAAATAATTCCTGACGCTGTCTGCATTCTCCACCAATCCTCTATGATGTTAAGTACTATAGAGTTCAGTGTTTATGCGACCTTAAGTTATCTATTAACTTACACCAACTCATGAATCTCATAGGGTTTTCTTAGGCAAGGAATACTCAAGAGGTGGTTTTGCCAATTCTTTCCTCTGAAATATAACACCTGGTATTTGTTGGTGGCTTCCCATTCAAGTACTAACCAGGGCTGATCCTGCTTACTTTCAAGATCAGATGGATTGTGGTTGTTCCTCGCCTAAGAAAAATATCTAGATGTTTCCATATTATAGTAGTTGTGGTTATTGTTGTTGTTATTATTACCTCATTTTTATTTCATGAATTAACACTCAAAGAGGAATTCAACACACACAAGACACCATTTTGGAACAATTATTTTCATATCTAGCCCTGTTTGGAAGCTTCTACAAAAAGAGGACCCCAAAGATACTTTCTTTAAATATAAATGGACTAAATTCACCAAACAAGAGGAGACCAAGAAGAAATTGCAAATTGTGCCAATATCTCATGGCCTTGTCGTTTGGGCAGCCTTTCTGCCCGGCCACCATGCCTTTCCGAGTTTGGAAGGGTGTGGGGGCCAGGGGGAGGAAACAGGTGGAGGGCTCCACATGGCCTTGGGAGCCTTTGCTGCCCAGCCCTCACTCCCTGCCGAGCTCATTATCATCATCATCATCATCATCATCGGTCCAGATCCATTGGTGTTTCGGTTCACAGTGCTCTCTGGATGGAGGTCAACTACAACTCTTTCAAATTAAGGTAAATTTCCCCTAAAGACCTCCAGTATTTTTTGCTGACCATGGGGGTTCTGCGTGCCAAGTTAAGTCCAATAACATCTTTGGTGGAGCTCACTAATTGCAGGAGGAACTGTAACTCCTACATGTCTGAACATATTTCCCCAAACTTCTCCAGTATTTTCTATGGGTAATGGGAGTTTTATATGCCAAGTTTGGTTCAATTCTATTTATGCTGGAGTTCAGAATGCTCTTTGATGGCAGGGGAGCTATATATCCCAGTAGCTCCCATATGCCGAGGTCTATTTTCCCCAAACCTCTCCAGTATTTTCTGTTGGTAATGGGAGTTCTGTATGCCAGGTTTGGTTCAATTCCATTGTTGTTGGAGTTCAGAATGCTCTTTGATGGTAGGGGAACTATATATCCCAGCAACTGCAATTCCCAAATGTCAAGATCTGTTTTCCCCAAACTCCACCAGTGTTCAAATTTGGGCATATTGAGGATTTGTGCCAAGTTGGGTCCAAATGTACAGTTATTTGGGTTCACAGCACTTTCCATATGTAGATGAACTACATCTCCCGTAAATCATTGTCAATTTCTCCCAGCCCCCTCCAGTATTTTCTGTTGGTCTTTGGGGTTTTTTTGTGCTAAGTTTGTTCCAGGTCTATAATTTGTGGGGGTCTCAGTGGTCTGTGGAACTCAGAGGTGAATTGGTTGAAGGTACTGCAAATCCCATCATCCATTGTCCACACTCTGCAAGCATATTGTTTTTGTGATCAGTCACTATGCTTTAATTATGTTCAATTTATAACAATGAAAATACATCCTGCATATCAGATATTTCCATTATGCTTCATTAGAGTAGCAAAATTACCGTTATGAAGTAGCAACGAAAATATGGTTGGGGGTCACCACAACATGAGGAACTTTATTTAGGGGTCACAGCATTAGAAAGGTTGAGAACCACTGCCTTACACCCAGAATTTGCTCAAAAACAGCTCATGTTACTTAAATGGCTACCAAGAAATCAGCTTTCAGAGGCTGTTTTGAAGTTATATAATATGTCATTCTCACCATGTTTTCTGAGGTTAGCCTTGCAACTTGGAGTCGGATGCTGTCATTTATGTCATTTTCTTCTCTGAACAGCTTCTGTAAGTGGGTTATTTCTTGACTATGATGCTCTACTTTAGAATTCAGGCCTTCTATCTCTCTTTCATAGTTCTCTCTCTGAGACTGGAAATGGCTTTCTAACACTCTGTTAAAGACATAGACATATGGGTTAGACTAAAGAAAAAACACTGGTCCCTTAACGCAATGTATATTCTAATATCAGAAGCAATTCAATATATTGTCAAAGGCTTTTCAACAATTGGGTCACATCGTTTACAGAAAACCCACACACACAGATAGGTAGCTACACAAAAACTCCAACCATTGCCCAAGTAAAAAAAGAAGCGCCATTAAAACCTTGGCAGACCGCGCAAAAAGAATCAGCGAACCCCACCTCCTCAAAGAGGAACTGAACCACCTCAACCGGACTTTCCAGGCCAATGGAGACTCCACCTCAGACATCAGAAGAGCTGCAAGACCGAGTACAAGCCACGAGAGTCAAGACAAAGACCCACCGAGAGGAAAAGTGTTCTTGCCAGACATCAAGGGAACCACTGACCGCAGAGGGAAGCGGATGAGGAAACACAACATACACACTATCTACAGACCCACCAAGAAAATCCAACCAATGCTCTGTTCAGCAAAGGACAAGAGGGATCCTCTCACTTCTGCAGGAGTCTACCGGATACTATGCAACTGTGGACAAGTCTCCATAGGGACCACCAAACGCAGCAGCATTGCCCAAACATCAATCAAGGAGCATGGAAGGCACTGCAGACTACTTCAACCAAAGAAGTCAGCCATAGCAGAGCACCTCATGAACCAACCTGGACACAGCATATTATTATTGGAGAACACAGAAATGCTGGACCACTCTCACAACCACCATGTCAGACTACACAGAGAAGACACTGAAATCCACAAGAATGTGGACAATCTCAACAGAAAGGAGGAAACCATGAAAATGAACAAAATCTAGCTACCAGTATTAAAAAAAACCTCTAAAATTACAACAGCAAAACAACAGAGAGGAAACAATCAGGGACAGATAATCACCTCTCAACAAAAGATTGCCCCAGGCACTAACAAGCCACACCAAACAACTGCCAGGCCACCAAATGCTAATCGAGCTGGTCAGCTGAAACATTCACACCTTGCTCCAACAGACAAGAGTCCTTTGTCCCACCCTGGTCATTCCACAGATATATAAACCCACTTTCCTAGTTCCAATAGACCTCACTACCTCTGAGGATGCTTGCCAGCATACCCAATAGCTAAAGATGATGGGAGCTGTAGTCTAACAACATCTGAAGGATGATACCAGGGTGGTGGAATCGGAGGGCCCTTCTAGACAGGCCCTATATCCCAGGATCTGATTTTCTTTTTGCTTTTAACTGGATTATATGAGTTCACACAACCAGATAATCTGGGATAAACAGAAAACCTGGGATCAGATCCTGGGATATAGGACCAGCCTTGAAGGGCCCTGAAATAGACTGTAGGGATCCTGGCAATTCATACTACAAAAAGGCTCTGAAGAAAAATAGTTATATAAGGACATAATGAAAATTTGACTTCATGAAATTTGACGAGGGCAAGTCCTAGAAACTTTCTTCAACCAAACTGATTACTTTTCTCTGGTTCATTTACATGAAAGACAGATGGTCAAGGGGGAAGGGGTTCAGACAAATGCATTGTATCAAACCATCAATGTTTACAGACTAAATACTCAGTATTTTTTAAAAAAAACGAAGAAGAGCAAATAGCATAGTGCATCTAAGCTATTTTATGTAAACTGCTGACATAGAAGTCTTCAAATTAATCCCTTGTGGTGATAAGGAAAAGGCCTATTCAAGCATATCCCACATAGCAGGACTGCTATAAAAAGTCTGTGCCTTTGAGGCAGCCAAAACAGCACTTATTTTCTTATCAGACCACAAGCGCATAGGAATAATACTTGAAGTTGCCTTCTGCGGAGTCAAACTGGTGCTCCACCAAATATTGATTTTTTTAAAAAATTATAAATTTATCAAACAAAATGTATAAGCATACATTCTCCCCTCTTTTGCAACATCTTAGACAGAAGAGTATGTAATATTATATACAATCTAATAGTAAAAAAAAATCAAAAACATCTTTAAGCATATTTCTTACCATTTTTTTAAACTTTTCCATTACAACTTATACTACGTGTATCTCTACCGCACATCTTTTATCTACTTATACATGCTTTATTTCTTTATAATTAGTATTATACCATTTTCCCACTCTTCCCCTTACCCTAAGTTTGTGCCCCCCTTCACCAGGACCAACCTACTCATGTTATTTCAAATTCCAAAATGTCATTGTTTCTCTTGCTGGCTATAACAGATCCCTATATAATATATCTCCAAATATCACGCCGCTGGTCACCACTGTAAAAAGGATTATGTGTGATCTCACACCACTGGACACCAGTAAGAAAGAAATATCACAACCAGTGACACGAGGCTGGAGGCTTACAGGATAAATCTTCCTCCAAAGATTCACTTTTTCCTCTAGAATCCTACCCCTGTGTCTCCAATTTGGTAGCGAGATGGAAATAGATATGTGTAATGGTAGAATGAACACTGTCTTTTAGTCTTCTTTTGGTTTAAAGCTGCCACCAACCCAAGTTGTCTTAGGATCTTTAAAATGAGTTCTCACAACCACCATGTCAGGCTACACAGAGAAGCCATTGAAATCCACAAGCATGTAGACAATGTCAACAGAAAGGAGGAAACCATGAAAATAAACAAAATCTGGCTACCAGCATTAAAAAAACTCTAAAATTACAACAGCAAGACAACAGAGAGGAAACAATCTGGGACATCTAATCACCTCTCAACAAAAGATTGCCCCAGGCACTGCCAGGCCATCAAATGCTAATCAAGGTGGTCAGTTGAAACATTCACGCCTAGCTCCAACAGACAAGGGTTCTTTGTCCCACCCTGGTCATTCCTCAGATATATAAACCCATTTTTCTAGTTCTAACAGACCTCACTACCTCTGAGGATGCTTGCCATAGATGAAGGCGAAACATCAGGAGAGAATGCCTCTAGAACATGGCCATGTAGCCCGAAAAAACCTACAACAACCCAGTGATTCCGGTCATTGCAGACCACCAAACGCAGCAGCATTGCCTAAACACGAATCAAGGGAATTTAGGAGCAAAGGAGTCCTTCCAACACTTTTCCAAATATTTTAATTGTACCTAACCAAATATAATTTCTGGATGCCTGGCTATTTGCAAAGCAGGCATATTTCCATTAAAGCTGATTGATGCAAGCACCATCTTTTAAGAGATCGCTTCCCCGCAGAACTGAAAGCATTGATCTGTCATGGCTTTCTGCTGCAGAGCATGGACTGATTATACTGAAGACTCATTATGATGCCTCCATTATTCTGTCAATATTTAGACAAGAAGTATATCAAAAGAATAAGGAAAAAGGCCTAACCTTGTGGCCTTTTTCAAGCCTTCGTAAGCAAACCAGAGTTCCCCGTCTTCATTTAAATGTCCCAAATCTTCAGTAGACAATCTGTTACAGGAAAAAAAGTGGGGAAAGACTATGGAATAAGAATCTCAGGGAAGAGTCTGACTCTACCTTTCGTAAAAGGGGGGAAATATGCCTCTACCTGCTCCTTGCATCTGCAAAGTCATAGCTCTCATGAAGTTGCATTGTAATCTCTGACATTTTGTCTGTAAAAGAAAACACGTTATGTGAGTACTCTGTTTCCACTTTGCCAGCATAGTTTTACATGTGACTAGCTGTCCCCTGCCAGGCGTTGCTGTGGCCCAGTCTGGTGATCTGGAAAATAAAGTAATGAGGAAGTGTTGGTTTCTAATATATGTAATTTCTTTACGCTTGTGGGTAAACAGTATTTGATTATGTTTTCTTGCCCTGGTGAAGGGAGTTGGACTGAACGGCCTTAAGTATTTTCTGTTGGTCTTCGGAGTTCTGTGTGGGAAGTTTGCCCCAATTCCATTGTTGGTGGGGTTCAGAATGCTCTTTGACTGTTGGTGAACAATACATCCCAGCAACTACAACTCCCAAATGTCAAGGTCTATTTCCCCCAAACTCCACCAATGTTCAAATTTGGGCATATCGAATATTTGTGCCAAGCTTAGTCCAGATCCATCATTGTTTGTGTCCACAGTGCTCTCTGGATGTAGGTGAACTACAACTCTGAAACTCAAGGTCAATGCCCACCAAACCCTTCTAGTGTTTTCTGATGGTCATGGGAGTCCTGTGTGCCTCGTTTGGTTCAATTCTATCATTGGTGGAGTTCAAAATGCTCTTTGATTGTAGGTGAACTACAAATCCCAGCAACTACAACTCCCAAATGTAAAGGTCTATTTCCCCCAAACTCCATCTATGTTCATATTTGGGCATATGGAATATTCGTGCCAAGTTTAGTCCAGATCCATCATTGTTTGTGTCCACAGTGCTCTCTGGATGTAGGGGAACTACAACTCCGAAACTCAAGGTCAATGCCCACCAAACCCTTCAAGTGTTTTCTGTTGGTCATGGGAGTTCTGTGTGCCACGTTTGGTTCAATTCTATCATTGGTGGAGTTCAGAATGCTCTTTGATTGTAGGTGAACTTTAAATCCCAGCAACTACAACTCCCAAAGGACAATTTTTTTGAGTGATGGTCACTCCTTGGGTTAGTAGGTGTCACCCGCCATGCTCTGCTCCATGGGAAGGAGAGTGATGGTGTATTCAGAGAGTGTCAGATATGCTATGGGAAAGCATGATTCTGGACACTTTGGGGCTTCTTTCTCAAGGGAAGAGGAAGAAGTGTGCTTTTGGAATCTTACATTTTGTGCAGGGAGTCAGGTTCTGCTGTATGGAAAACAGAGATCTGATCCTTGGTGTTGTGCTTAGGGAAAGGATGCATTTTGGCATTTTGAAGTTATGGCGTTATGGAAGTTTTGGAACTATGCGTTTGGCAGGCTGCAGGAAAGCAATGTCTGGCTTAACAGGTGCTTCTCCAAGGAGAGAGAAAAGGATATGGTCATATTTGAATGCCTGAAGATGAATATGTGTACATGCGTGTGAATGCTGAGTGAAAACGTAATTCCCCTTTGTTTGTTTGTTAACCAATGTAATTGTAAATCCAATATAGTTGCATAGAATCTGTATGTCTGTATGTCCAATGTCATTCTTTGTCTAAGTGGGGGGGGTTAGGGGTTCAACTCCCCCCCCCAATTTTTCAGGTTAAAAAAACTGGTTTACTCATGAATTTTAACTGGTTAACCAAATCCCCATGCTAACTCTATGAGACGCAAAAAATCAAGAGTCCCTCCAGAACTGCAAGCACTATCTCAAGCAAATATTGACAATTTATTCACACTGCCATTACTTGCAGCAATAGCCGATGTAGTGAAGCAACCAAGTTGGGGGTGGGGGGGCGGTGTTGAATGCTCTCATTAAGGAGGCCAGACTTGGTGGAGGTGGTTGACAGGGGCGGAGCTGCAGGCTACTGAAGGCTGCTCTGTCCCCTGCTGTGCTTTTTGCTTCAGTGTGAGCTGGGAGGCAGGTTTCAAACCCCCCCCCCCCCAAATTTTCAACCGCCCCTCCCGAAATTTTCAACCCCTCCCCGAATTTTTTTCTGGCTATGGCCCTGTGTCTTACATCATTCTTTGTCTAAAGGTTTTTTCTGTAATGTGATATACCTTCTCACACTGGAAATTGCAATAAAAATAACGTATACTTCACATGGACAAAGAAAGATCATTTTAAATCTCTCAAAAAAGGACGTTATGTGAGTCGATGCAACTGATCACATGAATGTCAATATGTTGTTCTGATTTATGAAGAGTAAACTACTTGTTATTCATTGTTCATCTGCATAGCATATTTTCGTTCTCTGACAAGACAGTGTGTAGGCTGATCAAACGTGAACTACACGTGGTTTATTTTACACTACACCACAGATTTGAGCTAATATATTAACATAAGCTGACTGTATTTCCAAGAACATATTGTCTTGAATCTGGCATGTATAAAATATAGGTTTACCATTAACTAAAGCAGTGAGAGGTTCTCATTGTTAGGCTCTGCTGCAAGAGGGACCCTGAGGCCTGAGTATTGCCATCCAGGGTTGCTGCCTGCTCCACCCTGGGCTTACCCATGAGGAGACCTGCAGCCACACCCTCATTCCAGCTAGCTGACCCAGCAGGGAGAGAAAATGGCCCCCACAACCTCGCCGCACTGCTACTTTAATGGCCGCGCCACCCATTGCCTGGCTGCCGGAATACCTACGCCGGGCCCCTCCATAGCCACGCTGCCCATCATTTGGACATTGGAACACCTGTGTGGGCGCTCGTTTTCGGGGCTCCCCTGCCTCTCCTGTTGCTTCAGACCACTTTTTCCATCAGCCCACTTTGGTTGGAATTCAATGTTTACTTTTAAGCTCTTTTTTTGTATGTATATTTGAATTATTGTATGTTTACTTTTAAGGTATTTTAATTACTTCTAAGCTTGTCATTGTATTTATATTCAAATTATTATCTCATGTTTATCATTGTATGTTTAAATTGATATGTTAATTGTTTCAATTCATATCTTATGTTTATTATTATATGTGTAATGCGGCATTGTAGGCTATGGATTGTAAGCCACCCTGAGTCCCCCACTGGGGTGAGAAGGGTGGGGTATAAATGTAGAATAATAATAACAACAACAACAACAACAATAATTGTTAAACAACAGATGGAGAATCTCCCCCCCCCCTTTTTTTTAAAGTGAATTGCTGCACATCTGCAATATATAAATGAGGATTCAGCAATTTGGTAACATCAGAATATGTTGGAAAAACTGAGCCGTATCAAGGTATATTACTCATTTGTATGAGATAATAAAAGTACCTCTCATTTCACGCTTCTGGTACTGCAGCTGCTTCTCCACGTCCATTTTTTGCATTTGAATGAGTTCAATTTCTTTTTGTAGTTCAGGAATTGTCTATATTTATTAAACATTGCAATGAGATAAAGTAAAAAAAATAGTAGCAAGAAAAATTTACAACTGACATTTAAAGCATGTTTCGTAGGGGAAAAGTAGTATTTACTGCTCGTCATTGTTTGAGCCCACAGTGCTCTCTGGGTGTAGGTGAACTAGTCCACGACATGCGAGTGTGGCGAAGAGCAAACCACAGACTACAATGCAGCCTGAGCCCTGCCACATGCACAATGGAGGGCCTTCTTAGAGCAACACCAGAGGCACTCCAAGTGGCCAGCGACTGGTCAAAGGACACTGAGTATCATGCCAAGTTTTAAACTTTGCTCTTTTTAAATACATTACAAGTGTACCCTCGGTTCGTTTCTGATAGGATAATTTTTAAAAAATCATACCTTTGCTTGGTGTGCAAGTGCTTCAACCTCCATTTTTAAGCTGCCCTGAATTTGTTGTTCTTCCCGGATTTGATTCTGAAGCTGCTCATTTTCACTTTTGAGAGATTTTACTTCTTCCATGAGTAACTCAATCTTTCTTTCATAGTCTTGCTTCTGGTTGTGGAAATTGTTCTCTAGCACTCTACGAAGATTTAGAAAGAAGTGGCAAACCAGTTTGTACTCTACCGCTAACTACAAAAATAACATGTAAAAAAGAACCATTCATTGTAGGCATGCACTGCTGTATCTCTATCGGCACATACATCAATACTTATAATGTAATGCAATACTACTACTACTACTACTACTAATAATAATAATAATATGATATTATGATATTATAATTATATATTTATTATTTTTTAAAGATCTTTTACTTATAATGTAATGCAATACTACTAATAAATAAAGATTATTATTATTATTATTATTATTACTACTACTACTACTACTAGCTGTCCCCTGCCACGCGTTGCTGTGGCCCACATGGGGTTCTGTGTGGGAGGTTTGGCCCAATTCTATCGTTGGTGGGGTTCAGAATGCTCTTTGACTGTAGGTGAACTATAAATCCCAGCAACTACAACTCCCAAATGTCAAGATTCTATTTTCCCCAAACTCCACCAGTATTCACATTTGGGCATATGGAGTATTCTTGTAGTGTTTGGTCCAGATCCATTATTGTTTGAGTCCACAGTCATCTTTGGATGTAGGTGAACAACAACTCCAAAACCAAAGGACACTGCCCACCAAACCTTCCAGTATTTTCTGTTGGTCATGGGAGAACAGTGTGCCAAGTTTGATTCATTTCCATTGTTGGTGGGATTCTGAATGATCTTTGATTGTAGGTGAACTATAAATCCCAGCAACTACAATTCCCAAATGACAAAATCATTTTTTTGAGTGAAGGACATACATTGGGTTGTTAGGTGTCTTGTGTCCAAATTTGGTGTCAATTCGTCCAGTGGTTTTTGAGTTCTGTTAATCCCAGAAATTAACATTACAGTTTTATTTATATAAGTTACATGTAATATTACTAATATTACAAAATATTGGTATAGTACAATATAGTAATATTTAATACTGATATTGTACTATGCTAATAATATAATGTATTGTATGTATATATGTATCTTGTAAACCGCTCTGAGTCACCTTCGGGGTGAGAAGGGCGGCATAGAAATGTCGTAAATAATAGGCCTGTTCAATGCATGGTTCTAAATGGTTCTAAAGTACTTACAACACTGAAAATATCAGAACTCTAACAAAACTCTCAAAATTTCATTATAAATGGCAGTTCCTAATTGGTTCTGTCATAAAAATCGCCAATAATGAAATAATAATTAAATTTTGAAAGAGTTCTGAAATTTTCACCACCAGAACTTTAGTTTTGTAAGTACTTTAGAACTATTTAGAACCATGGATTGACCAGGCCTAGTAAATAAATAAATACTTCATACTTACATCACATTAATGGCTTAGATCAGGCATGGGCAAACTTGGGCCCTCCAGGTGTTTTGGACTTCAACTCCCACAATTCCTAACAGCCTCCTTGGCTGTTAGGAATTGTGGGAGTTGAAGTCCAAAACACCTGGAGGGCCAAAGTTTGCCCATGCCTGGCTTAGAGCCTAACTACAATAGAAGGAAGGTAATGCAAGCATATGAATGGCCCAACATATGGGGAAACCCAAAGGAAAGGGCCGGATTTGTTGGTTTTGTTCAGGAAGATGGACAGAGCTGGAGAAGAGAGGAAGTGCAGTTGCCAGAACTAAGGAAGACTGAAGATATCAATAAATATACCAAAATGGTGAATTACAAATTAAAGATAAAATTTAAAATTTCATACATTCGTTGTCTTTCTTCTTTCTGAACATCAGCAAAAAGTTGTTTTGTTAGGTGATCCATTTTCTCTGCAGAAAGATAGTAATATTTTTAAAAACATTTCAACAGAATAAAAATGTTTAAAACCTATAACACAAATAATTGTGGCCTAAAATCAACAATAACAACAACAATAAAGCTGACATGACATGAGGATTTAAAGATTGAAGTGCAAAGACTTTGGCACGAGGCAGTCAAGGTGGTCCCAGTGGTGATCGGCACACTGTGTGCAGTGCCTATAGACCTTGGCCTGCACTTAAACACAATCGGTGCTGACAAAATTACCATCTGCCAGCTGCAGAAGGCCACCTTACTGGGATCTGCACGCATTATTCGTCGATACATCCCACAGTACTAGACACTTGGGAAGTGTCCGCTGTGTGATCCAATACAACAGCCAGCAGAGTGATCTTGTTTGCTGTGTAGTAATCTTGTTGTGTTTCAAATAATAATAATAATAATAATAATAATAATAATAATAATAATAATAATACTCTTTATTTGTACACCACACCATCTCCCCAAGGGACTCGGCGTGGCTCACAGCATAAATACAGTAACATACATAAAATAAAAGTAAATGTTAAAATGTTTACATTTTAATGGACAGTTTTTTTTACCAAAGCTAGAACCCGTGTTGTGCAAATTCTAAAGAGATACAATGGTAAATGTTGAGAATCCCTCATCCATAATTTTGAAGTCCAAAATATTTCCAAATCAAAAAATTGCCCACATAGGTGACAAGATAGTGACACCTTTGCTTTCTGATGTTTTTGCATAAAATTATTAAAAATATTCTGTCTAAAATTACCTTCAGGCTACGTGTATAAGGTATATATTAAACAAAGTAAAATTATTGTTTAGACCTGGGTTCCATCTTAAAGAAATTTCACTATTTATCTACGTAAATACACCACGGGGCCCTGGTGGTGCAGCGGGTTAAACCGCTGAGCTGCTGAACTTGCTGACTGAAAGGTTGGTGGTTCGAATACAAAGAGCAGGATGAGCTCCAGCAGTTAGCCTCAGCTTCTACCAACCTAGCAGTTGAAAACATGCAAATGTGAATAGATGAATAGGTACCACTTCCGCAGTAAGGTATTGGTGCTCCATGCAGTCATGATGGCCACATGACCTTGGAGGTGTCTATGGACAACGCTGGCTCTTCGGCTTAGAAATAGAAATGAGCACAACCCCTCAGAGTTGGACACGACTAGACTTAATGTCAGGGGAAACTATCTCTAAATATTTCAAAATATTCCAAAATATGAAATCCAAAACACTTCTGGTCCTGGGCATTTTGAACTAGGAAAGTTCTGTACTTTACCTGGACTTTAAAATAAATGTTAAGACAACAGCTGCTTTTGAAAAGTAACCCCATTAAAGTATGCAGACTGTAAAAACTTCCATTTACATCCTGACTTTCACCTTTGGTATAAACCTCTAAAATAGGGTTCAGTCCATCACAAAATTATCTTGTGCAGCATACATTAATTTACATAAGCTTATACAGGACAACTTCCCACTACTAGATTATAACGACAGTCATAAAAGTCTGCTACTATTGCAATCAATGCGCATCATCATAGTTGTTTACTGGTGGAAAAAGCAAATTATGCTGTGCATTATGCTGCCTTCTCATTACATCTTATTAATCATGTGAATATTAGTCTAAGTTGCAGAAGCATACGAGAAGCTCAGCCTGTCATTGAACATCGAGAAAACCAAAGTGCTGTTCCAGCAGTCACCAGCCAATCCCTCTCCAATGCCAGAAATACAGCTTAATGGTGTAACATTAGAAAATGTGGACCATTTCCACTCCCTTGGCAGCCACCTCTCCACCAAAGTCAACATCGACACCGAAATACAACACCGCCTGAGCTCTGCGAGTGCAGCATTTTTCCGAATGAAGCAGAGAGTGTTTGAGGACCAGGACATCCGTAGGGAGACCAAGGGGCTTGTTTATAAAGCTATTGTCCTCCCAACCCTGCTATATGCCTGCGAGACGTGGACTGTCTACAGACGTCACATGCAACTCCTGGAACGATTCCATCAGCACTGCCTCCAGAAAATCCTGCAAATCTCTTGGGAAGACAAGCGGACAAACATCAGTGTGCTGGAAGAAGCAAAGGCCACCAGCACTGAAGCAATGGTCCTCCGCCATCAACTCCGCTGGACCGGCCACACTGTCCGGATGCCCAACCACCGTCTCCCAAAGCAGTTGCTCTACTCCGAACTCAAGAACGGAAAACGGAATGTTGGTGGACAGGAAAAGAGATTGAAAGATGGGCTCAAAGTCAACCTTAAAAACTCTGGCATAGACACTGAGAACTGGGAAGCCCTGGCCCTTGAGCGCTCCAGCTGGAGGTCAGCTGTGACCAGCAGTGCTGCAGAATTTGAAGAGGCACAAATGGAGGGCGAAAGAGAGAAACGTGCCAAGAGGAAGGCGCATCAAGCCAACCCCGACCGGGACCGCCTTCCACCTGGAAACAGATGCCCTCACTATGGGAGAAGATGTTGGTCAAGTATAGGGCTCCACAGTCACCTACGGACCCACCCTGGAGGATTATCCTACTCAGCCAATGAGGGATCGCCTAAGTAAGTAAGTAGTCTATAGTTACCCATTTTGAACCACTATCATAAAAACAACAGCACCAGAAATCCAGGGCACAAAAGACATTAATTTAATAATAATAATAATAATAATAATAATAATAATAATAATAATGTCACTGAGCACAACAAGATCGTGGCGCCTTTCAAGAAAATGTCTTCCTCATGGGCAATATTTAAATATTTGGGTTCTGACTGTTACAAAAGGAACCCACAATATCATCCTGATTCTCTAAAGGTGATTGATCTCAATGATGGTACCTTTCATTTCCTCAGTTTTCTCTTGCAGCTCTTTTTCTAGATGTCTTTTCTGTTGCTGTAGCTCCAAGTTGTGATTTTCAAGTTTCGAAACTCTCTGTACAAAAAAAGTAAATATATAAAGGTAGAAATCAGATCCCTAAGACCACTTACTTACTCTAATCCAAAATGGTTCTGAAACCCATTTCCACGTGTTGCACGTCTTATTTAGTTTGTTGCAAACACAATTAAGATAAACCTGTTCATATTCATCCTTGTGCGTCTTCTCTTTTTCTTCAGAGGTTTTCTTTTGTGTTGCTAATTTTTCGAGATCCAGCTGAAGCTTCTGAATAGTTTCCACATCATTGGAGTGATTTGAAGCAAGAGTAGTCAACCTTTCCAAGAGAGCATTGTTCTCCCTGTTCTAAAATCAATATAAGATTAGTATTAGGGCTGAGAAAAATAGTTCTATTAATCTGTTGATATATTGTAACTAATTACAGTTGCCGCTCACCCCCCACCCAAATTATCCAGAATCCACACATAATATCAGCTTCACAAATACCACAAGATTATGCAACTTTCATAATTTAAGATCAGTAAAACATAAAATTCAACGCTACAGCTCAGATTTTCTTGATCTTTTTTGTCTGGAGGAACCTTTGAAATAATGTTTCTACTTTAAGGAAACTCAGCATAATAATTATTACATCTGGAGCCACCGGTGGCACAGTGGGTTAAACTGCTGAGTTGCTGAACTTGCTGACCAAAAGGTTGCCATTTTGAATCCAGGGAGCAAGTTGAGCTCCCACTGTTAGCCCCAGCCCCTGCCAATCTAGCAGTTCCAAAACATGTAAACGTGAGTAGATCAATAGGTACTGCTCCAGCGGGAAGGTAATGCCACTCCATGCAGTCATGCTGGCCACATGACCTTAGAGGTGCCTATGGATGATGCCGGCTCTTCAGTTTAGAAATGGAGATGACCACCAGAGTTGGACACGACTAGACTTAATGTCAGGGGAAAACCTTTACCTTTACCTGCAAATAGTCCCTTCTAATAATAGGAGGCTAATAATAATAATAATAATATATTAATAATAATATATTATTATCTCATTTTATTAAGGTATTAAAGTATTCTATTATTAATATAGCATTAAAGTATTATATGATAATATATTATGTATAATTAATTATTTTTAGGTTATCATTATTAAGTTATTTAATAATAATAATGCTTTTATGCTAAGCTGCTTTGAGTTTCTGGGAGAGATAAAGCAGAGTATAAATAAATATAATAATAATAATAATAATTTATTATTAATAATAATACATTATGATCTCATTTTTAAGGTATTAAAGTATTATATTATTAATATAGCATTAAAGTATTATATGATAATATATTATGTATAATTAATTATTGTTAGGTACCACTCCGGCAGGAAGGTGGCAGCACTCCATGCAATCATGCCGGCCACATGACCTTGGAGGTGTCTACGGACAATGCCGGCTCTTTGGCTTAGAAATGGAGATGAGCACCAACCCCCAAAGTCGGACACGACTGGACTTAATGTCAGGGAAAGACCTTGAACTTAACCTATCTTTTAAAACAATTGGGGGGGGGGGTTCCCAATCATGATTTTTCACAGAATCCCTGGTAACTTCTCGGAGAAACCCTGGTTAAGGAAACCTGCTCTAGCTAGAAAAAAAAACACTAATAAATATGCAATAAATTATACCTTTAAGATATACTGTATATACTCAAGTATAAGCCTAATTTTTTAGCCCTTTTTTACGCAGAAAAAGTCCCCCTTGGCTTATACTCGAGTTAAAGTTATTTATTATTATTATTATTATTATTATTACATTTATTATTTTACTTTATTATTATTAATTGAAACACAACAAGATAAGTACACAGCAACAAGATCCTTATACTGGCTGTTGTATTGGATCACATGTCGGACACTTCCCAAGTGTCTAGGACTATGTGATGTATCAGCCAATAATGCATGCAGATCACAATAGGGCAGACTTTTGTAACTGACAGATGGTAATTTTGTCAGCACCGATTGTGTTTAAGTATAGGCCAAGGTATTACATTTATTATTTTACCTTATTAGTGTTATTATTACATTTATTATTTCACTCTATTTATTATTATTACATTTATTATTTTACACTATTATTACTGCTATTATTACATTTCCATTATTATTATTATTATTATTATTATTATTATTATTATTATTACATTTATTATTTTACTCTATTATTATTGGAAGGATACGTAAGCACATTTACATTGAAGAAGATCCGAATAATCAGAGTTGGACAGTCTTATCTTAAATTATAGTTTTATGTAAATATTCAAAAACATTAACCCACTGATGCCTCAATTATTCTCATTTTATTGGTATCTATTTTTATTTTTAAATTTCCCAGTAGTTGCTTCACTTCCCACCCTTGGATTATACTCGTCAATACGTTTTCCCTGGTTTTTTGGGGTAAAATTGGGTACCACGGCTTATATTCGGGTCGGCTTGTACTCAAGTACATATACAGTAAACTGACAGACAAACAGATAGACAAACAGACAGATGCTGAACAATCTCTTGATTTAATAGAAAGTAGCTGATCCTTAATATGTAAGTGTTAAAACATTTTTAAAAAATAAAGCTTCAATTAGAGGGGGAGGGTTACAAAAAAAGCTGAGTTATAACAATATTATTCCAAGAAGATTTGCTAATTTCCTGCTGATATCACAAATTCCTTCCCCTGTACTATATCCAAGGTCAAGGTATTACATTTATTATTTTACCTTATTAGTGTTATTATTACATGTATTATTTCACTCTATTTATTATTATTATTACATTTATTATTTTACACTATTATTACTGCTATGATTACATTTCCATTATATTATTATTATTATTATTATTATTATTACATTTATTATTTTACTCTATTAATATTGGAAGGATACGTAAGCACATTTACGAAGATCCGAATAATCAGAGTTGGATAGTCTTATCTTAAATTACAATTTTATGTAAATATTAAAAAACATTTAACCCACAGATGCTTCAGTTAATGCAATTGTATTGGTATCTCGGCTTATACTTGAGTCAATCCATTGTCACAGTTTTTTGTGGCAAAATTAGGTGCCTCGACTTATATTCGAGTCGGCTTATACTCGAGTATATATGGTAAGTAATTGTACAACCAAGTCTGATTGTTCATATGTTTACTGAGCATTGAATGTACACTCTTTCATAAATCTTTTGTATATATTTTTCTTTTGTCTTTTTTTTCTTACGTTAATCTGTTTTGTTTCCTATATACACTATAAAACAATAAAAAAAATTAAAAATATGCAATAAATTACAGTATTCAATAGAAATAGGGTGGGGAATCAGAGAATCTTAGGGTAGGAAGAGGCTGCAGGGGTATCTAGTCCTACTCTCTGACATCTAGGTATGCCCCGGAAAGGTGCCCATCCAAACTTTATTTAAAGACCATCCCCCAGCCCCAAAAGAAGGAGAGTCCACCACTCTCTGGGGTACAATAGTGTCTCGCTTATCTGACATAAACGGGCCTGCAGAAGGTCGGATAAACAAAATGTCGGATAATATTCTTCTACTGTTACCCGTCCGACCGGCACTAGAATACTAACAGGGACTCAAAGCGTTAACGCAAGGCAATGCCTCGGGGCTAGAGCAGCCCAGCAGGAAGTGCCCGGATGTGGAAGAGGAGCGATGCAATCACAAAGGGAAGGAGGGAGGACACTTCCGCTTCCGGTCCTGCCTCTTTCCCCGCTTTCCTCTCTCCTCCTCCTCCTCGTCTTGCCTTTTTCAAGACAAGGAGAGAGAGTTGGGGAGTGCTCCTTTAATTGAAGGGGAAACACTGGAGGAAAAGGGGGGCGTCGGATAAGATGGAATGTCGGATGAGCGAAGGTCGGATAAGCAAGGCTCTACTGGAGTCTGTTCTACAAACAGTTCTCAATGCAAAACCCAATTGGACCCTTGTAAACTACCTGGTCTTCCAGTTTTTTCTGCAAGCGTTGTACTCGGTACGAAAGCTGAATGTTCAACACAAAACGGCGGATGTTCTGGAACCTGCGCCTCGCAAGCCAAGCTCGAGCATACTTTTGCAAGACTAATGCCTTCTGTTCTTCCACCATCTTCATAAAAAAAAGAGGCAACACATAGTCATTTAGGTCTTATGAAAAATACTAGTCACTTAATAATGTATTTACACTCATTCTAGGATGGCAGGAGGAGCAATCCTCCTGCCAAAGGGTTTCATCCCCACATGGCAACTTGACTCAGCAGGAGTCAATAGTCTTTTTCCATTTTATCTATTACTAGCTGTCCCCTGCCACACGTTGCTGTGGCCCAGTCTGTGTATATGTGTTTTGTGTGGTTCTGCGCATGCGCTGTCATGTATTTTTTTTATTTTTTTGGCTTCTTAAGTCTCTTCTGCTGTTTTTCTGAGTGATGGTCACTCGTTGGCCTGATAGGTGTATTATGTCCAAATCTGGTGTCTTTTCGCCCAGTGGTTTTTGAGTTATGTTAATCCCACAAACGAAAATTACATTCTTATTTATACCTAGCTGTCCCCTGCCACGCCTTACTGTGGCCCAGTGTGTGTATGCGTGTTTTGTTTGCATATATGTGTGTGTATATATTTGTGTATATGTGTATATATGTGGTTTTGCACATGCGTTGTAATGTAATTATTGTTTTTTTGGCTTTTCTAAGACTCTTTTGCTGTGTTTTTCAGTGTTTTTCTGAGTGATGGTCACTTGTTGCCCTGATTGCTTATTATGTCATTGTTTTAATTGTTCTTAAACTGTTTTTATGATGTTGAGCATTGAATTTTGCTATTGTTAACCGCTTTGAGTAGCCCAAGGGCTGAGAAAAGCGGTATATAAATGAAGGAAATAATAAATAAATAAATAAATAAATAAATGATTGTGTATGTGTATATATGTGCTTTTGTGCATGCATTGTAATGCGGGTTTTTTTGGGGTTTTTTTTTTGCTTTTTGAGTTTCTTCTGCTGTGTTTTTCAGTGTGTATCACTCGTTGTCCTGAGAGGTGTCTGGTGTCCAAATCTGGTGTCAATTTGTCCAATAGTTTTTGAGTTATGTTAATCCCACAAACAAACAGTACATTTTTATTTATATAGATGAGTCCTTCCTTGCTCAGTCAGATTAATTATCCAGCCACGACTTTTCAGTCCTATTATTTTCTGCTCTGTCCTTCCATTATTAAACTCAATATTCTTAGAATATTATAAGTAAACGTTATTTCATGTCTGATCTTATTATCCTGCAAGAGCAGGCAAGGACTGTTCTTCCTGCCATCCCGGAATGGTAAGTTTTTCTGATCAAGGAGGTGCTATAAGTAAGTTTTAATTAATTTTCATGGTTTTAACTGGGGTTTTTTTTTAATACTGTTAATATTTAATGCTGTTTCTTAGGTTTTAAAGTGTACTGTATTGGTTTTAGTGCAAGCTGCTTTGAGTCTCTTTTTTAGAGAGAAAAAGGATGATGATGAGGAGGAGGAGGATGATGAAGATGATGATGATGAGAAGGCGTCAAGTTAGAGAGTGCCATTTTCTTTGGGGGTAGAGAAGGGCAGGGTACAAATATTTGAAATAAATAAATAAATTTGAAATTATGTATAAGTTTTCATTCTTAAAACAACACAGGGAAACAATCTACCATGACTGGGATTTACCCAGCTCTCAAATTGGGCGGAAAAAATGATTGAAGATAGAATCACAAAATCATAAGAGTTGGAAGAGAACTCGTGGGTCATCCAGTCCAACCCCCTGCCAAACAGGAAAATCACACTGAAAGCACCCCCGACAGATGGTCATTCAATCCCTGCTTAAAAGCCTCCAAAGAAGGAGCCTTCACCACACTCCGGGGCAGAGAGTTCTACTGCTGAACAGCTCTCTCTCACAGTCAGGAAGTTCTTCCTAATGTTCAGATGGAATCTCCTTTCTTGCAGATTGAAGCCATTGTTCTGCATCCTGTTCTGTCTCCAGGACAGCAGAAAACAAGCCTGCTCCCTCCTCCCTATGACTTCCCCTCACATCTTGATCCATGGCCCTCATCATGTCTCCTCTCAGCCTTCTCTTCTGCAGGCTAAACATCCCCAGCTCTTTAAGCCACTCCTCATAGGACTTGTTTTCTAGATCCTTGATCATTTTTGTTGCCCTCCTCTGGACACATTCCAGCGTGTCAACATCTCCCTTAAATTGTGATGCCCAGGACTGGACACAGTATTTCAGGTATGGTCTGAGCAAGGCAGAATAGAGAATGGTGAGCATGATTATGCCCTATTCATGCAGGGCAAAATCTCATTGGCTTTTTAAGCTGCTGCATCAAATTGCTGGCTCATGTTTAACCTGTTGTCCACGAGGACACCAAGATCTTTTTCACACTGCTGTCGAGCCAGGCATCGTGCCCCATTCCGTATCTTTGCATTTCCATTTTTTCTGCCTAAGTGGAGTATCTTGCATTTGTCCCTGTTGAACTTCATTTTGTTAATTTTGGCCAATCGTTTGTTAAGATCATTTTGAATTCTGCTCAATCAGATCAGCCCTTCAATTAGCACCACTGATTGAGGGACCATTCTGCCAAATGCATCCCATTCTGCCTTAAACCTGTCTAGTTTGTAATGTTTAATAAAAGTTGTCAGTTCTGCCCACCTCAGAGCATGGCATATGTTTTGCAAAGATGCTGAGACAGCACAAGCATCACTCATAGCCATGGATCTTACTGAATGTGACCACATATACCTTGGCCTTAGCATACTCTCATAATTATAACATTTGTGTTATGACAAAGGTGTTGTTTAAACAGGGTTTGAAGGTATATGTGGTCACAATCAATATATATAATTATTTGTTTTTATAGGACTATCAGTGGTCCCCTGCCAGGCGTTGCTGTGGCCCAATCTGGTGATCTGGGAAATAAAGTAATGAGAAAGTATTGGTTTCTAATAGATGTAATGTCTTTCTGCTTGTGGGTAAACAGTATTTATTGCTGTTTCTTTGTCAGTGTTGATGTGGAGATTGTCTGGTTTGCCTACTCTGGAACATGCAACATATCATTGTCCTTCTTTAGGGGTCCCTTTCAAATCTATGATACTATATCTGTGTGTGTGTGAATCATATTTATCTATCTCTATCTATGGCTGGATGGCTCAGGAGGGCTTTGATTATGTTTTCTTGTCCTGGTGAAGGGAGTTGGACTGGATGGCCTTAAGTATTTTCCGTTGGTCTTAGTGGTTATGTGTGGGAAGTTTGCCCCAATTCTGTCATTGGTGGGGTTCAGAATGCTCTTTGATTGTGGGTGAACTATAAATCCCAATAACTACAACACCCAAATGTCAAGGTCTATTTGCCCCAAACTCCATTTGTGTGCATATTTGGGCATATGGAGTATTCATGCCAAGTTTGGTTCCAGATCCATCATTGTTTGAGTCCAAAGTGCTCTCTGGATGTAGGTGAACTACAACTCCTAAACTCAAGGTCAATGCCCACCAAACTCTTCTAGTGTTTTCTGTTGATCATGGGAGTTCTGTGTCCCAAGATTGCTTCAATTCCATCATTGGTGGAGTTCAGAAGGCTCTTTGATTGTAGGTGAACTATAAATCCCAGCAACTAAAACTCCCAAATGACAAAATCAATTTTTTGAGTAAAGGACATACATTGGGTTGTTAGGTGTATTGTGTCCAAATTTGGTGTCAATTTATCCAGTGGTTTTTTAGTTCTGTTAATCCCACAAATGAACATTACATTTTTATTTATATAGATTTATTTATATAGATTAGCTGGAACACCTCAGCAAGCAAGAGTTCAAAAGTGGCAGGCTCAAACCCAGAACCTCAATCAATGGCTGATACCAAATGAGAGACTCTCCCCTGGGCACACAGAAAACTGGGCGACTTGGAAGGCGCTGAACAGACTGCGCTCTGGCACCACGAGATGCAGAGCCAACCTCAAGAAATGGGGCCAAAAAGTGGAATCCACGACATGCGAGTGTGGAGAGGAGCAAACCACTGACCACCTGCTGCAATGCAACCTGAGCCCTGCCACATGCACAATGGAGGACCTTCTTGCAGCAACACCAGAAGCACTCCAAGTGACCAGATACTGGTCAAAGGACATTTAATCAACTACCAAACTCACAAATTTTGTATTTTGTCGGTTTGTTTGCTTTGTTCTGTTAGAAATGTAATATAATTGACTGGTTGCCCTGACACGACAAAAAAAAAAAGTTTAAATTGCTCCGTAGTTGTGAATTTCAGCTTCTAGATTGGTTTTACAGGATAAATTGTTTTTAAACAGTGGCTTATTAATACCTATGGTATTTTAAATTGCACTAAATGATAATTGGTTGTTGCTATTGTTGTTTATCATGTATGCTCATAATTTCGTATTATTACTTGCTGTAAGCTGCCCCAAGTCTCTTCGGGGAGAGGGGACAGGGTATAAATAAAAATGTATTATTATTATTTATTTAGTAGGGTTCATAGCTGACATTCTTGTAAGGCTCTATTTTGCAAGTTAATCCTGATTAAAAAGGAACTCCACCCAATTGCCAATATCCCACCATGATAGTCAGTATACTGGGGAAGAAAGATGCCACTCTCGCCAACATAGGAATTATTTCTTTCCAGAAACAATAGATTTAACACATCCTGTGGGGTTCCTATGTGGATTTTTTAATCGCCTTTACCTTTCTGTATTTCTTCCTTGCCAGAAATCCTCGGGTGAAAGCTTGAATGGTCAAAGCAGCCACACGAATGAGCTGGCAAAGTCTGCGCACTAAATATCCCCGGCAGTGTTTCTGGATAACAATGGCTGCCCAGGTTTCTTTCAAGGCAGCGGCAGTTATGGCTTGCCTAAGAACAAAATAAAATTATGGTTAATGTTTTAAAATTGCTTCCCTCCAGGAACCCTCTTACGGCTCTTTCACACACAACCATTTTCCGACAGAAAGGGACCTGCCACAGTATATTCATTAACTTAGCATCATTAAATATCGGCAGGGCTGGACCAGGCACAAAGACTTCACCTACTCAAGAATAAAGCACTCAACTAAAAAGGAAATCCATCTGCATCAGCTGCCCAAAGCAGAAAGAGCCAAGTGGCAAGGCATGGGATGAATTCAGCTCTTCAGGCCATTTCGGCTGGCTCTGTAGCTTTGTAAAATAACAGCAAAAGGCTGGCTGAGAGCTTCATTCAGAAGCAGAAGGCAAAGCCACTTTCAAATAGTAATAGGAAATAAAAACAATTATGCACATAGAATCCTAGACTTGCAAGAGAGAGACCTCATGGGCCATCCAGTCCAAACCCGTTCTGCCAAGAAGCAGGAAACCTGCATTCAGAGCACCCCCAACAGATGGCCATCCAGCCTCTGTATTGTCAAAGGCTTTCATGGCCGGAATCACTGGGTTTTTGTAGGTTTTTTTGGGCTATATGGCCATGTTCTAGAGCAGCGGTTCTCAACCTGGGGAATGCGAAATCCCGGGGGGTCGTTTGGCCATTTTGGAGGAGTTGCGAGGCCACCTCCTTAGGCCTCGCCCACAAGGCTGTGAGGCAGCCGAGGGCTCCTTTGCGCGAGCCCTCCCTGGGCTCCCTTGCGGCCTTGCCATTTGAAACATTCCCACCTAGCTCCAGCAGACAAGAGTCCTTTATCCCACCCTGGTCATCCCTCAGATATGTAAACCCATTTTCCTAGTTCCAACAGACCACACTACCTCTGAGGATGCTTGCCATAGATGCAGGCAAAACGTCAGGAGAGAATGCCTCTAGAACATGGCCATATAGCCCGAAAAAACTTACAACAACCCATCCAGCCTCTGCTTGAAAGCCTCCAAAGAAGGAGCCTCCACCACACTCCGAGGCAGAGAGTTCCACTGCTGAACAACTCTCAGGAAGTTCCTCCTCATGCAGCACACACATTTTAAATCTTGTTGGAGGAGATGCTGCGGTTTGTCATCGCTCAGTGTTTGAACTTTGATTGGTTATTTGGGATGTTGATTCAGAAAATGGCATTGGATAGACCACATCAGCTCTTGTTTCTGATATGCCATCCAAGGTAAAGGGTAAATGTTGTCCCCTGACATTAAGTCCAATCATGTCTGATTCTGGGGTGTGGTGCTCATCTCCATTTCTAAGCCAAAGAGCCGCCGTTGTCCATAGACACCTCCAAGGTCATGTGGCCGTCATGACTGCATGGAGCGCCCTTACCTTCCCGCCAGACCAGTACCTGTTGATCTACTCACATTTGCATGTTTTCGAACTGCTAGGTTGGCAGAAGCTGGGGCTGACAGCGGAAGCTCACACCACTCCCCGGAATCGAACCTGCGACCTTTCGGTCAACAAGCTCAGCATCTCAGCACTTTAACCCACTGCGCCACCAGGGACTCATGTCATCCAAACCATATTTAATAATCTAGTGCTGATGTGGTCTATCCAATGCCATTTTCTGAATCAGCACCACAAATAACCCCAAGAGAAGGCCTAAAAACGAAGACACCAGAATAATAATCTTTATTTATACCCCGCCACCATCTCCCCGATGGGGACTCGGAGCGGCTTACATGGGGCCAAGCCCAGACAACATATTACAACAAAATAAAACCAGAGCATAAACGATAAACAACATCATCAAATTACATCAAGAAAAAAAATTATAAACACAGCCATAAAATAACATTCCAATAGGCACAATCACAATAACAATGGGTGGACCACATGTACAGGATAAAAATGATTCTAAGACTCTAATGAGATAAAAATAGGAACAAGTTATCTGCAGGGAACTAGTAAAAACATACATAGTTGTGAAGCTAAACTTCCCATTTGGAAGGCGTGTATTCCAGTGGGAAGAGCATTGAGGGATGCAATGGTGTCATACTGTGCACCTACTCGCCAAACGCACAGCAGAAGAGCCAGGTTTTAAGGTTCTTTTTGAACGTTTCTAGAGACGGGGCTTTCCTCATCTCTCCAGGTAATGAGTTCCAAAGTCGGGGAGTCACAGAGGAGAAGGCTCTCTCCCTTGTGCCCACAAAACAAGCTTGTAAGATTGGTAGGGGTGAAAGGAGGGCCTCCCCCGAAGATCTAAGGGCCTGGGTTGGTGCGTGGAGAGAGATACAGTCACAAAGGTAGACGGGTCCCAAACCGTTTAGGGCTTTGTAGATGATAACCTGTACCTTGAATTGGGACCGGAAAATGAATGGCAGCCAGTGGAGCTCCTTAAACATGGGAGTTGACCGCTCCCTATAACTAGCCCCAGTTATTAATCTATCATCCTTAAGAAGCTAGATGAACTACGTTAGAAACCTGCTGTAGAAAAAATCCTTTCATAGAATCTTAGAGAGGGGAGGCCAGGAGACAGTTCCACCTTTTCTTCTGTGCTATTCTAATAATATAATATAATATATAATATATTGTATATACATATAATATTTATAATATTATAATGTAATGCAATATAATACTAATAATAATTTGATATTATAATTATATATTTATATTACATGTAATATTACTAATAATATTACAGTATAATTGATATAGTACAATATAGCAATATTTAAAACTGAGATTGTACTATGCTAATAATATATCGTACGTATATATACCTTGTAAGCTGCTCTGAGTCCCCTTTGGAGTGAGAAGGGCGGCATAAAAATGTCGTAAATAAATAAATAAATAAATAAATCGGCCCTCCACTCCAACCCCATTCTGCCGAGAAGCAGGAAAATTGCATTCAAAGCACCTCCGACAGATGGCCATCCAGCTTCTGTTTAAAGGCTTCCAAAGAAGGAACCTCCACCACACTTTCAATTTTATAACTTGTAGGTATAAAATGGTAGTCCACATTGCTAGATCTTCTCCCACATTGGCAACAAGATGTGATTTCCCATGAATTGATAAGGTTGCTCTTTGAAGTTACCTCACCGTACGTTGCCCTCGGATGTACTGCTGTATCGTAATCGCTGCTTGTCGGATACGGAGGAATTTTTTCCTCTGAAGCCAGCCTCGCATGTTCTTTTGGATCATGATACACGCTTGCCTCAGTTTATCTGACCGTAATTTTTCCAAATACGCAACCTGCCCTGCTCTGAAGAAGATTTTTGTTCTGCCAAACTGATACTGGCTTGGATCCTGAGAGGAAGGAAGAGGAAGGAACACAAAAGGAAGATTGGAAGTAATTTAAAATCTGTTTTGACATGATACAAAAATATAATTCTAGCACTATCAAACATGAATGCATTTTCATTTATGGATGACCAATCGGGTCTAGGTGTAAAATGACGACTTTTGTTTTAACAGTGATTTACAAAATTTCCAACCTGGATCAACCGCTGTAAAACAATCTTGCAAATCTGTTTCTTATCTGTTAGAGAGAGTTCGTGTTGAAACATGAGAATGCTGTAGCGGCTGTAGAACTCAATGTAAGTCCATCTACAAAATAAAAATAATGTTTAAACTGATGAAATATAGAAATTAAATAGCTGACTTGAATCCAGGGTTGGGAGAAAGGCAGGATATAGATTGGATCAGATCAAATAAATAATCTTAGGGATCAGTACATACCTGGATGGATAACTTTGAGAACTAATCCGAATTGTTTCTAAAACACCACATGCTCGCAGCTGCTGGACCACTCTTTTGGCATCAAACCTAAAGGGGCAAAATAAAATTGTTATTATCTGTCGCATTTGTTAATGATTAGGCCTTATACTTTTATGGCTATTATATCGTTGTGCAAGATTTTAAGAAGGGACAAAACTGGCTCAAATAAAAATATGGGAAAATATATAAAAGCAGATTACATGCAAAGACTGCTGTGCTGGCACGGCTGTGCCAGGAGATTTGAATTTCTTTTTCTTGCACTGTTAGTTTGCATGAATCCATTTAGGCCATGCATTTTGCAATTGGGTAGCTTTCCCCAGGTTGCAGTCATAGGGCCAACAACCTATCAATCATCGTTAGAGCCTTTAGATCCACCCTTTCCCCCAGGTTTTAGAGGGAAAAGGGGACTTTTAGTTCAGTCTCACAATTTGGAGCCTTACAGCAGGACGTGTGGGCTTTTCTCTCTCCCACCTGCAAAAGCTTCACTTCTTACAGCTTTTGCTGGGGGGAAAGGAAAACCTCTACAGCTTTTGCTGGGGAGTAAAGTTACAGTTCCACAGCTTTGCTGGGGGGATACAGCCAGCTTTTGCTGGAAAATAAAGGAATGGTTCCACGGCCCTTGTGGGGCAGATCTACAGGACACCAACTTGGCAGATCTACAGCAACCATTGCCTGGTAAGGGACCACTCAGGCTATCCATAATGCAGCTTGGAGTCGGGACTTGGGGCCTCATGCCAGCAGGGTAAAGAAAGATTGCCCAAGGAGGGGTTGGAAGGTTTCCCTAAAGAAGATAGGAACAGTTTATCAAGCAGTTGCCTGTCCCTTGTTGGCAGATCGAGAAAGCTACTAGTTTTTCAAGATTATATAGCATTTAATTCATTTGTTCAAAGATTTAAGCCTTAATAAAGAACTTTGTTGAACCTATTTTGAGCCTCTACAGAACTTTGTGTTGGGAAACCTGTGGGACCCTTTAGCTGAGGCACCCCGGCGTCCTGTTGGGCATACAGAAAGCACGTCCTGTAAACAAACATTGTCATAGGCCCAGCACGCGACAGCACAACTCCATTATGGATTTCCCCTCATCCTGGAAGAAGACATAGAAGGGAATTGGGACAAGAAAAGTGGCTAACATAATGACATATTGAAAAACCAAAACGGAAACTTTATTTTAAAAACACAAGAAGAAACCAAGCAAATGGGCATAAATATCTCTTGGTTCCAATATAGATAAATACAGGAGTATTGTAACAAAGACAGTACTTGGCAGCTAGCTCTCCACAAAGTCAACATTGACACTAAAATACAACACTGCCTGAGCTCTGTGAGTGCAGCATTTTTCTGAATGAAGCAGAGAGTGTTTGAGGATTGGGACATCCGTAGGGAGACCAAGGGGCTTGTTTATAAAGCCATGTTCCTCCCAATCCAAACGAATTCACCCCTATATCCCACCTTGTAATTTAAGATCACCTGGGAAGGTCCTGCTCTCGCTCCTGTCAACAGCACAGATGCGTCTGCTGGGGACGAGGGACAGGGCCTTCTCGGGGGTGCCCCCCCCTATGGAACACACTCCCAAATGAGGTAAGATCCGCTCCCTCCCACCTGGCTTTAAAAAAAAAATTGAAATCATGGTTTTGGGACCAGGCCTTCGGGCAGTAGAAGTAAATATATGCAGCATTTCAGAAAGACAATGACTGGAACGGCGATTCGACGGACGAGACTTTTTTATTGTTTTAATTATTGTTTTATTGCTCATGGATGTATTTTTTTAATTTGATTTATGTCTAATTGTAGTGTATAATTGTAATTGTTTGTACTGGCATTGAATTTTTGCCATTACTTATGTGTAAACCACTTTGAGTCCCCCTTGGGGTGAGAAAAGTGGTATACAGATACTGTAAATGAATAAATAAATAAACCCTATTATATGTCTGAGAAATGTGGACTGTCTACATACGTCACACTCAACTCCTGGAACGATTCAAGCCCCTATCCTAGAAACCTTTAAAAAGAACCTCAAAACCTGGCTCTTCCGCTGTGCATTTGATGAATAGATTTACATCCTCACAATAGTGTTTACCTCAATGTTTTTTGTTATTGGAGTACATTCCCCCCTTATGGGAAAGCTTGGTTCCACGACCTCCACTATAATGAGCTCTCCTCCACAAATACCGTATAACTCAAGTATAAGCCAACCCGAATATAAGCTGAGGGACCTAATTTTACCAGAAAAAACTGGAAAAACGTATTGACTCAAGTATAAGCCGAGGGTGAGAAATGTAGCTGCTACTGGTAATGGTCAGTAGGTTAAATGTTTTTGAGTATTTACACAAAACTGTAATTTAAGATAAGACTGCCCAACTCCTGATTCAACCATTATTCTAAACTCCTTCAATGTAAATGTGCTTACCTATTACCTATAATGATAGAATAAAATAATAAATGTAATAACATGTAATAAAAATAATAATAGAGTAAATAATGGAAATTTAATAATAATAGTAATAATAATAAAGTAATAAATGTAATAATAACAATAATAGAGTAAAATAATAAATGCAATAAATATAATAATACAGTAAAATAACGTAAATGTAATAATATTAATAGAGTAAAATAATAAATGTAATAAAAGTAATACTAATAGCAGGTTAAAATAATAAATAACCTTGACTCGAGTATAAGCTGAGGGGATTTTTTTCAGCCTAAAAAAGGGGCTGAAAAACTAGGCTTATACTTGAGTATATACAGTAATCTGTCTCTGTTTTATCTCGCCTGAGTTTTTAATCTGGTTTTAATCAGCTTTTCTTTTATCCATTACATGTTGCCTGCCCATTGTCATTGTGATTGTGCTTATTGTAATCTTATACTGCTATGTTTTCATTTGTTTCTGTAATTACGTTATTATTGTTTATTATTTGCGTTTTCGTTTTTATTTTATGTAATTGTTGTTTGGGCTTGGCCTCATGTAAGCCGCACCGAGTCCCCATTGGGGAGATGGTGCGGGGTACAAATAAAGATGATGATTATTATTATTATTATTATTACCCTCCGGAAAATCCTGCACTGATTCTTGTGGTTTCTGAAGCAAGGAGATAATGATATGCTACTCAGGGTATCTTCTCATGAGAGATGGAGAGTCAAAAGTTCTCATGTTGGAATGTGCTTATGTCCAGTGATTGCTTTGTTAGGCACCAATTCTATATCAGTGTTGCCTCTGAAAAATCCTGCAAATCCCTTGAGAAGTCAGGCAGACAAATGTCAGCGTGCTGGAAGAAGCAAAGACCACAAGCATTGAAGCGATGCTCCTACACCATTAACTCTGCTGGACTGGCCACGTTGTCCAAATGCCCAATCACAATCTCCCAAGGCAGTTACTATACTCCCAACTCTAAAATGGGAAACGTAATGCTAGTAGACAGAAAAAGACACTTAGAACTGGGAAGACCTGGCCCTTGAGCGCTCTAACTGGAGGTCAGTTGTGGCCAACAGTGCTGTGGAATTTGAAGAGGCACAAATGGAGGGCGGAAGAGAGAAACGTGCTAAGAGGAAGAAGTCAACATCAAGCCAACCCTGACCAGGACTGCCTTCCACTTGGAAATCGATGCCCTCACTCTGGAAGAACATGTGGATCAAGAATAGGATTCCACAGTCACCTACATATCCACCGCCAAGACACTACATTTGGAAGGCCATCCTACTCGGACAATGATGGATCACCTAAGTAAGTAAGTAACTGTGGCTTGAGCGAGAAGAAATATTAAGGAAAAGAGATTTTTTATCTTTGCTACTGTGAAAGTGACTCAAGTGTACAATAATCTATATCAATAAAAATGTAATGTTCATTTGTGGGATTAACAGAACTCAAAAACCACTGGACAAATTGGCACCAAATTTGGACACAAGACACCTAACAACCCAATGTATGTCCTTCTCTCAAAAAAATTGCTTTTGTCATTTGAGAGTTGTAGTTGCTGGGATTTATAGTTCACCTACAATCAAAGAGCATTCTGAACCCCACCAACGATGGAATTGAACCAAACTTGGCACACAGTTCTCCCATGACCCACAGAAAATACTGGAAGGGTTTGGTGGGCAGTGTCCTTTGGTTTTGGAGTTGTAGTTCACCTACATCCAGAGAGCACTGTGGACTCAAACAATGATGGATCTGGACCAAACTCTACACGAATACTCAATATGCCAAATGTGAACACTGGTGTAGACTTTGGGGAAAATAGAATCTTGACATTCGGGAGTTGTAGTTGCTGGGATTCAGAGCATTCTGAATCCCACCAACGATAGATTTGGGCCAAACCTCCCACACAGAACCCCCATGTGGGCCACAGCAACGCTAGGTACACATAAATGTCTACTGACATTCATTCTCATAAAGGAAGTCATCGATACAAAAGATAGAATTATGTTTCAGCTGAATAAACGTACTCACTCAAATGCTAACTTCTGATCATTTGGCTTTATGCAGCGTACATAGTGAGGTGTCGTTGCGTTGAGTGTCTCCATTAACAAATATAAGGAACTGCGGAACTGTAAGATATTATGACAAAAAATTATGTGCTTTTAATAAAAAAGTGTCAAATCTAACATGCAAATGAAAACAATAATAAACATGAACGTACAGACTATGGCAGTGAAACTAAATAAGAGTCTGTCAATTCAGTGAGTAGGCAGACATATATGATTGCGGTCCCCTTTTCATCCTTTCCTCATTTAGACTTCTTCCATTGCTCAGGTTATTTCAGTCCTTTCCTCTCTTTTTAAAAGTCTGGACCTCCTGAGCTAACATCAAAGTGTTCCAAAATCATTAAGGAAATAGAGCCAAAGAGACAGGCGGCCCTGCATTTCGTATTTTTTTCCTTCTGTACTGCCCGCACAACCTGAGTATGTCTGGAGGTGGACAAGGGGTGGAACTCCAAGACAGTCAAGGCTGCTTCACATACTATAAAACCTGCTTATATCTTGTCCTTCCTCCACTCTATTCTTGCATTAGATATCCTACGGCCAGGGTCAGAAGATCTGAAGTTTCAAATGTCATGTTCTGAGTCTGTTCCTATTATGAAACTCAAGGCCAGAATGCATTTCCCTGAGACCCAAAAAGGGTAATCCAACATTCAGCAAATTTTATATATAGGTCTGTAAGTACAAATGTGCATTTGCCCGTAAAGATGACAGGAACAGCATTGGATCAATTACTATTTCTTAGCATAGCCTGTCTAACATGGTTATTGTGAAGATAAAATGAAACAGGGGAGATGTATGTTGCATTGATGTCCTTAGAAGAAATGCAGATTATACCTATGGCAAAGACACGATATTTCAAAATAAATCTTTTTTTTTAAAAAATACCTTATTGCCAACTGTGGTACGGAACTGTTTATTTGGTGATTTGATGACTATTTTTGCAGATTTAACTTGGATGGATGAGCTGAATGGTGAAATAGGAATGGGATTGTCTTGAAAAAAGTTTGCACACAGTTGAAACTAAAAAAAAAAAGAGATAAGAATAGGGACAATATTGCAGATCAATTCCACACAAGTAGATAATCTCAAAATAAGTGACCCCCTCTCAATTGGCTCACATTATGAAAATCATTTCTAACAAATGCTGGCATGTGGTGGGACTGCTCTGAAATCCAAAAATACTATAATACTGTTAGAGAAGTAATAGAGGAAATAATAGAGCAAAAACTACATTGGAATAAGCTCGATTTCTGTCCCTCTGCCACAGTCGTCAGAGGTTGGAAAGATAAAACAAGGTGGGATCTGAAAACCTGGTGGTCTTATCTCTCTGAATATTTACCGTATATACTCGAATATAAGATCACCCGAATATAAGCTAAGGGACCTAATTTTACCACAAAAAAATTGGAAAAACGTATTGACTCAAGTATAAGCCGAGGGTGAGAAATGTAGCTGCTACTGGTAATCATCAGTAGATTAAATGTTTTTGAGTATTTACACAAAACTGTAATTTAAGATAAGACTGCCCAACTCTGATTCAACCATTACTCTAACCTCTTTCAATGTAAATGTGCTTACCTATTACCTATAATGATAAAATAAAATAATAAATGTAATAACATGTAATAAAAATAATAGAGTAAATAATTGAAATTTAATAATAATAGTTATAATAAAGTAATACATGTAATAATAACAATAATAGAGTAAAATAATAAATGCAATAAATATAATAATACAGTAAAATAATGTAAATGTAATAATAATAGAGCAAAATAATACATGTAATAAAAATACTAATAGCAGAGTAAAATAATAAATAACCTTGACTCGAGTATAAGCCGAGGGGATTTTTTTCAGCCTAAAAAAGGGGCTGAAAAACTAGGCTTATACTTGAATATCTACAGTAATTAATGAGTTGTAGGTTTTTTCAGGCTGTATGGCCATGTTCTAGAGGCATTTTCGTCTGCATCTATGGCAAGCATCCTCAGAGGTAGTGAGGTAGTGACCTCACTACCTCTGAGGATGCTTGCCATAGATGCAGGTGAAACGTCAGGAGAAAATGCCTCTAGAACATGGCCATATAGCCCGAAAAAACCTACAACAACCCAGTGATTCCGGCCATGAAATTTTTCGACAATATAGTAATTAACGACATCAGCTATGAAAAAATAAATAAATATTTGAATATTCAGTCAAGACAAGATTGGTATGGGAAATTGTCTTGTTTACTCGACAAAACGGAAGGAAAAGATAGGTACAGAACTTTAAATCAGGCCTTCCAGACAATTAAATCAATGTATTGACTTAAGTAAACCCAGACGGGGGTGGGAGGGAGGTGGGAAGAGGGTGGTAAGGGTGGGTGGGCGGTTTAAAGGGGTAAATAATCGAGATATACGGCAAAGGGAAGCACAATTGGAACCTGTATCCTAGCAATAAAAAATGTAAACAGTTTTTGATATTATCTAAATGCACTTTACTATTGATCTAGGAGTGTCTGCATGCCCCATCCCTCTCTGAAAACTCTATCCTATTTCATATTTCATCTGTTCATGCTCAGCATTATTTTAAAATTTTAACTATTACATTTGGCCCAGCCATAGGTTTTTAAACGTCACTGTGTTACTGTTAATGTTTATTGCTTATTTTTTGTTATGACTTTTTATTTTATGGTTTTGTATTATTTGTTGTTTATTGCGTTTATTATTGATGTATTGTGGGCTCGGCCTCATGTAAGCCGCACTGAGTCCCTTGGGAGATGGTAGCAAGGTATAAACAAAGTATTATTATTATTATTATTATTATCATTATTATCTTTTAGATGGCTAAGGTTCGTACTGTATTATTGTGTTATCTGTATGAAAAAATAAATTTAAAAGGTTTACAAAATAAGATAATCTCAAAATAGGTGGAAATCCACAAAAATTGATTTCCATTTTTGCAAATGGCAACCAGGCTGCTATCAATCTGTTTTAGATACATAACAACAGAAAAGAGTAGATATAAAAGTACATTAACAAACCTTGCTGTTTTTCAAGATTTCAATCAAGTCTTCATATACCGTGTCTCTGTTTTTTTCCAAAAACCCTTCACTTTTGTACTCTACCTGAGCGGGAAAGGTACAATCAACAATTCAAAGCAAGACGACATATGGCAAGCGGAAAAAGGAAAATGCATTTGATCCAATTATCCAGCTCTATGATGGAGTGTTTCCAAAGCCGGGGTTGGAATTAAGTAGCCCTTGAGATATTGTTGGCTGGCAAAGGACAGCAGCTGTGTCCAGCAGAGACAATGGAAGGAATTGCTAAGAGAAACACCCTAATGGCATCAGGAGGGCCGCATAATGCACACTCCTGATCTAAAGCCATACTTGTGACATAAAATAAACCCTCGGAAGCGGCTTCAAGTGCAACGCTAAGAGATGGAACCACATCTGGTCCATTTTCATTTGAGGGTTGCACTGTCCTCAAGATAATGAAGCAATCTACTTGCATTTGTATATCAATTTGTACACAGGCTGTTGCATTAGAGTAGAAATACACATCATTAGAGGGGTTTTAAAAAATATAATTAGCGTTGTCAGTCATTTTATCATTATATTATGAGGACATTGATGGCAAGGTTTTTGTTTTCCTGGATGTACATTAAATAATTAATATCATTTAGGTAAACATGTTCGTAAGGAGAATTGGAAATTATTTCCACTGCGAATAACATCTAGATCTGAAAAGGGTCCAACCGTGGCCAGATGAATTACTTACCTTATCAGCAAAGTGTTGGATTATAAAAGAAGAATTTGACATTCTTGGTTTCTCAAAGAGAGGGTTCTTGTTTATAAAATTGTTGTATAATTTCTGGAGCCAATTTTCATCTGTTCCTTGGGGTAACTGCAAAAAAAAAAAAAAAGGAAAAAAATCCCAAAACTTGACATGAAATATCTTTAGAAATATACTCAGCAACTGAGATTGATCTTCTTTTAAAAAAATTAATTTTTATTGAGTTTTAATTCAAAGATAGAATAAATATCAAAAGAGGGGGAACAATTTCCTTTTTTATTATAATCTTTATTAAATGTTTTCATAATACATATTAGTTAAAAAGAAGATTTGAATAAAATCCAAGGAAACTATAAAGTCAGAGTAAAGAAAGAAGGCGAAAATTTAGGAAAGCGAAGAAAAAAAAAGAGAAGAGAGAGAGAGAAATATAGAATAAGTAAAAAACAAAACAAACAGAAACTACGGCCTTCATTTTTCTTTGGTCTGACTTCCAGGAAACTTCAAGGATAAGTTCTTCCTTTTCCTTCGTCTGAGCTTTTCCCTTCTTTTTCTCTTTCATTTTTTCCTGTACTTTGAGATTTATGGGGTTAATCTGAGATTTCTTCATATCTTATTTTTCGTTTCTTATTTTAAATATTCATTTATCAATGTCCAATCTGTCTCTTTTTCTATTATCCCTTTATATTTTTGCAATAGATAACTTAGTCTGTCCATGTTTCTTACATCCATAATTTTCTTTTTCCAGTCATCAATTGTAGGTGTTTCCTTTTTTCTCCATAATCTTGCATAACAAATTCTAGCTGCGGTTGTGGAGAGAAATAAAAGTTTATCTATATTACTCTCAATTTTTGGATCTGAAATTCCCAATAGAAATATTTTGGGTTTAAGTGATATATTAATCTTCAATATTTTTTGCAGATTTTCCTGTATTTCTTTCCAATAACTTTTTGCTTTCTTGCACTGCCACCACATATGGTAGAAGGTACCTTCCACTTCTCCACATTTCCAACATTTTGAATTTAAATTCTTATAATACTTCCCTAATTTATGTGATGTCATGTGCCATCTATAAAACATTTTTCCAGTTTTCTTTTAGATCATAAGCGCGTGTATATTTCAATTTTTTATTCCATATAGTCTCCCATTCATCTAATCCTATAGATTCTTGCCCATTTTATCATAAACTCTTTAACTCCTTCTTCCTCTGTGCTCAGGGGGAACAATTTCCAAATAGGAAAGTTTGGAAAAAGAAATGTAAAAAAGAGGAGAATAAAAGAAGCACTGTATATACTCAAGTATAAGCCGACCCGAATATGAGCCGAGGCACCTAATTTTACCACAAAAAAACTGGGAAAATGTATTGACTCGAGTATAAGCCGAGTGGGAAATGCAGCAGCTACTAGTAAATTTCAAAATAAAAATAGATACCAATAAAATTATATTAATTTAGGCATTAGTAGGTTAAATGTTTTTGAATATTTACATAAAACTGTAATTCAAGATAAAACTGTCCAACTCTGATTAAACCATTATTCTAACCTTCTTCAATGTAAATATGCTTACGTGTCCTCCAATAAAAATAAATAGAGTAAATCAAGTGCCCTAACGCAGCGTTGCCCAAACACGAATCAAGGAATACGAAAAGGACTGCAGACTAACTCAACCAGAAAAGTCAGCAATAGCAGAGCACCTGATGAATCAACCTGGACAGCGCATCTTTTTTGAGAACACAGAAATGCTGGACTACTTTAACAACTACCATGTCAGACTAGACCGTTGTTTCCAAACCTTCCTAATGCCGCAATCCCTTAATACAGTTCCACATGTAGTGGTGACCCACAACCATAAATTATTTTCGTTGCTACTTCATAACTGTCATTTTGCTACTGTTATGAATCATAATGTAAATATCTGATATGCAGGATGCATTTTCATTCACTGGAACTAATTTGGCACAAATACCCAATATATCCAAATTTGAATACTGATGTGGCTGATTTTGTCATTTGGGAGTTGTAGTTGCTGTCATTTATAGTTAACCTAAATCAACGAGCATTCTGAACTCCACCAATGATGGAATTGAACCAAACTTGGCACACAGAACTCCCATGACCAACAGAAAATACTGGAAGGGTTTGATGGGCACTGATCTTGAGTTTTGGAGTTGTAGTTCACCTACATCCAGAGAGCAATGATGGATCAGGACCAAAATTCGCACAAATACTCAATATGCCCAAATGTGAACACTGGTGGAGCTTGGGAGAAATAGACCTTGACATTTGTGAGTTGTAGTTACTGGGATTTATAGTTGTACTTGCTGTCATTTATAGTTAACCTACAATCAAAGAGCATTCTGAACCCCACCAATGATAGAATTGGGCCAAACTTCCTACACAGAATCCCCATGACTAATAGAAAATACTGTGTTTTCTGATGGTCTTTGGTGACCCTCCAACAACCCCTCACGACCCCTCACGGGGTCCCAACCCCCAGGTTGAGAAACACTGGACTAGACAGAGAAGCCATTGAAATCCACAAGAAGCATGTGGACAATTTCAACAGTAAGGGGGGAAACCATGAAAATGAACAAAATTTGACCATCAGTATTTAAAAAAAAAACTCTGAAATCAGGACAGTAAAGAAATAACAATTACTCATAGTCCAGCAGCAATGGAGACCAAAAAGGTAACTTGATTTGGGTTCTTCTAATGCTCACTCCTGTCTCTGATAGACTTCCTTGCAAGTCAGCATATTTCCAAAGGGACAACACTGACATCTTTGGGTTGTTATGTGAACAACACCTACTCAAGAGAGCCAGTACACATGCGTAAAACCTATGAATTTGTCCTTATATTAATAATATGGCTTAATAATGTAGTTTTAGAAAGATTCATTCGTGCATACAAAGTATACACAATATCAAGATAAAACTAACCAAAGATAGAGGCCTACAGTACCAACTGTTGCTGCTGTGTGTCTTCAAGTCCTTTCCAATTTATGGGATGTGTTGTCGAAGCCATTCATGGCGGGAATCACTGGGTTGCTGTGAGTTTTCTGGGCTGTATGGCCATGTTCCTGAAGCATTCTCTCCTGACATTTCACCCACATCTATAGCGTGAGGTATATTTGAAACTAAGCAATATACCTCACAACCCTTGAGGATGCCTGCCATGGATGTGGGTGAAACATTAGGAGAGAATGCTTCTAGAACAAGGACACATGTTTTGTTGTTCGGGCTTGGCCCCACGTAAGCCGCTCCGAGTTCCCACTGGGGAGATGGTGGCGGCGTAGAAAGAAAGATTATTATTATTATTATTATTATTATTATACTGACACAAAAGCACAATATGTCACAGCAATCGAGATCTATGTGCTGGATTTCGTATTACAAAATCACAAGTCGAACACTTCCCAAGAGTCTAGGACTGTGTGATGTATTTTCGAATGATGCGCGCAGATCCAAGTAAGGTGGCCAAGTTGTTGTTGTTGTTATTATTATTATTATTATTATTATTATTATTATTATTATTATTATTATTATTATATCTGTGGAAGGCCCAGGGTGGTAGAAAGAACTCTTGTGTGTTGGAGAAGAGTGTGAATGTTGCAATTAATCACCTTGATTAGCTTTGCAAAGCCTTGCAGCTTCAAGGCCTGGCTGATTCTTGCCTGGGAGAATCCTTTGTTTGGAGATGTTAGCTGGCCCTGATTGTTTCATATCTGGAATTCCCCTGTTTTCGAGTGTTGCTCTTTATTTACAGTCCTGATTTTTGAGTTTTTTAAATACTGGTAGCCAGATTTTATTCATTTTCATGGTTTTCTCCTTCTGTTTAAATTGTCCACACGCTTATGGATTTCAATGGTTTCTTTGGTAGTCTGGCAAGGTGGTTGTGAGAGTGGTCCAGCATTTCTGTGTTCTCAATTAATGGACTGTGTCCAGGTTGGTTCATCAGGTGCTCTGCTATGACTGACTTCTCAGGTTGAATTAGTCTGCAGTGCCTTTCATGTTCCTTGATTCGTGTTTGGGCAATGCTGCTGCGTTTGGTGGTCCCTATGTAGGCTTGTCCACAGCTGCATGGTACACGGTAGACTCCTGCAGAAGTGAGAGGATCCCTCTTGTCCTTTGCTGAACGTAGCATTTGTTGGATTTTCTTAGTGGGTCTGTAGATAGTTTGTAGGTTGTGTTTCTTCATCAGCTTCCCCATGCGGTTAGTCGTTCCCTTGACGTACGGTAAGAACACTTTCTCCTCAGGTGGATCTTTATCTTAACTCTCATGGCTTGTTGGTCTTGCAGCTCTTCTGATGTCTGTGGTGGAACCTCCATCGGCCTGTAGAGTCCGGATTAGGTGGTTCAGTTCACCTTGGAGGAGATGGGGACTTACTTACTTAGGTGATCCCTCGTTGTCCGAGTAGGATAATCCTCCAGGGTGGGTCCGTAGGTGACTGTGGAGCCCTATTCTTGACCTGCATCTTCTCCCGCAGTGAGGGCATTGGTTTCCAGGTGGAAGGCGGTCCTGGTCAGGGTTGGCTTGACGTGCCTTCCTCTTGGCACGTTTCTCTCTTTCGCCCTCCATTCGTGCCTCTTCAAATTCTGCAGCACTGCTGGTCACAGCTGACCTCCAGCTGGAGCTCTCAAGGGCCAGGGCTTCCCAGTTCTCAGTGTCTATGCCAGAGTTTTAAGGTTGACTTTGAGCCCATCTTTCAATCTCTTTTCCTGTCCAACATTCCGTTTTCCGTTCTTGAGTTCAGAGTAGAGCAACTGCTTTAGGAGACAGTGATTGGGCATCCAGACAACGTGGCCGGTCCAGCGGAGTTGATGGCGGAGGAGCATCACTTCAATGCTGGTGGTCTTTGCTTCTTCCAGCATGCTGACATTTGTCCGCCTGTCTTCCCAAGAGATTTGCAGGATTTTCCGGAGGCACTGATGGAATCATTCCAGGAGTTGCATGTGACGTCTGTAGATAGTCCACGTCTCGCAGGCGTATAGCAGGGTTGGGAGGACAATAGCTTTATAAACAAGCACCTTGGTATCCCTATGGATGTCCCAGTCCTCAAACACTCTCTGCTTCATTCAGAAAAAAGCTGCACTCGCAGAGCTCAGGCGGTGTTGTATTTCAGTGTCAATGTTGACTTTTGTGGAGACGTGGCTGCCAAGGGAAATGGTCAACATTTTCGAATATTCCACCATAAAGCTGTATCTCTGGCATTGGAGAGGGATTGGCCGATGACTGCTGGAACAGCACTTTGGTTTTCCCAATGTTCAATGACAGATGGGGTTCACAGATTCACAAATATATAAACCTACCTTTCTTAGTTTCCAATATACCTCACAACCTCCAAGGATGCCTGCCATAGATGTGGCCGAAACGTCAGGAGAGAATGCTTCTGGAACATGGCCATACAGTCCAGAAAGCTAATAGCAATCTTATGGGATTTTCCTAGCAAGGTTTGGTCAGAAGGGTGCTTTGTTTTAGGATGAGAGAGTGTGACTTGTTTAAGTCATCCAATTACCTTTCTCTGGCTGAGTCTCTGCTCTATAGAGCTATATTCCAATGTTTAAACCACTAAGTCATATTGTCTGTCTGAAGAACAAATGCAAAAATCAAATACTTACCAGGCACTCTTCATCCAATAGATCTAAAATGCCCATTTTAGCTTCAATGAGATCAATGACAGGCTGGTTGTCATAAAAGTCAATCAGAGTCCAGGGGATGTTTTCCTTCATGTATTCTTCTTGTTCAAGTTTAAAGACATGCTAATAATGACATTGCCAAGCACAGTTATAATAAAGTCAACAACTTCCATCAATTATCTACAGCATGAACATAGGGAAATATTGCTGAGTCCATCAGTGGGATAAGCATCTAATAAATCAGGACAAACTGACATGAGTCAACATATTGAGCTTGAGGCAGGATAATAAATTAGTTAGATACTATATTAAGACTGTCAGAAATATTAAAAATTAACTAGGTATTTTTAATTATAAAAATGTGAGTCAAGCACTGAAAGAGTTAAATGGATGCAATGACGCAGCAAAAGGTGCATTTCTATATAAGCAGGCGTGCCTGTAGCTTGATAGCCTCAGTCTGAGAAAAGCGTCAGTGGGAGGAAGGTCTCAGTCTGTGAGAAGGCCTCACAGTGTGAGGTAGGCCTAAGTCTGCGAGAGAACCCTGTGTGTGAGGTAGGCCTTAGTCTATGAGAAGGCCGAGTGTGAGAAAGCCTAGTGTGAGAAGCTTTGGTGAAGCTCTTTTATAGGTTCGGTATGAGAGAGAAGCTGTTTATCTGCATGAGAAAGAAGCCCAGTGTGGAAGCAAAGAAGTGTGGAAGCAAAGTTCTTTATATGTGTTATGGAAACCTTGTTCTTGCAAATAGTGCAACCATTAAAAAAACTAATTAGGTATTTTTAATTACAAAAATGTGAGTCAAGCACTGAAAGGGTTAAATGGATGCAATGACTCAGCAAAAGCTGCAGTTCTATATAAGCAGGTGTGCCTGTAGTTTAGTAGCTGTCAGTCCGAGGTAAACCTCAGTGGGAGAAAGGTCTCAGTCTGAAAGAAGCCTTCACAATGTGAGGTATTATTATTATTATTATTATTATTATTATTATTATTAACTTTATTTGTACCCCGCTAGCATCTCCCGAAGGACTCGATGCGGCTTACAAAGGCCTCAATACACAACATAACAATACAAACCTAAAGCAATATTAAAACAACAAAACAACAAGCAATAAACAATACACCAAAACACAATAAAACTGGGTCGGGCCAGAGTAAAGGGTACAGAATTAAAAGTGCTGATGTGACAGGTGATATGTAAGGATTATAGGGCAAGTGCAGTGTGCAGTGTGCGGCAATCTTAGTTCTAATAAAGTGCTTCTGGGACTTGGTATTGGAGATTTCCTATTCTGGGAAGGCACATCGGAACAGCCAGGTCTTCAAGTTCTTTCTGAAGACTGCCAATATAGGGGCCTGTCTAAGATCTTTGGGGAGGGTGTTCCAGAGTCGGGGGGCCACCACAGAAAAGGCCCTGTCTCGTGTCCCCACCAAACGCGCTTGCGACGCAGGCGGGATCACGAGCAGGGCCTCTCCAGATGAACGAAGTGAACGCGTGGGTTCGTAGACGGAGATGCGGTCACACAGGTAGGCTGGTCCCAAACCGTTCAGGGCTTTGTAGATAAGCACCTGCACCTTAAATTGGGCTCGGAAAATAAACGGCAGCCAGTGGAGCTCCTTGAACAGGAGGGTTGACCTCTCTCTGTAAGGAGCCCAGTTAACATCCTGGCTGCTGCCCGTTGGACCAGTTGGAATTTCCGAGCCGTTTTCAAGGGCAGCCCCACATAGAGCGCATTACAGTAGTCCAATCTAGAGGTGACCAAGGCATGGACCACCCCAGCCAGATCAGCCTTCACGAGGTACAGTCGCAGTTGGCGCACGAGTCTCAATTGTGCGAAAGCCCTCCCAGACACCGCCGACGCCTGAGCCTCAAGCATAAGCGATGAATCCAAGAGGACTCCCAAACTGCGGACCTGTGGTTTCAGGGGGAGTGTAACCCCGTCCAGCACAGGTTGCCACCCTATACCCCGGTCAGGTTTACGATCGACCAGGAGGACCTCTGTCTTGTCGGGATTGATCTTCAGCTTGTTCCTCCTCATCCAGATAGACACAGCGGCCAGGCACTCGTCCAGCACCCGAGAGGCCTCCTTGGAATTGGGTGGAAATGAGTAATAGAGTTGTGTGTCATCTGCATAGAGGTGGCACCTAACTCCAAAACTCCGGATGACCTCTCCCAGCGGTTTCATGTAGATGTTAAAAAGCATGGGAGACAGAATAGAGCCTTGCGGGACCCCACAGGTCAAAGGCCAGGGGTCCGAGCAGGCGTCTCCCAGCTTCACCATCTGAGGTAGGCCTCAATCTGTGAGAGAAGCCCCAGGTTGTAAAGTCTCGTGTGTGAAGCTCCAGTTTGTGAAGGCTGCTGTGTGTAAAAAGCTACTGTGTGAAGCTCCTGTGTAACTTTGGGATGAGAGGAGTCTCTGTGAGAGTGAAGCTGTTTATCTGCATGAGGAAGAAGCCCAGCGTGAGAGCTGTTCAAAGAAGGAAGTATAAAGAACTTTGGTCGTGTTATGGAAACCTTATTCTTGTAAATAATGCAACCATATTATTTTACTACAAAGAAAAGCCTCCTAAGGAAGACATAATATTGGTCTGTGTGTTTTTTGTAATGCCAGTTCTAATATATATAAAAAATCCTACCAGGTTAAATTGCTGCTGCAGCTTCTCATTTGCATAATTGATGCAAAACTGTTCAAAGCTGTTCATATCAAAAGTTTCAAATCTGAAACAAATGGTGGAAAATGCACAAATTAATTGCATTTTATTGGATGCACGATACTCATTTTCATGTATTTATTAGGGGGACAAGGAAACAGAAAATCTTACCCATAGATATCCAGCACCCCAATAAACGTGTGCTGTTTGCCACTGAACTGTAAGGCCTTGTTAATTCGTCCCACGATGAAAGAAAAAAGGTGGGAGTAGATCTTTTTAGCCAGAGCATCGCGGGCATTAAGAGCTTGGGGTTTCGTCATTGGCTTTACTACGGTCTCGGAGGAAGTGATGATTTTTCTGTGGCACAACCACCTTGCCATTTCGTTACTTTCTAAGTCTAGTAACTCACAAAATATTTTGAGATGTTTATCATCCTGCTGTGGAAAACAAAGGAGAAAACAATATCTATCGTATGTTTCAATAAAAATACCTACCGATACTTCAAAATGATGTGTTTTTTTTATTATAATGGAAATGTAACAACATACAAAATGAAAGTAGGGAGAAGAGACTAAAATCATCATAAAACTCCCACATTAGAAACCAAAATGCCACTGTCTATAACCTGGCATCTCAATATTATGTTAATGAAGATCCATACAGTAGGTTTCCCCTTGACATTAAGTCTAGTCGTGTCCGACTCTGGAAGGTGGTGCTCACCTCCATTTCTTAGCGGAAGAACTGGCATTTTCCATAAACACCTCCAAGGTCATGTGGATAAAGAGGTGAGGGGAAGTCATTTTGTTGATGAAGCAGTACCTATTGACTACTCACATTTGCATGTTTTTGAACTGCAGAAGCTGGGGCTAACAGGGGAGCTCACCCTGGTCCCCAGATTCCAACCACCGACCTTTCGGTCAGCAAGTTCAGCAGCTCAGTGGTTTAACCCACTGCACCATTATGTGCTCCAAAAGTGAACTAAGGCTATAATCCTGTTTCACTAGCAGTTGCATGATTTTCAAGAAGGCAGAAAAAAATCTTCCTGGTCAAAGCAATCTATTTTTCCAGTTCCTTACTCCCTTCATGGATGCATCAGCCATAACCTGTTTCTTTCCAATACAATCATCCATGACAAAACAGTTGCATCCACATAGGGCTCTAACAGATTCTTGTCTATGGCTGCTAATAAGCAATTGAGAAAAGTGTAACCCCAAGTTGTATGTGGTCCATGGACAGTGGACACCTCATTTTGCCACTAAAGCCCTCTGTCAGTCCTCCAAATCCCAAAAAACGGACATTTTTTAAAACAAAATATACTATTTTCATCTAAGAACCACAGAGAAAGTCTCCCTCCAAGTCCCAAAGATGCAGACCACTCACAATCCTCCACTACTCTCAAATACCACTATTTAGAATCAAAGAATCATAGTTAGAAGAGACCTCTTGGGCCATCCAGTCCAACACCCTACCAAGAAGCAGGAAAATCACATTCAAAGCATCCGACAGATGGCCATCCAGCCTCTGTTTAAAAGCCTCCAAAGAAGGAGCCTCCACCACACTCTGGGGCAGAGAGTTCCACTGCTGAACAGCTCTCACAGTCAGGAATTTTTTCCTCATGTTCTGGAGAACAAGCCCTGTGAGAAGTGGCTTAAAGTGTGGGCATGTTTAGCCTGCAGAAGAAAAGGCTGAGAGGAGACATGATGGGGTCATGGATAAAGAGCTAATGTTCAGGTGGAATCTCCATTGTTCCTGTAGTTTGAAGTCATTGTTCTATTGAGTCCTAGTCTCCAGGGCAGCAGAACACAAGCTTGTTCCCTCCTCCCTATGACTTCCCCTCCTTCACATCTTTATCCATGACCCGCAACATGTCTCCTTTCAGCCTTCTCTTCTCAGGCTAAACATGCCCAGCTCTTTAAGCCGCTCCTCACAGGGCTTGTTCTCCAGACCCTTGATCATTTTAGTCACCCTCCTCTGGACATATTTATTTACCATATTTATATACCACCCCTCTCAGGCCGGAGGTGACATTCCAATCTGTCAACATTTCCCTTCAATTGCGGTGCCCAGAATTGGACACAGTGTCATTCCAGGTGTGGTCTGACCAAGGCAGAATAGAGGGGTAGATTGACTTCCCAGGATCTAGGCACTAGACTCCTATTTATGCAGACCAAAATTCCATTGGCTTTTTTAGCTGCCGCATCACACTGTTAGCTCATGTTTAACTTCCTGTCCACAAGGACTTTAAGATCTTTTTCACACATACTGCTGTCGAGCCAGGAATCCCCTATTTGCATCACAGTCTCTCTCAAACAGCAACCAAAAGAGACTGGAAGAAACCCAAAGTATTTGCTTGTGATGGTATCAGAGGGCTCCAGGTGGACAAGTGGCCCTTGCTTCCTATGCAGTTGGCCACTCCTACTGTACAGGATGTGGTATAATAAACATGAGGATGCAATGGAGCTCCCAAAGTGACCCATTTAAGGTGGAATCAGGTGTCAAACAGGGATGTGTTATTGCCCCAACTTTATTTTCCATCTTCATCGCTATGATACTTCATCTTGTTGATGAGAAGCTTCCCACCAGAGTGGAAATCATCTATCGGACAGATAGCAAGCTATTTAACCTCAGCAGACTGAAAGCCAAAACCAAGGTTACAACAACATCTGTTATAGAACTCCAGTATGCTGATGACAATGTTATCTGTGCGCATTCAGAAGTAGATCTACAAACCACTCTAAACACCTTTGCAGAAGCATACGAGAAGCTCAGCCTGTCATTGAACATCAAACCAAAGTGCTCTTCCAGCAGACACCAGCCAATCCCTTTCCAATGCCAGAAATACAGCTTAATGGTGTAACATTAGAAAATGTTGACCATTTCCGCTCCCTTGGCAGCCACCTCTCCACCAAAGTCAACATCGACACTGAAATACAACACCGCCTGAGCTCTGCGAGTGCAGCATTTTTCCAAATGAAGCAGAGAGTGCTTGAGGACCGGGACATCCGTAGGGATACCAAGGTGCTTGTTTATAAAGCTATTGTCCTCCCAACCCTGCTATACACTTGCGAGACGTGGACAGTTAAGGCACATTGACACTGAAATACAACACCGCCTGAGCTCTGCGAGTGCAGCATTTTTCCAAATGAAGCAGAGAGTGTTTGAGGACTGGGACATCCGTAGGGAGACCAAGGGGCTTGTTTATAAAGCTATTGTCCTCCCAACCCTGCTATATGCCTGTGAAACGTGGACTGTCTACAGATATCACATGCAACTCCTGGAACGATTCCATCAGCGCTGCCTCTGCAAAATCTCTTGGGAAGACAAGCGGACAAACGTCAGCGTGCTGGAAGAAGCAAAGACCACCAGCATCGAAGCGATGGTCCTCCGCCATCAACTCTGCTGGACCGCCCATGTTGTCCAGATGCCCGACCACCGTCTCCCAAAGCAGCTGCTCTACTCGAACTCAAGAACGGAAAACGGAATGTTGGAGGACAGGAAAAGAGATTGAAAGATGGGCTCAAAGCCAACCTTAAAGACTCTGGCATAGACACTGAGAACTGGGAAGCTCTTGAGCACTCCAGCTGGAGGTCAGCTGTGACCAGCAGTGCTGCAGAATTTGAAGAGGCACGAATGGAGGGTGAAAGAGAGAAACGTGCCAAGAGGAAGGCGCGTCAAGCCAATCCCGACTGAAACCGCCTTCCACTTGGAAACTGATGCCCTCACTGCAGGAGAAGATGCAGGTCAAGAATATGGCTCCACAGTCACCTACGGACCCACCAGAATCCTGGAAACTATCCTACTTGGCCAACGAGGAATCGCCTAAGTATGTAAGCAATGGAGCGCCTTGATATTATGATGAGGTTATGACTAGCACCATACATACATAGGCCAATGTTCCCTCCAGCTCCATGTTTTCATTATAACCGTAGCTGTATCCCTAACTTACCCAATGTCTAGAGTTATAGGACATTGCAAAGGATACACAGATAATGCAGAAAATGACAAGCTTGTATCAGGTTTTGTCCTACTGTTTTATTCTTTCTTCTCCATAACATTTATTTCATCTTATCTTATAACTGATATCACTCTACAAATAGCAACCACTAGCATAAGCAGGGGGAAATGTATAACAATGACATTGAAGAAGCGGAACTAGATCATTTAAAGCAAGACAGGGGATCTGATAACAGGCTGCGACATCCCTGTGGCTGCTTTTTAAGAAATAACCTTTTTTTTCCCACTCTATCCAAGACTGAGACCTAAACACTCCTCAGTCATATCAACAGCCAAACAAAGAAGTCTAAAAGTGATAAGAATATCCTATAGCCTGTGAGAAGCCACCATGAAAGACTCACACAACATTTCAGCGCCAGCACTAAAAACATGCAAAAAACTGTTTCAAGCAATCTGCTCCAAAGTGAAAACAATGCATTATGGGACAAAGCATTAGACTTGTTTATGAAAAACAGATTCAAACATGCACTGAAGCAAACTAGGAGGACAACCCAATCTAATCTAACCTACTTCATCATGTCATTATTCAAATTCAAGGTGCAGGTCATGACCTATAAAGCCCTAAATGGTTCGGGCCTCGCCTATCTCCGCGATCGCATCTCCTTCTATGAACCGGCGTGAGCTCTAAGATCTTCTGGGGAGGCCCTCCTCTCTGTCCCACTACCGTCTCAAGCGCGACCCACTGCGACCCTCATCCACAACAAGCCAAATTTTTCAAAATCCAATTATCACAGGAACAGAGAATGAGGTAAAATCTTCTGAACCAGAACACAAACAGCAAAACAACCTTTTTCAAGCCCTAAACAGCCCCGGCCCAAATTACCTGTTCGAACGCATCTCTCCCTATGAACCATCGTGGAGATTAAGATCCTCCGGGGAGCCCTGCTTTCCATCCCCCATTGTCACAGGCACGATTGGAGACAGGGCCTTCTCGGTGATTGCTCCCCGGGCTATGGAACTCCCTTCCTGGTGAGATCAGGTCAGCCCCCCCCCCCTGTCCTTTAGAAGGATGGTCAAAACTTGGCTGTGGGACCAAGCTTTTAGACTATGTGGATGACTAGGACGGTTTTAAATGGTGTATTTTAATATTTTGATAAATGTTTTTTAATGTTTATGTATTGTATATTAATTTGTGTCCCGGCATTGAATGTTTGACGTGTATATGCTGTGCTCTGCCCTGAGTCCCCTTCGGGGTGAGAAGGGCGGAATATAAATGTTTTAAATAAATAAACCACAACAACAATAATTTGTATCCTACTTTTATCCTGCTGTGACACTCATCAATGACTGATCAAGACCAAACTTGGCACACAGAGCCACCATGACCCACTCTACATCCTAGTGCAGTTTGAAGGAGGATGGACCATGGATGCTGGGACTTGAAGTACCTTCACTCACTTCCTTTAATCACAGCAACACTCATCCAATTACCTAGACAGACCAAACTTGGCAGAGAGCCCTCATGGCCAACTCAACACTGTGGTGCAGTTTAGGGGGGATGGACTACAGATGATGGGACTTGCAGTACCTTAACTCACTTTCTGAGACCACTGCGACCCTCATCCAATGACTGATCAAGACCAAACTTGGCACACAGAGCCCCCATGACCCACTCTACATCCTGGTGCAGTTTCAAGGAGGTTGGACCATGGATGATGGGACTTGCAGTACCTAAACACACTTGCTGAGACCACTGCAACCCTCACCAATGACTGATCTAGACGAACTTGGCACAGAGAGCCACCATGATCCACTCTACATCCTGTTGTGATTTGAAGGAATATTCACCATGGATGATGGGACCTGCAGTACCTTCACACACTTCATGAGATCACTGTGACCTTCGCCAATGACAGAGCAAGATCGAACTTGGCACTCAAAGCCACCATAACCCACTCTACATCTAGGGGCTGTTTGGAGGGGGATGGACCATGCAGTACTTTCAATAACTGATAACTGATAAAGAACACCTTTGCCACACAATGCCTTTCTCAAATAACCCAGTCAGCGCTGGGTCCCCAAGCTAGTAATAAATAAAAGATAGAGTCTCTGAGAAAATATAAACAAAGGCCCACCATTGTTCATCAAAGCAAAACAGGTCAAAGGACTTTTTGAAGGCAATCCTTACGCTAACAGAAGATCTTTCATCACCAACAGCAATTATTTCCACATTGCCTAAATGAAGAATAGCTGCCAGTATTTTGAAAACATCCATCTGGAAATCCTCCTTAAGACCTGAAAGAAAGACAAATAAAAGTAGGTGTTGCAGGATTCTGGGAATATAAATCCAAAGATATTCTGGGATCATCACAAAGGCAGAAAAAGCTTTAAAAATGTGCAAAACTACAACTCCCATAAGTCTATGGTATTGAGCCATGAGGGTATTTTCAAAGCAAACTAAGTTGACCTACCAAGAAGGCAGAACGTCCTCTGAGTTTCTATCATATTTGCTCTGTCATCCACTCCTTCAATCACAGAGTTTCCACCCATATTTGTATAATTAAATTCTTCAGCACTTGCTGCAGATGAAAAGGAAAGGGTGTTAAGATGGAGTGATTAGGATAATCTCTCAGAAGTGACAAATTGCTGCAGCCCAATGATATAATATTAGCAAACCCATGAACTTTTCTAGGTAGAAGAGGAAGTCGTAGCTATATGACTTGGAGGAAATATATTAAAATAATCACTGCATTGCTGTGAGTTTTCTGGGCTGTCTGGCCATATTCCAGAAGCAGTCTCTCCTGACATTTCGCCTGCATCTATGGCAGGCATCCTCAGAGGTTGTGAGGTCTGTTGGAAACTAGGCAAGTGAGGTTTATATATCTGTGGAATGTCCAGGGTGGGAGAAAGAACTCTTGTTTGCTTGAGGCAAGTGTGAATGTTGCAATTGGCCACCTTGATTAGCATTGAATGGCCTTGCAGCTTCAAAGTCTGGCTGCTTTCTTCCTGAAGATAAGCTAATGCTAAACCACGCAGAAAGCAGCCAAACTTTGAAGTTGCAAGGCCACTAAGTGCTAACCAAGATGGCCAACTGTAACATTCACACCTGCCTAAAACAGACAAGAGTTCTTTCTCCCACCCTGGATATCATTCCACAGATATATAAACCGCACTTGCCTACTTTCCAACCTCTGAGGATGCCTGCTATAGATGTGGACAAAACCTCAGGAGAAAATGCTTCTGGAATATGGCCAGACAGCCCAGAAACTCACAGCAATCCAGTGATTCTGGACATGAAAGCCTTTGACAATGCAAAATAATCACTGTTTTTATTATATGTCTTCAAGATTATTTCAGTTTATAGTGACCCTCTCCTAGGATGTTCCTGGCATGATTTATTCAGAGATAAATAATAGAATGCACAAAAAATGATTGACAAAAAGAGAAAGAACCTCAATTTGTCAGATTTAAGTTTGGAACATTATATTTTCAGTGTAGATCCATATAGGAGCCCCTGATGGAACAGCGTGTTAAACTACTGAGCTGCTGAACTTGCTGACCGAAAGGTCTCACGTTCGAATCTGGGGAGCGGGGTGAGCTGCTGTTGTCAGCCCCAGCTTCTGCCAACCTAGCTGTTCAAAAACATGCAAATGTGAGTAGATCAATAGGTACAGCTCTGGTGGTAAGGTAACAGCGTTCCATGCAGTCATGCCGGTCACATGATCTTGGAGATGTCTATGGACAACGCCGGCTCTTTGGCTTAGAAATGGAGATAAACACCAACCCCCAGAGTTGTACAGGACTGGACTTAATGTCAGGGGAAAACTTTTACATTTACCTAGATCAGCGGTTCTCAACCTGGGGGTTGCAACCACCAGGGGGGTCGCCTGGCCATTTCGGAGGGGTTGCGAGGCCGCCTCGGTTGGCCCCGCCCCAAGGGCGCCGGCCAGGTGAGAGCTCCTTCGTGCGAGGCCTGGCGTCGCGCAAAGCCTGCCTCACCTGCCCCGCACTCTCACCATCCGGCAAGGGCGCGAGGCAGGCGAGGGGTCAGAGCTGAATTGGTCGAAGGTACTGCAAATACCATCATCTGTTGTCCATACTCCCCCAAACATATTGTTTTTGTGATTAATCGCTATGCATTAATTATGTTAAATTTATGACAATGAAATTTATGACATCCTGCATATCGGATATTTACCTGACAATTCATAGCAGTAGCAAAATTAAAGTTATAAAATAGCAACATAAATAATTTTATTGTTGGGGGGTCACCACAACATGAGGAACTGTATTTAGGGGTCACGGCATTAGAAAGGTTGAGAACCACTGACCTAGACCCATATAATGCAGTTAAAAAATCAGGTGCATTATTTTGACAAATGAATATATTCCTTGATTTGTACTTGGCTAGAAGATTCCACTAACATTTTTTTAAAAAAGAACCCCATCTGGTGGACTATGCATCAAAGGGGGAAAAAATAATCAATGAGGAAAAAATAAAATAAATCTATTGAAACATACCCAGTTTAAGATGTTTAAATTCTGGTCTCCGAGCGGAGGAGCACAACTGATAAAATATGTGGTAATTTCTTTCGTTCTCTGACTGTCAGTGAAGGAATGAAGATCAAATATTAAAAAGATAGCAACAAATAACTTGTCCCCGCTTCTATAATGTGTGGAAGTATAAATAAATGCTTCGGGACAGATGCTTGGAAATGAACAAGTTCCCAGAACACAACAAGCAGGCTTAATCTGAGGCATAAAGTTATGTCTTAACAACACAAAAAGAAAAGGGAATGTAGGACACTGGTGAATTTGAAGAAACAAAAGGAAAGAATGCGAAAGGCACCACAAAGCCTGCAATACTGTGTGCCAAAATGGTTGCTGGAATAACTGCTTCAGTTAAATATTAACACTTGAATAATAATGCCTCTAAGGATCATAGAATCATAGAATCCTAGAGTTGGAAGAGACCTCATGGGCCATCCAGTCCAACCTCCTGCCGAGAAGCATGAAAATTGCATTCAAAGACCCCTGACAGATGGCCATCCAGCCTCTGTTTAAAAGCCTCCAAAGAAGGAGTCTCCACCACACTCCAGGGCAGAGAGTTCCACTGCTGAACAGCTCTCACAGTCAGGAAGTTCTTCCTCATGTTCAGATGGAATCTCCTCTCTTGTAGTTTGAAGCCATTGTTCCATTGTGTCCTAGTCTCCAGGGAAGCAGAAAGGAAGCTTGCTCCCTCCTCCCTGTGGCTTCCTCTCACATATTTATACATGGCTATCATGTCTCCTCTCAGCCTTCTCTTCTTCAGGCTAAACATGCCCAGCTCCTTAAGCCGCTCCTCATAGGGCTTGTTCTCCAGACCCTTGATCATTTTAGTTGCCCTCCTCTGGACACATTCCAGCTTGTCAATATCTCTCTTCAATTGTGGTGCCCAGAATTGGACACAATATTCCAGGTGTGGTCTAACCAAGGCAGAATAGAGCAGGGTAGCATGACTTTCCTAGATCTAGACACTAGGCTCCTATTGATGCAGGCCAAAATCCCATTGGCTTTTTTTGCCGCCACATCACATTGTTGGTTCATGTTTAACTTGTTGTCCATGAGGACTCCAAGATCTTTTCACACGTCCTGCTCTCTAGCCAGGCATTGTCCCCCATTCTGTATCTTTGCATTTCGTTTTTTCTGCCTAAGTGGAGTATCTTGCATTTGTCCCTGTTGAACTTCATTTTGTTAGTTTTGGCCCATCTCTCTAATCTGTCAAGATCGTTTTGAATCCTGCTCCTGTCCACTGGAGTATTGGCTACCCCAATTTGGTGTAGTCTGCAAACATGATGATCATGCCTTCTTACCCTTCATCTAAGACATTAAGAAAGATGTTGAACAGGACTTTTTTGCGAAATGTTAAGAGGGTGGGGGCCGATCTAATGTTCCTGGGGAGGGCATTCCACAACTGAGGGGCCACCGCTGAGAAGGCCCTGTCTCTCGTCCCCGCCAGTCGAGCCTGTGAAGATGGCAGGACCGAGAGCAGGGCCTCCCCAGAAGATCTTAAATTCCTCGGTTCATAAGGAGAGATACGTTCGGACAGATAGGCAGGGCTGGAACCGTTTAAACCAGCAAGTGCCCAGATGTTTTGGCCTTCAACTCCCAGAAATCTGGTGAACTGGCCAAGATTTCTGGGAGTTGTAGGCCAAAACACCTGGGGACCCACAGGTTGAGAATCACTAGTTTAGGGCTTTATAGGCGAAATGAAGATCTTGAGCAGGACCGGGCCCAGGACGGAGCACTCCGCTCGTCACTTCTTTCCAGGATGAAGAAGAGGAAGCCTTGGGGAGAATTGCCCTGTGGGTTCGTCCATTCAACCAATTACAGATCCACCTCACCATAGTTTTGCCTAGCCCACATTGGACTAGTACTAATTGAAGACGTAGACACTGTAAACAAGTAGATTTTGTGCTAAATATGCAAAAATAGCTACTTCTTTTACCTGAAACACTACCTTGCTTGAATGCTGTAATTAAGCAACAGTTACGTAACAGAAGAATCCACTTCTCTAGAATCTGGGCAGTGTGCTGTATACAAAATTACTTCAGCTTTAATAAGATAGGAGAGACAATGCCTCAAATCAACAAAGATGCAATGGAAGGACATAGCTTTTACCAACCTGAGACACAACTCTGGATTTCTCAAGTAAGTAAGTTCTCATATTGGCGCCAATGATCTGATACCGCTTATCAAAACTAATTTCCATGTATTTTCCAAAGCGACTGCTGTTGTCGTTACGTGTGGTTTTGGCATTACCAACAGCCTATTAAAAAAAGAAATATAATTTCAATTTATTTACACTGCATTTAGATCCTGGCAACACACCGGCAGAAGCAAATATGTCATTACAGTATCAAAAAATGATATTTCGGGTCTCAACATTTCAGTAATTCATATGACATCTGGATTTGTCTACACGAGAACATTCAAGATCTCCTTGAACCACTTCTCACCTGAATGGCATTTTTGCTGCTATTTTGGTTTCAAACATCGGAAAGATAAACCACGCTACACATTCAAGAAAGACCAAATCAACATTACAAGCTATTAGTTGTGTTATCAATTTAGTAAGTCCTTACAAAGTAGTGGCTCCTTTACAAACCATTACAAACTGGTGCCTTCCTTACAAATTGGGTGTCATCTTTACAGATTGGTGGCATCTTTACAACTACATTTATTATTTTACTTTATTGTTGTTGTTATTATTACATTTATTGTTTTACTCTATTTATTATTGTTATTATTATATTTATTATTTTACTCTATTTTTATTGGAAGGGTACGCAAGCACATTTACATTGAAGGTCAAAATGGTTTCGATCACAGTATCCTTCTGGGGCGCCTCATGGACATGGGGCTCGGAGGCACTGCTCTGCGGTGGCTCCGATCCTACCTTGAGGGACGGACCCAGAAGGTGTTATTGGGTGACACCTGTTCGGCTCCGCAACCGTTGTTGTGTGGAGTCCCACAGGGTTCAATCTTGTCCCCGATGTTATTTAACATCTACATGAAGCCGCTGGGAGAGATCATTCGGAGTTTCGGAATGAGATGTTATCTCTATGCAGATGATGTCCAAATCTGTCACTCCTTCTCACCTGTCACCAAGGAGGCTGTCCAGACCTTGAACTTGGCTGCTGTGTCGGACTGGATGAGAGCTAACAAATTGAAATTGAATCCAGACAAGACAGAGGTCCTACTGGTCAGTCGTAAGGCCGAACAGGGCATAGGGTTACAGCCTGTGTTAGACGAGGTTACACTCCCCCTGAAGACGCAGGTTCGCAGCTTGGGAGTGATCCTGGACTCATCGCTGAGCCTGGAGCCCCAGGTCTCAGCAGTGGCTGGGAAAGCTTTTGCACAATTAAAAACTTGTGCGCCAGCTGCGCCCATACCTTGGGAAGTCGGATCTGGCCACGGTGGTCCACGCTCTTGTTACATCCCAATTAGATTACTGCAACGCACTCTACGTGGGGTTGCCTTTGAAGACTGTTCGGAAACTCCAACTAGTCCAGCGGGAGGCAGCCAGATTGCTCACCGGAGCATCATACAGGGAGCATACCACCCCCCTGTTGTGTCAGCTCCACTGGCTGCCGATCCAGTTCCGAGCACAATTCAAAGTGCTGGTTTTGACCTACAAAACCCTATACAGTTCCGGCCCAGCGTATCTGTCGAACGGATCTCCCTCTACATCCCACCTCGGAGTTTAAGATCTTCTGGGGAGGCCCTGCTCTCGATACCGCCTCTATCACAAGTGAGGCTGGCGGGGACGAGGAGCAGGGCCTTCTCGGTGGTGGCCCCTCACCTGTGGAATTCACTCCCCGGGGAGATTAGATCAGCGACTTCCCTCTTGTCATTTAGAAAAAAAATTGAAAACTTGGATGTGGGACCAGGCATTTGGACAATCTGGCAGATAAAGAAAGGACTTTGACGATGGACAGGAATTGACTAAGTGGAATGGAATTATGGAACTCTGAAAGATGAACGCTGAGCATGAGATTAGTTTTATTGATTGTGTTATGTACCGATTGTTTTTAACTGTGATAATTGTTTTAACTGCTGTTTTGTACGTATGTGTATTTTGTGTAGGCATCGAATTGTGCCTTTTTTGTAAGCCGCCCTGAGTCCCCCCTCGGGGGTTGAGAAGGGCGGGGTAGAAGAACTCAAAATAAATACATAAACAATAAATTAGAGTCGAACAGTCTTATCTTAAATTACAGTTTTATGCAAATATTCAAAACCATTTAACCTGATGCCTCAATTAATGTAATTTTATTGGTATCTATTTTTATTTTGAAATTTACCAGTATCTGTTGCATTTCCCACCCTCGGCTTATACTCGAGTCACTACGGTTTCCCAGTATTTTGTGGTAAAATTAAGTGCCTCGGCTTATATTCGGGTCGGCTTATACTCAAGTATATACAGTATACAAAACCTCCAAAAGTTGTTCATAATTTACCTCTGTTATTGGATTGGATGCCAGCACTTTATCCTCCACTTGCGCATTGCTAGTAGACCTACTGACGGTTGCAAAGTATCTCATTGCATATCGAGCCGAAACTGTCTTCCCAGCTCCTGATTCTCCACTGACTATAATAGACTGATTCTTGTTGTTCCTGAAGCCAAGGAAATAATGACATGTTACTCAGGATATCTTCTGATTAGAGATGGGGAGTTAAAGGGTCTCATGCTGGCATGTGCTTATGTCCAGTGAGTGCTCGGTTAGGCAGCAATTCTATTGAGACTTATATAAAATAATTTCAATTGTTGTAACTTTTTTAAATGGAGAGGTGGGGAACCTTACTTCAGTGGTTCTCAACCTTCCTAATGCTGCGACCCCTTAATACAGTTCCTCATGTTGTGGTGACCCCCAACCATAACATTATTTTCGTTGCTACTGTAATTTTATTCTGTTATGAATCGTAATGTAAATATCTGATATGCAGGATGTATTTTCATTCACTGGACCACATTTGGCACAAATACCCAATACACGCAAATTTGAAAACTGGTGGGGTTGGGGGAGGGGTTGATTTTGTCATTTGAGAGGTGTAGTTTCAGGGATTTATAGTTCACCTGTAATCAAAGAGCATTTGGAACTCCACCATCGATCGACTTGAACCAAACTTGGTACACAGAACTCCCATGACCGACAGAAAATACTGGAAGGGTTTGGTGGGCATTGACCTTGAATTTTGGAGTTGTAGTTCATCTACATCCAGAGAGCACAGTGGACTCAAACAATGATGGATCTGGACCAAAATTGGCACAAATACTCAATATGCCCAAATGTGAACACTGGTGGAGTTTGAGAGAAATCAGCCTTGACATTTGGGAGTTATAGTTGCTGGGATTTATAGTTCACCTACAGTCAAAGAGCATTCTGAACCCCACCAGTGATAGAATTGGGCCAAACTTCCCACACAGAACCCCCATGACCAACAGAAAATACTGTGTTTTCTGATGGTCTTTGGCGACCCCTCTGACACCCTTTCGCAACCCCCCCAGGGGTCCTGACCCCCAGGTTGGGAAACACTGCCTTACTTGATAGTAGAAGGATTGCCATCAAATTTCTTAATGGGGCGGGTGAAGCTAAGGGAAATCCCTTTAAAGTGTCAAATCTGTAACTAAAGGCAATCCGCATCCCAATTGCTCCCCTGCCCTGCCCCAAAGTGCCACAGGAACAGAACTAAAAATCTTAAGTCTCCCATAGAATGGAACCACATCAAGTTTTTTTTATCATGTCAGGAGTCACTTGAGAAACTGCAAGTCGTTTCCAACTTGCGTGAGAGAATTGGCCGTCTGCAAGGACGCTGCTCAGGGGATGCCCAGATGTTTTGATGTTTTACCATCCTTGTGGGAGGCTTCTCTCATATCCCTGCATGGGGAGCTGGAGCTGACAAAGGGAGCTCATCCACGCTCTCCCCAGATTTGAGCCTCTGATCTATCTTCAGTTCTGCTGGTACAAGGGGCTCCTGTCAAGTTTAAAACTGCTAGAATTGTGTAGTGTGTAGGAGACGCCTTCTTGCAACCTTGCAAAGGAAACCCAGACTATAAAATGCCAACTAAATCTACTTTTTAGTTGCAGCGCCCAAACACGAATCAAGGAGCATGAAAGGCACTGCAGACTAATTAAACCTGGGAAGTCAGCCATAGTAGACCACTTGATGAACCAACCTGGACACGGCATATTACTCGAGGACACAGAAATGCTGGACCACTCTCACAACCACCATGTCAGACTACACAGAGAAGCCATTGAAATCCACAAGAAGCATGTGGACAATTTCAACAGAATGAAGGAAACCATGAAAATGAACAAAATCTGGCTACCAGTATTTAAAAATTCTAAAATCAGGACAGTAAATAAAGAGCAACATTCAAAAAGCAGGGGAATTCCAGACAGGAAACAATCAGGGCCAGCTAACACCTCCCAACAAAGGATTTCCCCAGGCAGGAAGCAGCGAGGCTTTGAAGCTCCAAGGCTTTTCAATGCTAATCCAGGTAGCTAATTGCAACATTCACACTTGCCTCCAACAGACAAGAGTTCTTTCTTCTATCCTGGACATCCCACATATATATAAACCTATTTACCTCACAACCTCTGAGGTTGCCTAGGTGAAACGTCAGGAGAGAATACTTCTGGAACATGGCCATACAGCCCAGAATACATGGTCATACAGCCCAGTAAATCTACCTTGCCATCTGCTTGTAAGCTTCTTCTGCAACAGCAAATATATGCGGATCCATATCTCCCATATTCTGTCCACTATATGCATGAATAATGGCATCTCCATATATAGGCAGCTGTTTGTAGGGATTCATTGCAACTAAAATTATTCCTGTGGATGATATCACAGGAAAACAAAGTTATAAGATCTGCATAAAATGAGTTTTGTCACTAATAAATGCCAAATGAATGAAAGTTTATTTACCACTGTAGGTATAGATCAGCCTGGATTCCACAAAGCGAACTTTGAGATTGTGTAGGACAGCAGGCTCATGGAGATAACTAAGCGCCGTGAGATCATTTTCACCAACAAGTATGTCAGGGTTTCGCAAAGGAGGCAACGCCTTGGGATCCACTGGAAAATCCAATTCCTATAGGCAAGTAAAACATTAAAATTATTTTATTTATCGTGTCAGGAGCGAACCAAAACAGTTGTACTGCATTAAAAACAAACAAACAAACAAACAAAACACAAAGTTTGCAAGCTTGGTATTCTATTAAATGTCCTTTGACCAGTATCTGGCCACTTGGAATGCCTCTGGTGTTGCCGCAAGAAGGTCCTCCATTGTGCATGTGGTGGGGCTCAGGTTGCATTGCAGCAGGTGGTCAGTGGTTTGCTCTTCCCCGCACTTGCATATCGTGGATTCCACTTTGTGGCCCCATTTCTTAAGGTTGGCTCTGCATCTCGTGGTGCCAGAGCGCAGTCTGTTCAGCGCTTTCCAGTCTTCTGTGTGCCCAAGAGGGAGTCTCTCATTTGGTATCAGCTATTGATTGAGGTTCTGGGTTTGAGCCTGCCACTTTTGGATTCTCGCTTGCTGAGGTGTTCCAGCAAGTGTCTCTGTAGATCTTAGAAAACTATGTCTTGATTTAAGTCGTTGACGTGCTGGCTGATACCCAAACAGGGGATTAGCTGGAGATGTCACTGCCTTGGTCCTTTCACTATTGGCTGCTACTTCCCGGCAGATGTCAGGTGGTGCAATACTGGCTAAACAGTGTAATTTCTCCAGTGGTGTAGGGCGCAGACACTCCGTGATTATGCGGCATGTCTCATTAAGAGCCACATCTACTGTTTTAGCGTGGTGAGATGTGTTCCACACTGGGCATGCATACTCAGCAGCAGAGTAGCAAAGCTAAAGGGCAGATGCCTTCACTGTGTCTGGTTGTGATCCCCAGGATGTGCCAGTCAGCTTTCGTATGATATTGTTTCTAGCACTCACTTTTTGCTTGATGTTCAGGCAGTGCTTCTTGTAGGTAAGAGCACGGTCCAGAGTGACTCCCAGGTATTTGGGTGCGCTGCAATGCTCCAGTGGGATTCATTCCCAGGTAATTCTCAGAGCTCGGGGTGCTTGTCTGTTCTTAAGGTGGAAAGCACATGTCTGTGTTTTAGACGGATTGGGGATCAGCTGGTTTTCCCTGTAACAGGCAGTAAGAGCACCTAAAGCTTTGGAGAGGTTCTGTTCTATCATCTCAAAGCTCCCTGCTTTAAAATTGATAAAAAATGTTTATTGAACTAAGTCAAGAAAGCCATGACCCAGAATCTGCAAGAGCTGTTGATGACAGGGCGACTTGGAGGTTTTTCATTCACAGGCTATAATCTAATTGAGGACAGATAACATCAACAAATTGGAAAGAGGGGGAGTCAGGGATGCTCACTTGATCTCATTGTAATTACACAAACAAGCAGTGGCCTTGAAAACCTATGGAGAAAAATAAGGCCCTTAAGTGCATATGTTCAAGTAGTATATCACAGTGTGTACTAGTATATTTAAATAACTTTATTTCTCTCACCGTTCCATCTTCAAGCACTAGATGAAGTACGTTGTCTCCAGTCTTATAATCTGCTGTGATTTCAGCCGACTGCCAAACTTCATCATTATCAGGGATCCAGACTCTATTATACTATGACAATAGATAACAAACAATTCATCTTAACAAGGAGAATTGTTATTAATATATTTCTTAATTTTGTTGTCACATAACCACAATACAATCAAAAAGGTAATCAGGAATTCAAAAGGAGCATTTGCATATCAATCTAAGAAAACACAGAACACAATTCTTACACCCAACTGTGAGAAACTATAAGATAAAGGTAAAGGTAAAGGTTTCCCCTTGACAGTAAGTCTAGTCGAGTCCAACTCTGGAGGGTGGTTCTCATCTCCATTTCTAAGCCGAAGAGCCGGCGTTGTCCATAGACACCTCCAAAGTCACGTGGCTGGCATGACTGCATGGAGCACCCTTACCTTCCCGCCGGAGCAGTACCTATTGATCTACTCATATTTGCATGTTTTCGAACTACTGGTTGGCAGAAGCTGGGGCTGACAGTGGAAGCTCACGCCGCTCCCCGGATTCGAAGCTGTGACCTTTTGGTCAACAAGCTCAGCAGCTCAGTGCTTTAACCCACTGTGCCACTGGGGGCTCTTATAAAGTTTATAAAGACTTAAAATAGTGTATAACTACTAAAATAATATATAAATATTAAAATAAATACAGCGTTCCTACTTCGCGGATTTTCACTTTTCGTGGGTGGTTCTGGAACGTAACACCCATGATAATATATAACAGTGTGGACTCACAACCCAGTTCAAAGCAGTTGTTGTGGGATTATTTGCCTTAATATTCTGGGTTATGTGACTGTCATGTGGCTAGCATGACTGCATGGTGTACCGTTACCTTCCTGTTACCGTTGCCTTTTCCCGCTGAAGTGGTAGCTATTTACTCACACTTGCATGTTTCCAAACTGTTAGGTTGGCAGAAGCTGGGGCTAACAGCAGGAGCTCACCCCGCTCCCCAAATTCCAACCACTGACCTTTCGGTCAGCAAGTTCAGCAGCTCAGCAGTTTAACCCGCTGCACCACTAGATTAGAATAAATTTACTCTTGTGGCTTCTCTTCTAAACTGAAACATGTTGAACAGGGAGCTGGAGTAGAAAGGATATCAGATGCACAAATTTGCCGAAAGAATAGGATCAAATGCAAACTGAAAAAATATTTTGCTGTGATGCAGCAAACTATTGTGATGTGGAGTGCAATGTTATTCTAGAAGAGATAACTAAAAAGACAGATGATGATTGTACTCATTCACTCAATCACTGTGTTGGCCTTTTCCAGATCTTTGTTACTGATGACACTGTATCTCATTCTTTCAAAAACTCATTTGAAGCAAAATTATTGCTGACATTATTGTACTAAAGCACAGAGATGTCATTAAACAGCACTACAGGAGCATGTGAATCTTGTAGAGTTTTGCTGAAATACAACACCGCCTGAACTCTGTGAGTGCAGCATTTTTCCGAATGAAGCAGAGAGTGTTTGAGGACCGGGACATCCGTAGGGAGACCAAGGTGCTTGTTTATAAAGCTATTGTCCTCCTAACTCTGCTATATGCCTGCGAAACGTGGACTGCCTACAGATGTCAACATTGACATTGAAATTCACCAGCGCCTGAGCTCTGTGAGTGCATCATTCTTTCGAATGAAGCACAGAGTGTTTGAGGACTAGGACATCCGTAGGGAGACCAAGGTGTTTGTTTATAAAGCTATTGTCCTCCCAACCCTGCTATACACCTGCGAAACATGGACTGTCTACAGACGTCACATGCAACTCCTAGAACGATTCCATCAGTATTGCCTCCGAAAAATCTTGCAAATCTCTTGGGAAGACAAGCGGGGAAATGTCAGCGTGCTGGAAGAAGCAAAGACCACAAGCACTGAAGCGATGGTCCTCTGCCATCAACTCCACTGGACTGGCCACGTTGTCCGGATGCCCGACCCAAAGCAATTGCTCTACTCCGAACTCAAGAACGGAAAACGGAACGTTGGTGGACAGGAAAAGAGATTTAAAGATGGGCTCAAAGCCAACCTTAAAAACTCTGGCATAGACACTGAGAACTGGGAAGACCTGGCCCTTGAATGCTCCAGCTGGAGGTCAGCTGTGACCAGCAGTGCTGTAAAATTTGAAGAGGCACGAATGGAAGGTGAAAGAGAGAAATGTGCCAAGAGGAAGGTGCGTCAAGCCAACTCCGACCGGGACCACCTTCCACCTAGAAACCAATGCCCTCACTGCAGGAGAAAATGCAGGTCAAGAATAGGGCTCCACAGTCACCTACGCACCCACCACCAGTACACCAATCCTACTCGGACTACGAGGGATCGTCTAAGTAAGTAAGTAAAATGCTGATCAATTTTTTTTAGCATTTTTCTTCTTCAGACATGCCATAATAGAATAAGAGATGGAGTTTTCCCTTTTTATAACCACCAAGGCCCACTCTGCTGGCTAGCTTCTTGTCATATTTATATAACCAGCTGACTGGCTCCCACACAGCCAACTAGTTCAGAAACACATTACTCAAAGAAATATGTTTTCACTCAGTTGCCATTTCATAAAAGCAGTTAGTGCTTCTTGTGTAAGCGGTTGAATGGATGACAAAAATGTACTGTTGTTATTGTTGTTGCTATTGGCATACCTCAGTTAAAGCCTGGGTAAAAGGGATCTGCTGCAATAAGTTTGAATATACAACTTCCAACAAACTTCAAAATATTATTCTAACTCGATCTAGTTATAAAACAGATCATTCCCGGTACCTCCATTGGTAAATGTAATGAGCCACCTCGAGATCAATGGACCCTGCCTTACAAGTAAACACAAAGCTGTGTACTTTTGTATTGAGTCACACTCATCCTCCTCTTTCCCCACCTCCAGATAAAGACTTTCGTCCACTACTCATGGGATGACAAATACAAATGAGCAAAGAATATAAATTAAAATATCAGCTTTTTACAAAATGGCGTTATAACAGGATACCTACACCTTACGCCGCTGTATATTACTGTATATAATTCGTGTACTGTATATACTCAAGTATAAGCCTAGTTTTTCAGCCCCTTTTTAGTCTGAAAAAAATCTCAGCTTATACTCGAGTCAAGGTTATTTATTATTTTACTCTGCTATTAGTATTATTTTTATTACATTTATTATTTTACTCTATTAATATTATTACATTTACATTATTTTACTCTATTACTTTTATTACATTTATTATTTTACTATATTATTATTACATTTACATTATTTACTCTATTATTTTTTATTACATGTTATTCCATTTATTATTTTATTCTATCATTATAGGTAATAGGTAAGCACATTTACATTGAAGGAGGTTAGAATAATGGTTGAATCAGAGTTGGGCAGTCTTATCTTAAATTACAGTTTTGTGTAAATACTCAAAAACATTTAATTCCTGTCCCAATGTATCTCCTTCTACGTCCCACCTCGGAGCTTAAGATCTTCTGGGGAGGCCCTGCTCTCGGCCCTGTCTTTGTCTCAAACACGCTTGGCGGGGAAGAGGGACAGGGCCTTCTTGGTGGTAGCCCCCCGCCTGTGGAATTTGCTCCCCGGGGAAATTAGGTCATCGTCATCCCTCCTCACCTTTAGAAAAAAGGTTAAAACATGGCTGTGGGACCAGGCCTTCGGGCAATCAGGTTAAAGGACAATTGATAATGTTTGCATATGGCATGGAAGAGGATTTGGATAAGTTAAGCGGAGTAATCATTAGTAGGTGGCTAGCTAAACAGCCACCAGGCAGGCAATAGCTAATCAGAGTGTAAGTATACAGTTTTAATTTTTATTTATTAATGTTCATGTTTAATTGTTATATTTGTTATTCTGTATTTTATGATGCGGCATTGAATTATTGCCAATTGTAAGCCGCCCTGAGTTCCCCCAGGGGTTGAGAAGGGCGGGGTAAAAATGTTTGAAAAAAAAAATAAAAAAATAAACCTACATTTTTCACCCTCGGCTTATACTCGAATCAATACGTTTTTCCAGTTTTTTTGGGTAAAATTAGGTCCCTCGGCTTATATTCAGGTCGGCTTATACTCGAGTATAAACGGTAAATTCAAGAATTACTGTACATAATTCGAGTATAAGCCTAGTTTTTCAGCACATTTCCGTGCATGTTGCAACCTCACATTTCCTTTGGGTCCATGTCTTTTCAACGCTGAAGTCCATCCTCAATCTTTCAACTTGCTTTTCAGGGGATTTTGTACACCTGCCTTGGTTTGCGCTTGTGAGACTGAGCCAAGAGGCCCTTCCTCATTCCACCTGACCAGTTCAGCGCAGGCACAGAGTCTCCCTCCTGGTCTGGCACAGGAGTCGTGCTCTCTTTAGCTTTCCTTCTCTTCCTCTTCGGAGACAGGATTTCCCCATCGCCAGGACAGACACCTGACCAGGTGCCACATTCTTGTTTGCTAAACTTTCTAAGGAGAAGTGTTACATGTCTTCCGCGTCAACTTTGCCCAACTCCATATGGCAGGAAAAAATGTATTTTCCCCCTTGCCACTCCCTTTTTTGCTCTGAGTCCACCTGATACAATCTTAGGCACAAAACCTGGCCATGTTAGCCTGGAATATCAGTATGCAAAGGCATTTTGGAGCACCTTTGAGACCACCCAAAAGGGAAAAAAAAGCTTATGCTACCCACTTCTTTCGTCCTCAAACAGAGGGCCAGGTCACAGTCCCTCAAACTGTTGGAGGGCTGGATTATAATTTGGAAAAAAAATTGAATGAATTCCTATGCACACTGGACATTCCATAGATATGTAAACCCCATTTTCCTAGTTTCCAACACACCTCACAACCTCTGAGAATGTGTGCCATAGATGCAGGTGAAATGTCAGGAGAGAATGCTTCTAGAACATGGCCATATAGCCCGAAAAACCTACAATAACCCACTGTTTATATATCTGTTTAACTGGGTTTAAACATCCCCCAGGCAGGAAGCAGCCAAGCCTCATTTGTAGTGCCAAAAACACTTTAAAACAATACAATAATTAAAATGAAAAACAATTTTAACAAATATAAACTGGAGAGAAAAGTGAGGTAGAAATAAATAAATAATATTAATACAGTATTGTAAATTAAAAACAAAACTGGATTCTACACAACATGTGATGTCATTTACTATACATACTGTACAACAACAACAACAACAACAACAACTGTCTTTGAGTCTATCTTTGAGCTGCTTTGTGACTCTTTGTGGAAAGAAGAGGGGCTTAAATAAACAATAATATTAACAATCTAGAAATAAAAATGTAATGATCGTTTGTGGGATTAACATAACTCAAAAACCACTGGACGAATTGATACTAAATTTGAACACAAGACACCTCTCAGGCCAACGAGTGACCATCACTCATAAAAACTCTGAAAAACACAGCGGAAGCTAAAAAACAAAAAATACATTGTTGTAGGTTTTTTTCGGACTATATGGCCATGTTCTAGAGGCATTCTCTCCTGACGTTTTGCCTGCATCTATGGCAAGCATCCCCAGAGATTGTGAAGTCTGTTGGAACTAGGAAAATTGGGTTTATATATCTGTGGAATGATCAGGGTGGGACAAAGGATTCTTGTCTGTTGGAGCTAGGTGGGAATGTTTCCACTGACCACCTTGATTAGCATTTGATGGCCTGGCAGTTGTTTGGTGTGACTTGTTAGTGCCTGGGGCAATCATTTGTTGAGAGGTGATTAGCTGTCCCTGATTGTTTCCTCTCTGTTTTGCTGTTGTAATTTTAGAGTTTTTTAATACTGGTAGCCATGTGCATGTGTTGTAATGTAAAAAATACATTACAACACATGCACAAAACCACATATATACCCAAACACACATATATACACATATACACAAATATACACACACACATATACACATAAGGTAAACATACAAAACACATATACACAGACTGGGCCACAACAACGCGTGGCAGGGGATGACTAGTACATACATATACACACACACATATACACATAACACATGTGTATAACACACACATATACACATAACGCAAACATACAAAACACATATACACAGACTGGGCCACAGCAACGCGTGGCAGGGGATGGCTAGTACATACACACACACATATGCACATGTGTGTATAACACACACAAACACACATACACATAACGTAAACATACAAAACACATATGCCCAGACTGGGCCACAGCAACGCGTGGCAGGGGATGGCTAGTACATACACACATATACACATAGCACATATGTGTATAACACACACACACACACACATACTGTAAACATACAAAACTCATATGCACAGACTGGGCCACAGTAATGCATGGCAGGGGATGGCTAGTACATACATATATACACCCACACGCATATACACATATGTGTATAACACACTCACACATACACATAATGTAAACATACAAAACACATATACACAGACTGGGCCACAGCAATGTGTGGCAGGGGATGGCTAGTATACACACACACAAATACACATAGCACATATGTGTATAACACACACAGATATACACATAACGTAAACATACAAAACACATATACACAGACTGGGCCACAGCAATGTGTGGCAGGGGATGGCTAGTACACGCACACACAAATACACATAGCACATATGTGTATAACACACACAGATATACACATAACATAAACATACAAAACACATATACACAGATTGGGCCACAGCAATGTGTGGCAGGGGATGGCTAGTACATTTATATATACACACACATGTACACATAAGGTAAACATACAAAACACATATACACAGACTGGGCCACAGCAATGTGTGGCAGGGGACAGCTAGTAACAATAATAATATGGAATTGTAGCAGGTGAGGGAGGGCAAAGGAAGGGGCCTGAGGCTGTTAGGAAGCCCAAAACACCTGGAGGGAGGGCCCAAGTGGGCCAAGGACTGCATGAGGGATTGACACCTGTCTATCTTGTATCATGAAATAATTGGAAACACAGAGAGAGAGAGAGTCTGCCACGACACTGTGAGGGAAAGAAAGCAATCCAGAAAGAGGAAAATGACAAACAGAGGGAAAGGGGGGAGAATTCAAAGCGCCATTGAGGGAGGAAGAGGGCTCAGGTGGTGAGGGAAGCCCCTCTGAAGTGGAGGCATTTGGAGCAGAGGGCTTGGTCCACCTGCCAGCCCCCTTTCCCGCCCTTTTCTGCCCCTTTACCTGAGTGTAGAGGTCGGGCAGGGCCATGGCGAAGGCGAGGGAGGCACAGGGAAGAAGGCCTTCCCCCCTCAGAAGCTGAAGGAGATTGCAGTTTCGCCCTCACTGCCCTCTTTCAAGGGGCCTCAGGCAGCCATGGGAGTTCCCTCCTCCTCCTCCTCCTTTCCCTCTGAGGAAAGTTTGCTGAGGGCAGTGCCTGCCTGCCTGCCTTCCTGCCTGCCATGGGGGCGGGCTTGGAGCCTCAGGTGAAGACTTAAAGAAGATGGAGACACAAAAACGAAGGCCTTGCCCGCTTCTCCTACAAAGACACATTGTGATCTGTGGCATTTTCCCTTCAGTCCCCACAAATCAGGAAACAGAGGAGCGTTTAAGGGCGAAAAGAGTGGGAATTGGCAAGAAAATACCTCAGGAAACCAAAGAGGATTTGGTTTATTGACTGTGTGGAATTTGGCCCATTTCCTCCCATTCGCGGCGCATTCCTTCAGCCGGAGGATTTATAACCAATTATAATATTGGGCTTGTCCTCCAGACCCTTGATCATTTTAGTCACCCTCTTCTGGACACATTCCAGTTTGTCAACATCCCTCTTGAATTGTGGTGCCCCGAATTGGACACAATATTCCAGGTGTGGTCTAACCAAGGCAGAATAGAGGGGTAGCATGACTTCCCTGGATCTAGACACTATGCTCCTATTGATGCAGGCCAAAATCCCATTGGCTTTTTTGCCACTGCATCACATTGTTGGTTCATGTTTAACTTGTTGTCCACGAGGACCCCAAGATCTTTTCCACACGTACTGCTCTTGAGCCATTCTGTATCTTTACATTGGCCATGGTGGTACACGCTCTGGTCACATCCCGCCTTGACTACTGCAACGCTCTCTACGTGGGGCTGCCCTTAAAGACGGCCCAGAAGCTTCAGCTAGTCCAGCGCGCGGCAGCCATGTTACTAACAGGAGCGGGACGCAGGGAGCATACAACGCCCTTGCTGTTCCAGCTCCACTGGCTGCCGATTTGCTACCGGGCCCAATTTAAGGTGCTGGTGTTATCCTACAAAGCCCTAAACGGTTCCGGCCCAAAATACCTTTCGGACCGCATCTTGGCCTATGAGCCCACGAGGACCTTGAGATCGTCTGGGGAGGCCCTTCTCTCGATCCCGCCTGCTTCACAGGCACGTCTGGCGGGGACGAGAGAAAGGGCCTTCTCGGTGGTGGCCCCCCGGCTGTGGAACGACCTCCCTGCTGACATCAGACAGGCGCCCTCCCTTCTGTCCTTCCGTAAGAGCCTGAAGACCTGGCTATTTGAGAAGGCATTCAACTGAGCGCTACGGCAACTGGTAATTGACAACTGGAACGGAATACGGATTACGATATTGGTTATGATTCTATGATGTGACGGAGAGCGGATTATTTAGTGTAACTAGATTATAGTGTATTATTGTTGTATTGATTTCCTGTTTTGCCCTTTTGTAAACTGTTTTTATATGTTGTGCACCGCCGCGAGTCGCCCTAGGGCTGAGAGCGGCGGTCAATAAATGCAGTAAATAAATAAATAAATAAATAAATAAATCTCTGTCTAATCTATCTACCTGGAGGATTGCTGGGAGTTGCAGTCCAGGAACATGAAATTGGAAATATGCCGGGATTGGGATGCTCTCAAAGAAACCCAAGGAGAAGAAAGCTTGCATCTTGGAAGCAGTGCATTTGGATCATCCTTTTCTCCTAAAGGGCCTGTTCTAGGGGGTGCTGGGAGCTGTAGTCCAAAACAGAGTGTGGATATGCTATTGTGTGTTTTGTTTGCCAGGGGGTGTCATTTTTGTGCATGTGCTGTAGTGTCTTTTTGCTTTTTTGGCTTTTTAAGTCCCTTCCACTGTGTTTTTCAATGTTTTTATGAGCGATGGTCACTCATTGTCCTGATAGGTGTCTTGTGCCCAAGTTTCGTGTCAATTCATCCAGTGGTTTTTGAGTTATGTTAATCCCACAGACTAACATTATATTTTTATTTATATAGACTAGCCGTCCCCTGCCACGCATTGCTGTGGCCCAGTCTGGTGATCTCGAAAATGAAGTAATGAGAAAATGTTGGTTTCTAATATATGTGATGTCATTATGCTTGTGTGTAAATAGTATTTCTTGTTGTTTCTTTGTCAGTGTTGATGTGGAGAGTGTCTGGTTTGCCTACTCTGGAACATGCAACATATCATTGTCCTTCTTTAGGGGTCCCTTTCAAATCTGATACTATGTCTCCATGTGCGTGAATCATACCAGTCTATATCAATAGCTGGATGGCTCTTTGTCAGGAGGGCTTTGTTTACGTTTTCTTGCCCTCGTGAAGGGAGTTGGACTGGATGGCCTTAAGTATTTTGTGTTGGTCATGAGGGTTCTGTGTGGGAAGTTTGCCCCAATTCTGTCATTGGTGGGGTTCAGAATGCTCTTTCATTGTAGGTGAACTATAAATCCTAGTAACTACAACTCCCAAATGTCAGGGTCTATTTCCCCCAAACTCCATCTGATTTCACATTTGGACATATGGAGTATTCGTGCCAAATTTGGTCCAGATCCATCCTTGTTTGAGTCCATAGTGCTCTCTGGATGTAGGTGACCTACAACTCCCAAAATCAAGGTCAATGCCCACCAAACCCTTCTAGGGTTTTCTGTTGGTCATGGGAGTCCTGTGTGCCACGTTTAGTTCAATTCCATCATTGGTGGAGTTCAGAATGCTCTTTGATTGTAGGTGAACTATAAATCCCAGGAACTACAACTCCCAAATGTCAAGGTGCCCCCCCCCCAACCAATCATTGAGATATATTTTCTGTTAATCGTGGGAGTTCTGTGTGCCATATTTGGTTAAATTCCATCATTGGTGGAGTTCAGAATGCTCTTTGATTGTACGTGAACTATAAATCCCAGCAACTACAACTCCCAAATGACAAAATCAATCCCCCACCCAAAGCCACCAGTGTTCAAATTTGGGTGTATCGGGTATTTTTGCCAAATTTGGTCCAGTGAATGAAAATACATCCTGCATTTCAGATATTTACATTATGCTTCATAACAGTAGCAAAATTACAGTTGTGAAGTTGTCATGAAAATAATTTGCTGGTTGGGGGTCACCACAACATGAGGAACTGTGTTAAGGGGTCAAGGCATTAGGAAGGTTAAGAACCACTGCTCTAGAACATGGCTATATAGCCCGAAAAAACCTACAACAACCCAGTGATTCTGGCCATGAAAGCCTTCGACACCCTATTGATTAGTTCAGAAGCAGTCAGTCCACACAAGAGACAACAAAAAACAAGTATCAGTAGTAGTTGTATTTTTTTTTATTCTGACATTTCCAGTGATCGCTAAGATACAGCATTTATGAAGCATACGTTTACTAAGTACAATGTCAGACACAATGACAATTCTGAGCTCATGTCATTCGGCTACCATTTTGGTTTTCCTCTAAGCACTGTGGCAAGATCAAGTGGAAGGAATCTATGGCCAAAGCCTTTCTTCCAAAAAAAAAACAAATTACACAAGTTTAATTTTTCAAAGAATGTTAATGCGGGATAACATTGAGATGCGTCCAGTGTAGAAATGGAAATAAAAGAGATTATCTTCAGCTTCCAAATGCTGGTGGTTTTGAAAGATGAGGGAAAAAAGGATGCAATCTAGAGATGCAATATTGTTCTCCAACACGGGAATAGGTTCCACTGACATTGTTGGGGCTGTAAAATTGTGCACAAAACTGCATACATGATCAACTAATACTTAATGAAACAAAAAAGAAATCTTTATTTTCAAGTTCCACCCCAGATTGGAAAGTTGAGAAGGATTTGGGTAAAAACGGGACGACATTTTTACAACATTGGTGAACTCACTGTTGAAATAAGACTTACAAGATCTGAAATCTATTGAGGTAACAATTGTGCAATACTCTGTGGGTTTCTATATTTCAAAAGCATTATTTTTCCAGCACTGAATTCCATGTCAAATTAAGAACTTTGGGAAGAAAGACATTCCCACATTTTAAAAAGCAAAAAAACTTGCTTTAAAAAAGTGGGAAAAGGTAAACCAGCACTCAGAGGCGGCTCTAGGTAATTTTCAACAGTAAGCAAACAGTATTCCCCCCCCAATCATTGATATATAGTTTCTGTTTGTCATGGGAGTTCTGTGTGCCATATTTGGTTCAATACCATCATTGGTGGAGTTCAGAATGCTCTTTGATTTTAGGTGAACTCTACATCCCAGTAACTACAACCCGCATATGTCAAGGTCTATTTTCCCCCAAGAGCGCCTCAAGAGCGCCCCTAGGCAAAATCAACTCTACTGCGAATGCTTACTTTGCGTAATGGGTTGAGCCGCCCCTGCCAGCACTTTCACCCTGAAAACCTAAAATGGATGTTTTGTATGTGTACCAACAGTAAAGACTTTAACCTATGGAAAGTGCACGTAAATACTGTTTTTTTTAAAGTATCTGATAAATTACAAAATACTAATTTAAACTCAGAAATATCTTTCTTTAAAACAGGTGAAACAGCATACAATCAAACGTGTAACAGGGGATCAGTGAATGACAAAACACCAAACTTAGAAACGGCTTCCTTTCAAACATATGAAGCGGCGTATGATTTTTAACATGACAGAAAAGGAATGTTAGTCTGGTGCCTGAATTGAAGGGTAATAATAATGCCGATTATCATCTACTACTCTTGTAAGTAAACAAGGTACAGTAAGGCTTCTTTACAGGTAAACAAAAAAAATATATAAACATCACTTCTGGAGATTCTTTGTTTTAGTTGCATTTCTAATTTTCAGAAGTGCTGCTGTTTTAAATCAATTTTAGGAAAGACTTGGCATGATACAGTAGGAATCCAGTCAAAGTTTGAGAAGTATGATTCACACTAATTGAAGATTGTGAACATATAATACACATTTGCAGCTTTCTCTGAAGCAGCCATGTCTGTGTTTCTGGTTTGCCTAGAGCAGGCCTGGGCAAACTTGGGCCCTCCAGGTGTTTTGGACTCCAACTCCCACCATTCCTAACAGCCTCAGGCCCTTCCTTTTCCCCCTCAGCCGCTTTAGTGGGAGTTGGGAGTCAAAATCACTTGGAGGGCCCAAGTTTACCCATGCCTGGCCTATAGACTGTCTACTTAAAGTTAATCTGAAAGAAATGCATCTTACTGGGAGTCACGTGAACTCGGATGGCCAGATATAAAATAAATATATTCAAGTATAGACCTCTTCATTGAACATAAATCATGAAAGTAGTTTAGAACAGGGCTTCTTAAAGTGTGGGTCGCAACCCCAAATCGGGTCTCCTTTGCTCAAGGTTGAGTCGTGAAAAAGTTGGCAACAGTAAAACCTTTCTGAATGCCACCTAGTGGCTGTTTTAGATATTAACACAAGTCTGTTGTGCAGCATTTACAGTGGACTCTGCAGAAGATGCTTCAGCTGTACTTCATAAAAAGGGAAATTGGCCTGTTTTGCAAGCCTTGCAAATGTATTGTCGAAGGCTTTCATGGCCGGAATCACTGGGTTGCTGTAGGTTTTTATTTCCGAGCTATATAGCCATGTTCTAGAGGCATTCTCTCCTGACATTTCGCCTGCATCTATGACAAGCTTCCTCAGAGGTTGTGAGAGCTTCAGACCCCTTCCTTTTCCCCCTCGGCCGAAAAGGAAAGGGCCTGAGGCTGTCACAACCTCTGAGGATGCTGGCCATAGATGCAGGCAAAACGTCAGGAGAGAATGCCTCTATAACATAGCCATATAGCCCCAAAAAAGCCTACAACAACCAAGTCTTGCAAATGCTGATTTGTTGTCAGTAAATGTTTTATTTTTATACCCATTTTATATACGTACATACCCAGGGTCAAGTAAAAATGCCTCAGGCCAAAAGTGGAAAAGTTTAAGAAGCCCTGGTTTAGAATACAACGTTTGAGTGCAAGTAGTTAATGTTTCCAGTGGAAAAGCATACATCTCTCTGCTGACAATAAAACCCCCGAACTAAATTAAAGAGAAGTAGGGAAGAGCCCAAAACAACTCTTCAAAACAGTACTGATAAAACTGAAATTTGCTTTATTAGCTTTATCAGTGACCATATTATACGAGGTGCATCTCACTCTCCTATAAAACTCAATTTAAAATATACTGGTCTTCGCAAATGACATTTGTTTTCATGATATGCAGAGAAATGGAAATCAGTATCAGCACTTTTTAACGATATGCTATTACAGCATTTAGATATGTTTTAAAATAAACATACATTATAATTTCTATAATACATTAAAATATTGCACATGGCAATTTCAAAATATGTAGTTTCTTCCTATGTATATGGATCAATTAAAACAAAATTCAGGTCCAGGAACCATTGAGAAAGCATGTCAGACATTTTGAAATATGAAGCAAATCTGAACAAATATCCTAAATGTGGGAATTTCTTGCAAAAATCTTTTTTTAATCAAGCAGCAACCTTGTTCTTAAAAGTCTCAATTAAAATATTCCCATACTAACAGCACAGCGATATTATTTTTTTAAGTGCATCCAAATTAGGGGGTTGCTTTACCCTCTAATAATGAATGTGTAGCAAAGAGATGAGCCATCTAGGAGATATGGGTTGAAAGGACTCCTCTTTCAGGGAGGCCTTTGAGATTCCTCTGAAGTGCAAAATGGACCCTGCACAAAGCAATTCCAAAAAGAATATTAAAAATAATAATAAAACATAAAACATCGTCATTACAAAACTGACAAATCAAAAATGATGATGAAAAATTAGCATACACGGAAATGATAAATAAATAGTAAAATACAATACAGTTGGGTTTTGTTCACTGAACAATCTTGAATACTTGAGATAACTTACTCCGAACCATGATTATACAGCATCCAGTTGGTTATTTGTGCTTAGTTACCGTTTCCTATCGCCAGTGATGCTTCTTAACTCTTGCGTACATCTTTTTAAAAGACCGGACAATTAAAAGTTGTGTTTCGTTTTGAAATCTTATATTTCTCTTGCCTAACAATTATTGTTGTACATTTAAAAGAACACGGTACACAGCAGCACTTTGATATGCCTTAATATGATGCTAACTAACGAACAGCTATATCGTACCATAGAATAAGCCCAAAGACTTGTTTGATACTTCATCATTTATGCCACATTGACATAAGTCAGAAAGCTGTTTGACAGATTATCTGCTCCTTGGTTGTGATGTATTATGGATGTCTACTGTGCAAGACCCCTTGAAATGACTGGATTTTCCCCTAGAGTAGGCCTACTCTTATGGAGCTCCTCATTTTAATGGGCTTTGGATTGTGTCCTATATCGCCAGTTTACGTTATACCTTCCAGTCTATAATATATAAAGACTAGCTGTACTCGGCCATGCGTTGCTGTGGCCCTCAAAAAACAGAGGATTTGCAGACATGAAGCAATCTGGGCTAGGGAACCCCTTCCACCAAAGGTTTCCTGCTGGCTGCAGTCAGGCTTGATTTACAATCCTCTGGTCTTGGAGGGAGAGTTGCCTGGTAGCCACAAGGGCCTCATGGAGCCACTATGGTGGCTCCAGCTGCTGCCAGGCTTGCCCAGGTCTTCTTCCTTCCTTCTTTCCCTCTTTTCTTTCCTTTCCTCAATCCCTCCCCTCCCCAAAAGAAAAAGGACTCTGCCTTCCTGCATGGAAAGTGACTCCATGGTGAGGCTTCCCTTCCCTCACAATGGTTGGTGCTTCATTCTTCTTGCGCAATGGGGAGAGGGGCTTTTGCGCATGCTCTGTAAGGCATTTTTCTTTTGGGGGAGTTTTTAAGGTTTTTCCCCTTTCATTTTTTACATTTTTTTTGTTTGAAAGACATAAATCGGATTAGAATGTGTTTTGCTGCCAAATTTGGTGTCAATTCATCCAGTTGTTTTTGAGTTCTGTTAATTCCACAAACGAACATTATATTTTTATTTATATATTTGATATCCCGAGATACTTCTAGTCTTCACTAATTTTACATTGGCTCGTTACGCATCTTACATTACCTCCTATGTCCTTTTGGTTCCTTGCCTATTGGTGGAATACATACGACTCAATTACAGTGAAATGTGATATAAAGAGCTAAAATGACCTCTCACACTTTTTTTTTTTTGCTTCTCTATGGAAAGGAGAATGAGAAATGCATTATGGACTTGAGTGCACACATCACATTGGACGCCTCTGGGTGCATCTTTTCCACCAAGTGTATATGCCGCAGGGATCTGCTAATGGCTTCTTCAAAGGGCCACTTCAAACATAATGGAGGTGCACGCTTTGAATATGGAACGGGTGAAGTGACCCTCCGCCTTGTTGCTTTGGGAAAACCATTACTCGAGGATGATAATGGCGGCTTCTTTTTGCCCACCAATTATAGAATACCCCCCTTGTTATTTGTCCAATTTTGATCCACGAAGGAAGGAGTGTGCATGCTGTTTTATTAGTCAAAGACGGTCTATTCAGCTCTGGATTTAAATATAAAACAGCACATAAGGGAGAAGATCTGGACTGGGAAAGATCTGACTGTTAAAATGGTACATAGGCCTCAGCATGACAAGAATGAATTTGTACAAACGTATATGCTTCCATCAGCCATCAGCTGTGACAGTTATGCAGCATTCCAGCTTTCTATAACGCATTTTTAGGGTATCTACAATATTTTTGAAGCCCTCTCCCCCTATTTCCCTATCCCACCCCATCCTCATGGCTTTTCTGTGTTCCTTTCTGGAAAGTACGGGCAGCAAACTCATGATCAATAGCGAACTGTATCTGTGATTCAGACACGCGTGATGAATCCTAGACCCAAACTTGCTGGGATCTGGATGGTTTCTAATGCAAGGGACGAAGGGTTGAATGGGAAAGTAACGGGGAAAATATGCTTCGCATCCATCAGCAGTTGAGGAGAGTCTTTCCGGTCTCTCATACGCAGCTGCAAAGATAAGAATACGTCCATGAGTATTTTATGTTTAAACAGACGGATGCAATTGTTTTCCATCCACGGCTGTGAAATAGTTTTACCTGTATCGTCCGGATGAAGGACACAGACACTCTTTCTTCAAACTCATTAACTGGAGTATACAAGTTCAAAACTTTAACAATCTGTAAAGGAAGACAAGACACATTTTATTTCCGCTGCTGATTAATAGGCCCTTCCTATTGACTCCGGCAATACCGTAAACAACATTTTTCAGACGTGATCTGCTTTGCTGATGCCATCTTCATGACCTCTTTCTTTCACTACTGGAAATTTACAGTTCTTTGAGTACTGCACAATTTATACAGTTAATAGTAACGTCAAGAACATGTGTTCAAGAGTCTATTACACCCACTCCAAGTCTCTGTTTTTAATAAAACCAAGGGTAGGCAACTTTCAGAAGTCTAAGAACTGCCGTTATGTGGCGGCAAAAAAAGCCAGTGGTATTTTGGCTTGCATCAATAGGAGCCTAGTGTCTAGATCCAGGGAAGTCATGCTACCCCTCTATTCTGCCTTGGTTTGACCACACCTGGAATATTGTGTCCAATTCTGGGCACCACAATTGAAGAGAGATGTTGACAAGCTGGAATGTGGCCAGAGGAGTGCAGCTAAAATGATCCAGGGTCTGGAGGACAAGCCCTATGAGGAGCGGCTTAAAGAGCTGGGCATGTTTAGCCTGAAGAAGAGAAGGCTGAGAGGAGACATGATAAGGGCCAGGTATTAATATGTGAGAGGAAGTCACAGGGAGGAGGGAGCAAGCTTGTCTTCTGCTGCCCTGGAGACTAGGACACAATGGAGGAATGGCTTCAAACTACAAGAAAGGAGATTCCATCTGAACATGAGGAAGAACTTCCTAACCGTGAGAGCCGTTCAGCAGTGGAACTCTCTGCCCCGGAGTGTGGTGGAGGCTCCTCCTTTGGAAGCTTTTAAACAGGCTGGATGGCCATCTGTCAGGGGTGCTTTGAATGCAATATTCCTGCTTCTTGGCAGAATTGGGTTGGACTGGATGGCCCACGAGGTCTCTTCCAACTCTTTGATTCTAACTAGAATTGGGCCCGAATCACTGTTAACTAAAAGATTTGTAGTTCTCAGAAGGCTATTTTCATGTAATTGCCGAAAACAAGAAAGGGTAAGAGAGAGACGAAAAGACCAGTGAAATGAGAGACAATATTTTCGGAAAGAGTTAAGTCCACAAAACACCTGAGGCAGAGGGATCTGTGGCGTCTTTTTCTCTCCCCGACAGAAGAAACCTACCCATTTTTTTCTCCCAGTGGCACTAGGATAACGTGGCCACTGAAAGTTCCTCTTGGTGCATGATGGGAGTTGAAGTTTTTCTATGTGTGTGTCCCTCAGCCAGTAAAAAGCCTGGTGGTGTCCATGCTCCGATTGGCTGAGTATGGACACAACCATCGACTACAATTCCCAGAACCCTCTCTTGTGGTTTGTCTTGTTTTTAAAAATGTTATGGTTAAAACTTAAAATAATTCTAAAAAAGCAGGATATTGCTGAATTGTTTTGAAACTTGGCAAACCTGCAGTTGTAAATGGGGTCTGGAACTGAGACGGGTTCTATGCAGATATGACTTTAAAAGACTGAGGATTGAGCTTTTATAGTTTCCCATTGTAGCCAAAGTGCTGAATCTCTGCCAAATGAAACAGAAAACGCCTCTCCCCTTTTGGGTAACTTTCTGGTAAACGAAATGAGGGGTCAGATGAAAACAGACCTGAAAACAGTATGCCTTTTGGCCCAAATGCACATGACTACCAAAAACTAAAAATCCCAGCCTCAGGATTTCACAGTTCTGCCCCCTTTGACAAATTTCATCATCATTGTTAAGAAAAACCACAAAACACCTGTAAACTTTATTAGGTTGTGAAGGAGAGCCTTTTTTCAAAACCTCCCCACTCACATAGCTTAGAATGTCCTCAAATGAGGCATAACTACTTAGCATCACCTACTAAGCCACATTAGATTAGAAAGTTTGCTCTCGTTTCACAATGAGAATTTTATATTTGATAATTCTGATGCTTAAATACAACAAAATGTTATTCTTGTGGAGGGTTGTTTTGGCCAGGAAAGGAGATTGCACTGTCCCAATATGCCAGTTTTGAAAGCAGAACTCAATACTGTTATCGAAGGCTTTCATGGCCGAAATCACTGGGCTGCTGTGAGTTTTCTGGGATGTATGGCCATGTTCCAGAAGCATTCTCTCCTGATGTTTCACCCACATCTATGGTAAGCATATGGCAGTAAATAAAGAACAACACTCAGAAAACAGGGGAATTCCAGACAACAAACAATCAGGGTCGGTTAACACCTCCCAACAAATGACTCCCCTGACAAGAAGCAGCCAGGCTTTGAAACTGCAAGGCTATTCAATGCTAATCAAGGTGATCAATGGCAGCATTCACACATGCCACAAGCAGACCAGTGATCTTTCTCCCATCCTGGATATTATTTCAGAGATATATAAACCCCACTTGCCTAGTTTCCAACAAACCTCACAATTTCTGAGGATGCCTGACATAGATGTGGGCGAAATGTCAGGAGAGAATGCTTCTGGAACATGGCCATACAGCCCGGAAAACTCACAGCAACCCAGAACTGAATGCTGCTATCTTTTTTGTGAATGACATAATTCAAGAGCATGTCCAAACCAGCACATAGCTAAAGCATATGTATATGGTTTCAATTAAGGAAGTGTAGGTTACCTGTGCAGTAGTTAAGGCATTGCACATGCAGCAAATGGCCTCTGCATCTTCATCCGTCTTCTTTTTCACCTGCAACAGCTGCGCTGCCTGGATAAGGGGCTCCAGAGTTTCCTTAGCACCACTATTCATCAGGTTTTTGTCCCGAAGCCATTCTTCGAGCTGACTGACATTGTACCTGCAGGTTAATGTATTGAAACACATAGGCAACTATTAGGCAGATTGATTTTCAGTTGCTCTGAATGGAAAACATTTTGCTAATGATTTCTTGCCCAATGATTCCCCTTGGCAAAATGTTCTGTACATTATTTAGGAGCATGTTGTTTTAACTGCTGAGATAGCTGCTTAGTTCAGGGCAGATGTGAAGTAATTCTGCATAATTCCTTCACTTCAAGCCCAAGAGACAAACCCCTTAATCTATTGTACTTTGTTTTGCACTTTATTTGCCCTCTTGATATGTTTTTATCTTTTACCTATTCGACATCAAATGTGTCATATGGTCTGCAGTTGATGGTGGTTGGTGATGGAAGGGTTACTGTGAGTATTAGTTCTAAAGGGTTTGGAGATCTGTCAGTGGGAGTTCATGGGTGAAAGTAATTAGGGGTGGAGGTGGGCAGGAGATGGGTTGCAGCTGTGTGTGACTGGATTTAAGGAGCTAACCTTGGCACTGATCTTTTGACACTGGTATACTCTTGAGCCTTGGACTCTGTTATTGAACTCTCAGCATTTGACCACTGGACTGGACCTTTTTGACTACGAAGTTATTTTTGCTATCATTTTTGTTTATTCTGTAGCTGAGTGCTATCTTGGTGTTTTATATTTTGGTCTATTAAGTGTATGGAGAATGGGGGACGTCACCTACCTCATTGGATCTTCAAAACTATGTAAAACAAAACTTTAGGTATGCGCCTACCAGAGGCGGCCCTAGGTAATTTTCAACAGTAAGCAAACAGTATTTTGGCGCCCCCCCCCCCCAAACCAATTATTGATATATATTTTCTGTTCGTCATGGGAGTTCTGTGTGCCATATTTGGTTCAATTCCATCATTGTTGGAGTTCAGAATGCTCTTTGATTTTAGGTGAACTATACATCCCAGTAACTATAACTCGCATATGTCAAGGTCTATTTCCCCCCAAGAGCAGCTCAAGAGCGCCCCTGAGCAAAATCAACTATACTGCAAATGCTTACTTTGCGTAATGGGCCGCTCCTGGCACCTACATTATATAAAAAAATTTCTGATTCATACAATGGGTTTTCTTAAGTTTTGAAAAAGGAAGTTATGCTGCTGCACCCTGTATTTAGTCTCAAAAACCCTTATTTTTTAAGAACCACGGACATAATGCAGTTGCCCATTCCACCTTAAAACAATGATCTAATCCCGGACAAAGACGGAAACACCGCCACAGATTGACGCACCTGATCTGCATCCCTTTGCTCCAGGAGCACATGTCCTTCCGCAGGAGGAGGTTGTTGAGGGTCACAGCCCCAATGATGTAAAACATCTGCTTGACCACCTGCTTGATCAGCTCTGGATCCATCCCATGTTGACACATGATGGAGTGGAACGTGTTCTGTTGCCGAATGATAGAGTCTAGTGTGTATGTTCCTTCGTCAGCAATGCTGGAGGTTCTCTTTCGGAGGCCGGTTGGTTTTACACCCGAAACACCTTGGATGGTTTCGTGTTCCAACATCCCTGAAACTGAGTGATATCGCCACCAATTTAGTCAAGAAAACTAACCTGAGAGACCAAAACATTGATTTTAGCTAATTACAAAACAAAGAAAATGAAAATTCCCTTACCAATCATTGGCTGAAGAATATTCTCCAACACTCTTACAAGCTGCTGATAGATCTGAATGGCCAAGTCACTCAGCACTTGCCTGTATTCCGCAAGGTCAAAATTGTGCAGGCAGTGTTCATTCTGACGAGGCGTGTTGTGTTTCATAAACCCCTAAATTTGTAGAAGATGAACAGTAGTTACGTATTTCCATTAAGTAAAGGTTAAAGGTTTCCTCTGACATTAAGTCTAGTCGTGTCCAACTCGAGGGTGGTGCTCATCTCCATTTCTAAGCCAAAGAGCCAGCGTTGCCTATAGACACCTCCAAGGTCATTTGGCCAGCATGACTGCATGGAGTGCCATTACCTTCCCATAGAAGCGGTACCTATTGATCTACTCACATTTGCATGTTTTCAAACTGCTAAATTGGCAGAAGCTGGGGCTAATAGCAGGAGCTTACTCAACTCCCCGGATTTAAACCACCAACCTTTCAGTCAGCAAGTTCAGCAACTCAACAGTTTAACCCGTTGCACCATCATTATCTCATCAAAAAATGCTTAAACAATGGGCAATATGTTTTAAAGAATTGTAAATTACCTTTCAAAATTCTACGGAGATTAACACCCTGTTGGTTATCCAACACACACAAACTGCTAAATTAATTTCCTCTGACCCTAGGAAATGCTTTCCAGGCATTTTACAAACCAAAGTTGTGTTTTCATCTTAAAGGGGTAGATACTACAAGAAAGGAGATTCCATCTGAACATTAAGAACTTCCTGACTGTGGGAGCTGTTCAGCAGTGGAACTCTCTGCCCTGGAGTGTGGTGGAGGCTCCTTCTTTGGAGACTTTTAAGCAGAGGCTGGATGGGGGTGCTTTGAATGCAATTTCCTGTTTCTTGGCAGAATGGGGTTGGACTGAATGACATACGAGGTTTCTTCCAACTCTAGGATTCTATGGTTCTATGATTCTATACAGCGCAGGGCAAGAAAACCCATGCCTTGAGGACTAGATGCAAACCCCATCTTAAATTCAATTCTCTCCTGGTTTGCAAGTCCAGCCCACTTTGCCTCAAGTTCCAAGCATTTCTAACTTTCTGATGGAAAACTTCCCTTCAAACCCTGGCAAGGACAAACAGAAAAGTTATGGACCAAAACAGCAAAACTTGCCTCTTCGCCACTATACTGCTTCAAACAGTGCAAAAATCGGCACGTGTTGGACAGCCAAAAGGAAACCGCTTCAAAGTCATCACCTCTTTTCTGAAAGGAAATAGATCAAACACAATGCATGTTTTAAAAAAAACAATTTGAAGGAAACCTGATAAAAATAATTGCATTTTCTTTTGCTATAGTATTTACAAGGTAAGTTGCACTATGCAGAATTTTCACATCCTTCTTTCAAATTTTATCTTATTATTTTAATTCCACTCTACTTTACACAGCTTTAATCCCAATGCATGCTATAAATGGAGACAAAAATTGCCATTTTAATATCCAATTCTAGACATACTTCTTGTAGGGCAGTTGCACACTCACACAGAGTAGCTAGTTAACTTTTTGGTGTGTTGTTTTTGCCTTTATGTTACTTCCAACTTGTGGTAACCATAAGGTGGACCTATCAGGAGGTTTTCTGGGCAAGCATTTATTTGTCTAATGTAAATGCCACGCTTTAGGACAAAAGCTACTTGGATTTATGTTCCATTTTTACATTATGACTAAAAACAAACCAACCTTCAAAATTTTCTTGATCCCATTAATCGTAGAAGTCAGCAAGGACCTCACTTTTTGGTCATCATTAACATAGTCTGCATGGCGGACGCACATGAACAAAATATATGCAGGCAATCCTGGGATGAGGTTGACCGCAACACCACGTGGTTTCAACTCTAAAGAAGACACAAGTAAGCAGAGAGGAATTCACATAAAACATGACCTGATAGCACTTCAGCCGTCACATTAGCAGGTATTGTTTTCATCAATGGAACATAACCAATATGTGTTCAATGTCAACATGATATTTCCTCCCGCAGTTATGAATAAGGAGATATGACATGGAGCTGCTATCACAAATTCAGACCATGTCAAGTTGTTGTCTTTCTGTCGCAGCTCAGAGTAGAGTCACCTTGTTCCAAACACCAAACCACACAAAGGCTGAAGATTTTGTAGTTTACTGAAGAAAGGAAAAGTCTTAAATGCAAAACTAAGTTTCAAAAGTTCAATAGCAAATCCAAAGCACATCGATCAAACAAGATTCCATGACAGCGAGACAGAGTCCCAGGAAGCCAAGAACATTGCCCAAAAGCCAAGGCAATCCAAAGAAGTTACCAGGTTGTTCGCAGAAGTTGCACTGACAACGATTTGCCTTCAAACGCCCTGTTTAATATACTTTCCCAGCATGAACGCATTCCGTTGACCCCTCTTGTTAGCAAACCTCGCACTGCGGCGAACTGTGAATTGTAAGCGATCCTCCCTATCTAGATCTTCAGAGCTCTCAAGTCGGATAGCTCGTTAGGCACCTGAGAATCGTCAGGCTGGGAGCCATCCTCTTCCATCTGCACCTGGCTAGTTTCCCTAACATCAGAAACATCATCTGAAACATTCCTTGCCATGGGAAACTGAATCTCCTCATCATCTTCAGTTGAGCCACAACACTTTCCTCTGGCCTTAAACAAATTGGGCATAACTGTCGTAATAAAAGATGTGATTGCAAATAATCCCATATCATACATTTTGTACACAAAAACGATTCTCACCTAAAATGAGGTTCTTGATGAGTTTGGGCTCATCCTCTCTCTTGTACTCTAACATCCCCTGGAAGTCTTTTTCTTTCCTTGGAATATTCACTGGATGGATCGGCTCGTCGATGATTTGCCCAGGTGAAATGTTCTCCATCTGACCCACTGAATCAAGAGAGGACAGACACTGAGAATTTTGGCCAAGCGAGTTCATAGGGAATGGTAGCATTTTCCTAATTGGTTTTAGCCTAATGGTTGTCCATTTGGGTTTGAGAGACTCTCAATAAGAGAAGGGAAGCTTCCCTAGGCATGTTCATAAACAGATCATCAAAATGTGCGATTTAGACCTCTAGATTTTAGTAAGGCTGGAGTATTTTGATAGCTGTATTCAGACTGACTAGAACCAGTCTCAAACTTGGTAATTACCGTATATACTCGAGTATAAGCCGAGTTTTTCAGCCCTTTTGAAATTTATTATTTTACTCTATTATTATTATTATTATTAATATTATTATTATTATTACATTTGTTACTTTATTCTATTGATGGTTATTATTACATTTATTATTTTACTCTATTGATTATTATTACATTTACTATTTTACTCTATTGATTATTATTATTATTACATTTATTAATGTACTCTATTATTATTACATTTATTATTTTACTATATTGATTATTATTACCTTTATTAATTTACTCTATTGATTATTATTATTATATTTATTATTTTACTCTATTATTATAATTATTACATTTATTAATTTACTCTATTATTATTATTACATTTATTAATTTACTATATTATTGCTGTTATTACAGCTGTCCTTATCTTGGGGTTGTTATTTTACTATATTGATTATTACATTTATTATTATTTTACTCTATTATTCTTATTATACTAGCCGTACTTTGCCATGCATTGCTGTAGCCCAGGCTGTGTATATGTGTTTTGTTTGTGTGTATATATGTGTGTATATACGTGTGTATATATTTGTGTACATGTGTATATACGTGTGTGGTTTTGCACATGCGCTGTAGCGTCTTTTAGATTTTTGGATTTTAAGTCCCTTATGCTGTGTTTTTCAATGTTTTTATGAGTGATGGTCACTTGTTGGCCTGAGAGGTGTCTTGTGCACAAATTTGGTGTCAACTTGTCCAGTGTTTTTTGAGTTATGTTAATCCCACAAACATTACATTTTAATTTATATAGGTTTATTATTTTACTCTATTTATTATTATTACATGTATTATTTTATTTTTCAATTACTGTTATTATTACATTTCCATTATTTTACTCTATAATTTTATTACATTTCTCATTTTACTCTATTATTATTATTTGAAACACAACAAGATGAGTCCACAGCAGACACTCTGCTGGCTGTTGAATTGGATCACACGTCGGACACTTCCCAAGTGTCTAGGACTGTGTGTTGTATTGGTAAATAATGCGTGCAGATCCCATGGTGATTTTGTCAGTGCCAATTGTGTTTAAGTGCAGACCAAGGTCTTTAGGCACTGCACCCAGTGTGCCGATCACCACGGGACCACCTTTACTGGTTTGTGCCAGAGTCTTTGCAGTTCGATTTTTAAATCCTCATATCGTGTCAGCTTTTCCGGTTGTTTCTCTATTATTATTATTATTATTATTATTATTATTATTATTATCATCATTATTTTACTCCATTATTATTGTTATTATTACATTTTCATTATTTTACTCTATTATTCTTATTCTTATTACATTTACTATTTTACTCTCTTTATTATTATTGGAAGGATACGTAAGCACATTTACATCAAAGAAGGTTAGAATAACAGTTTAATCAGAGTTGGACAGTCTTATCTTAAATTATAGTTTTATGTGAATATTCAAAAACATTAACCCACTGATGCCTCAACTATTCTCATTTTATTGGTATCTATTTTTATTTTGAAATTTCCCAGTAGTTGCTTCATTTCCCACCCTCGGCTTATACTCGTCAATATGTTTTCCCAGGTTTTGAGGTAAAATTGGGTGCCTCGGCTTATACAGTAAACTGACAGAAAGACAGATAGACAAACAGACAGATGCCTAATGATCTCTTGACTTAATGGAAAGTAGCTGATCATTAATATGTAAGTGTTAAAACATTTTTAAAAAATAAAGCCTCAGTTAGAGGGGGGGGGTTTACAAAAAAAGCTGAGTTATAACAATATTATTCCAAGAAGATTTGCTAATTTCCTGCTGATATCACAAATTCCTTCTCCTGTACTATATCATGTAGTGATTTTTCCTCCTTACCTCACTGGCCTCCATGAAAAGGAAATGCCAGAGAAAGAAATTCGATAGCAAACCTGCAGACTCCCTTTAACATACAAACATTAAGTACAAATTTATTTCTTACTATGGAGTGAAAAGTGGAAACTGTTGGGTTCATGTCATACACAGCCAGTATTTGTTCTTACATTTTCCCAGACATGGGAGTATTTTCTTATTTCCACTTTAAAGGAGTTATTGCCTGTGTTTGAACAGTTACATGTCATTAGGACTTATTTTTTGCTCATTTAAGTACTCTAAGATGCTTATATGAGTGGAGGTCCTTTTGAAATCAGTGAGGCAGCCAAAGAACAAGAGGTCTGGGAGAGTCACAGAAGCACAATAAATAAACAAACAAACAAGATTGAGCTGTAGATCTTGCAGGAAATCTTGGAAATAAGGATTTGGATTGTTGTAGGTTTTTTCGGGCTATATGGCCATGTTCTAGAGCAGGGGTCCTCAAACTTTTTAAAAAGAGGGCCAGGTCGCAGTCCCTCAAACTATTAGAGGGCCGGATTATAATTTGAAAAAACAAACAAACCCATGAAGGTATTCCTATGCACACTGCATATGTGTAGTGCAAAAACATTTAAAAACAATACAATAATTAAAATGAAGAACAAGTTTAACAAATATAAACTTATTAGTATTTCAATGAGAAGTGTGGGCCTGCTTTTGGCTGATGAGATAGGATTGTTGTTGTTGTTGTTGTTGTGTGCTTTCAAGTTGTTTCAGACTTAGGTTGATCCTGAGCGAGGGCCGGTAAATGACCTTGGAGGGCCGTATCCGGCCCTCGGGCCTTAGTTTGAGGACCCCTGTTCTAGAGCACTGGTTCTCAACCTTTCTAATGCTGTGACCCCTAAATACGGTTCCTCGTGTTGCGTTGAGCCCCAACCATAACATTATTTTGTTGCTCCTTTATAACTGTAATTTTGCTACTGTTACAAATCGTAATGTAAATATCTGATCTGCAGGATGTGTTCATTGTTACAAATCAACATAATTAAAGCATTGTGATCAATCAGAAAAAATATGTTTGGGGGAATATGGAAAACAGATGATGGGATTTGCAGTACCTTCAACCGATTCAGCTCTGACTTCCACAGATCATTGAAACCATCACAAATTACAGAACTGGAGCAAACCTGGCACACAGAACTCCCATGTCAAATAGAAAATACTGGAGGGGGTTGGGAGAAATTGACAATGATTTAGAGATCTAGTTCACCTACATCTGGAGAGCACTGTGAACCCAAACAATGATGGATCTGGACCTCGGGCGAAGCCTCTCTTGCCTGCCTCACACCCCGCCAACCAGCAAGTGAGGAGAGCCAGGCAAGGGAGGCTTCGCGCAAGGCCAGGCCTCGAGCAGAGCCCCCATTGCCTGGCTCTCGCTCTCGCTGGCCAGCAGGGTTGCAAGCCAGGTGAGGGGGGCTCCACTCAAGGCCTGGCCTCACGCAAAGCCCCCCTCACAACCCTGGCAGCCGGCAAGCAGGGAGAGCCAGGCAAGGGAGGCTTCGCGCAAGGCCAGGCCTCAAGCGGAGCCCCCCTCGCCTGGCTGTTGACTTCGCCAACTGGCAGGCAAGGGAGGCTTCGCCCAGGCATTTTGAGCAGGTAAAGGGGGCACGGCCAAAGGAGGCAGCCTCGCGACCCCTCTAAATTGACCAAAAGACCCCCTGGGGGTCGCGACCCCCAGGTTGAGAACCGCTGTTCTAGAGGCATTCTCTCCTGATGTTTCGCCTGCATCTATGGCAAGCATCCTCAGAGGTAGTAAGGTTCATATAGCCCAAAAATACCTACAACAATCCAGTGATTCCAGCCATGAAAGTCTTCAACCATACAATCAGGATTTGCTTTTCCCAAGAAGTCTAAAGCAAGGCTCTCAGTAAGCTGACTAAAAGCAAAACGTGGTATGCCGAACAACTAGAAACTTACCTTATCTCTTGATCCTGTGTCTCTCCAGAGTACGCAATCTACCTGCATACCCACCAGGAATGCTAGTAGCACCAGTCAATCGAACATCAGATAAACCAGAGGACAACTTATTCTATCCCCCTGTCTATGCACAAAAAATATTCTACTTGTTGCCTGCATAACCCTGTGAAATTCACCTGAAATAGTCTGATCTGTGCCTAGACTTCAGAGCTATATTCAGTGTGGCAAAGGGGAAGACAACACTCAGTCCTTAGCAGCCACTCCCTACAACTGTGGAACCAAGCAAAAGGTCTCAAGGTAATCTCCAGGTAAGCAGTGATTTCCCCGCCTCTTAAGGTGTCCCTTTGGCACCCAATGCTTACTAAACACAGAAACAAGACTGGAATTGCTGTGTGTAATCTACACAAAAGGGTAAAGTTCAATAAACAGAAGGACAGTACAGTTATGAAGTAAGTAGAGAGTGGACGTTCCCATGATAATTTTAATAAGGATTGAAGTCTTCACTGCAGAGCAAATATTTTATCTGGCACATAGTTGTCTCACTGAAAAACATCTAGGAAGATTAACAAGATGGGAAGTCACTAGTTCTGTGTGTGTTGGAATTTATTAGGCACTGCTTTGCTTACAAAGAGGCCCAAGGCACGACTGTGCTCCAAAAGTGCACTATTTTAGATGTTTATGCACCGGGACTGTGGCGCAGCTGGTTGGGAGTCAGCTGCAATGTGCCAGAGTCTTTGCAGTTCGATCTTTAAATCCTCATATCGTGTCAGCTTTTCCAGTTGTTTCTCTGCAATCCTGGTGTCACCTGTGATTGCAACATCAACAATCCATACTTTGGTTTTTAACATGATTGTGAGGTCAAGAGTATTATGCTCCAAAACTCTGTCTGTCTGAATCCGTAATAATAATAATAATAATAATTATTATTATTATTATATCTGCTCAGAGCATAATAATAATAATAATAATAATAATAATAATAATAATAATTATACCTGCTCAGAGAATAATAATAATAATAATAATAATTATTATTATTATTATTATTATTATTATTATTATTAGCCTGCTCAGAGCATAAAAGCCAAGACTAGTAAACAAAGAATAGTATGAACTTCACTCTTTCTCAGCCTTAGTTTTCATGTACTGACAGAAGGGTGTGGATTATTCAACTCCCAGTATAATCCACACCCTTCTGTCAATACATGAAAACTAATAACTATTTCAGACTACTTCCATAGACATTGAAGTTTAATAGTTCTCCATTCATTATATCCAGCCATTAGCAGCTGAAGATTCATTGCCTTGGAAATGTGCATGCATCAAAAGACCCCAACTCTTATTATGACAGGTGAGAAGTAAAAACATTCTCAACCACAAATACCATACCTTCAAGTTCGTCGATCTTTTTCGCAAACACTTTGAGTTGCTTTTTCAGCTTGCGAACCGTCTTGTCCTGTTTTTCGAGCTGTTCCATCAAATCCTAGACAAAAACAAGTCAAGAGAGAGAAGGACTCAACATTTACAAGTGGGAGACGTGCAATGGACACAAAGGGACAGCAGTTAGCATTAGTGGTACAAGGGATGAACACGTCTGGAAAGGGATGCTGCCATCTAGCCAAAGTTTGAAAGCTGCACATTCCCTGGGTCGTAAGCAAGGTGTTATTGTATACGCAGCAAGGCCGGCAGAGCTCTCTTGCAGGCACATCTTAAGGATGTCAATATATCCATACCTGACTTTCTGGTGGTTTTTCCTCACAGGCCAAGGAGGTTCCACATTCACTACCAACACTGTAAGCAGCATAGCATAAACAGTGGACAAATGGGATGGCAAGTCTGTTTTATTGCATTTGTATGTTTTTAATGTTTTATAATTTGATATGTTATATTTATTACTTGTTGTTGCACTTATTGCATTTATATGTTTTGATTGTTTTATAATTTGATATGCTATATTTATTATTTGTTGTATGATGCGGAATTTAATGTTGCCATAATCTGTAAGCCGCTCTGAGTCCCCTTCGGGGTTGAGAAGAGCGGGGTATAATTACAGTAAATAATAAATAAATAAATAAATAAATGTGATTGGCTCCAATTTTGGGCAGAATCACAGAAGCAAAATAACATCTAACAGGCCCAATGTCGGTGGGTTGTTGTCGGTTTTCTGGGCTGTATGCCCATTTTCCATAAGCATTCTCTCCTGACGTTTCCCCCACATCTATGACAGGCATCCCCAGAGGTTGTGAGGTCTGTTGGAAACTAGGCAAGTGGGGTTTATATATTTGTGGGATGTCCAGGGCGAGGGAAAGAACTCATGTCTTCTTGAGGCAAGTGTGAATGCTGCAATTGATCACTTTTATTAACACTGAATAGCTTTGCAGCTTCGAGGCTTGGCTGCTTCCTGCCTGGGGGATGTTTAAACCCAGTTAAACAGATATATAAACAGTGGGTTATTGTAGGTTTTTCGGGCTATATGGCCATGTTCTAGAAGCATTCTCTCCTGATATTTCACCTGCACCTATAGCAAGCATCCTGAGAGGTTGTGAGGTCTGTTGGAAACTAGGCAAGTGGGGTTTATAGATCTGTGGAATGTCTAGGGAGGGGGAAAGAACTCTTGTCTGCTTGAGGCAAGTGTGAATGCTGCAATTGATTGTCTTTATTAACACTGAATAGCCTTCCTGCCTGGGGGGATATATAAACCCAGATAAACAGATATATAAACAGTGGGTTGCTGTACGTTTTTCGGGCTATATGGCCATGTTCTAGAAGTATTCTCTCCTGACGTTTCGCCTTCATCTATGGCAAGCATCAGATCTCACAACCTCTGAGGATGCTTGCCATAGATGCAGGTGAAATGTCAGGAGAGAATGCTTCTAGAACATGGCCATATAGCCTGAAAACTACAACAACCCAGGGATTCCAGCCATGAAAGCCTTCGACAATAGATATATAAACAGATATAGATGCAGGCGAAACGTCAGGAGAGAATGCTTCTGGAACATGGCTATACAGTCCAGAAAACTCACAACAACCCAGTGATCCGGGCCATGAAAGCCTTCAACAAGGCAAGGCCCAATGTCAATTGAGTAATAGTTGAAAGATTGAAGTCAATGTACTTAAAATATTGATTTGCATCCCTCTCTATCCCAAAACCTCCTGGTGCCAGTTTTAATGCTTCCAACGATGCATGTAATGCATGGCTGAATAATGTGTGACCCTCCAAACATTGCTAGATTGCCATTCCAATCAGCTATAGCTGTGTAATGAAGACTGATAAGAATACAGAGCAACAACATATGGTATATGTGTCTGGGTTGCCTTTGCTTTAACCTGGAAGCATGTGGAATGATCTACAACCACTAAGAGAGCCTGCATCAGTCATGCTGCAACATTCACATTAGTAACAAATTGTGTACCGATGGAAACAAACGTGCTGACACAACTGACACACAACAAACAGCCCTGGGAAAAGGAGTGATGTTAAGAAGATCTCTGAAAAAATAGATTTCCTTCAAGAGTGGACAAGGCAGCCAGCTCGCTCTTCCGTTAGAGCTCCGGAAGCAGCAAAGAAGAGAGAGGGTCTGCACTGTGTACATACAATCATCCGCTTGTAAAGTGAAATCCGGTACGACTGATACTTCGTGGGGTCATCTGCATATAACTCCTCAAAATACTGAAAAAACAGTTATGAAGTATGGGTTTTTCCATTCTTTGAAGACTGGAAATATACGTACCATTCTAAGTAGTTTGTCCAGTTGGGAAAAAGGCAAGCAAAGCTGCCTAAAGTCCAGGTACTTTTACATATTTATTTATTTATGACATTTATATGCTGCTCTTCTCACCCCGAAGGGGACTCAGAGCGGCTTACGATATATATATATATATATATATATACACACACACATACATACAATATATATTATTAGCATAGTACAATATCAGTATTATATATTACTATATTGTACTATATCATTATATTGTAATATTATTAGTAATATTACATGTAATATAAAATATATAATTAGAATATCATATTATTAGTATTATTATTATTATATTTTACCGACATATAAGCACAGTATGTCGCAGCAAACGAGATCTATATGCTGGGTATTATTATTATTATTATTATTATTATATCGCCCTTCTCACCCCGAAGGGCTTACAAGATGGATGTATATATATATATATATATATACACACACACACACACACACACACACACATACAATATATATTATTAGCATAGTACAATATCAGTATTAAATATCGGCTGTTAGGAATTGTGGGAGTTGAAGTCCAAAACACCTGGAGTGCCGAAGTTTGCCCATGCCTGACATAAACATTATCACTAATAGTTGGGATGGTGCTAAGGGAATCTCTGAGTTTTGGTTTTGTGGTTTGTAAGTTCACAGGACTTACAAACCACAAATAATTTACATTAAGTGTTTTGGTTTTTTTTTTTGCACTTTTCAGACAAAGCAGGGCAGCACTCCAAAAGAGGAAGAAAAAAATACTAGTCCAGCCCTGCCAAAGAAGTAGTAAAGCAACAGGATCTAGAATCCTGTTTGGAGGGGGCAGTTTGTTGTGGCTCAGCTGGAGCCTCGGGAAGAAGATGATGGGTTTCAGATTCCTGAACATGTTCCTGTTGTTGATACAGAAAATGTTGATACTGAAGACGAGGAGTTTTAGTTTCCCATGGCAAGGGATGTTTTGGAAGATGTTTCTGATTTTAGTGAAACTTCCCAGGTGCAGGTCGAGGAGGCGAGCTCTCAGCCTGCCGAATCTAGTCCAATGTGGGCTAGGCAAAACTATGGTGAGGTGGATCTGGAATTGGTTAAATGGACGAACCCAGAGGGTGATTCTCCTCAAAGCTTCCTCCTCTTCATCCTGGAAAGAAGTGATGAGCGGAGTGCCACAAGCAGGGTTCCCTCCTGGGCCCAGTCTTGCTCAAGATCTTCATTCATGACTTAGATGAAGGGTTAGAAGGCAGGATCATCACGTTTGCAGACGACACCAAATTGGGAGGGATAGCCAATACTCCAGAGGACAGGAGCAGGATTCAAAAGATCTTGACAGATTAGAGAGATGATTGGCCAAAACTAACAAAATGAAGTTCAACAGGTGACAAATGCAAGATACTCCACTTTGGCAGAAAAAATGAAATGCAAAGATACAGAATGGGGGACAATGCCTGGCTCGAGAGCAGTACGTGTGAAAAAGATCTTGGAGTCCTCGTGGACAACAAGTTAAACATGAGCCAAAAATGTGATGTGGCGGCAAAAAAAGCCAATGGGATTTTGGCCTGCATCAATAGGAGCATAGTGTCTAGATCCAGGGAAGTCATGCTCCCCATGCTCTATTCTGCCTTGGTTAGACCACATCTGGAATATTGTGTCCAATTCTGGGCACCACAATTCAAGAGAGATATTGACAAGCTGGAATGTGTCCAGAGGAGGGAGACTAAAATGATCAAGGGTCTGGAGAACAAGCCCTATGAGGAGCGGCTTAGGGAACTGGGCATGTTTAGCCTGAAGAAGAGAAGGCTGAGAGGAGATATGATAGCCATGTATAAATATGTGAGAGGGAAGCCACAGGGAGGAGGGAGCAAGCTTGTTTTCTGCTTCCTTGGAGACTAGGACGTGAGAACAATGGCTTCAAACTACAAGAGAGGAGATTCCATCTGAACATGAGGAAGAACTTCCTGACTGTGAGAGCCGTTCAGCAGTGGAACTCTCTGCCCCGGAGTGTGGTGGAGGCTCCTTCTTTGGAAGCTTTTAAACAGAGGCGGGATGGCCATCTGGCAGGGGTGATTTGAATGCAATATTCCTGCTTCTTGGCAGAATGGGGTTGGACTGGATGGCCCAGAGGTCTCTTCCAACTCTAGGATTCTATGGTTCTCAGGCAGCCGATTCTCAGGGTAATGAGCTATCCGACCTTGAAGGCTCTGCAGATTTAGATAGGGAGGATCGCTTGCAATTCGGGGTTTGCCACAGTGCGAGGCTTGCTAACAAGAGAGTGGTTAGAGGTCAAAGGAATGCGTTCATGCTGGGAAAGTATATTAAACGAGCTGTTTGAAGTCAACTCTTTGTCAATGCAACTTCTGCAAACACCCTGGTAACTTCTCTGGATTGCCTTGGCTTTTGGGCAATGTTTTTGGCTCCTTGGGACTCTGTCATGCTGCCATGGATTCTTGTTTGATCAATGCTTTTGGATTATGCTTCATGTTGTTTGCCATTGAACTTTGGAAACTCTGCCTTTGCATTTAAGACTCTGTTTTTGCCATTGAACTTTGGAAACTTTACTTTTATGTTAAAGACTTTGCTTTTTCTTCAATAAACTACAAAACCTTCAGCTTTGGTGTGGTGTTCTGAGCAAGGTGAATCTATCCTGAGTTGCGACAGTAAACTGAAACTCCCCGTCTTCAGTATCAACATTGTCTGTATCAACAACAGGAACATGTTCAGGAATCTGAAACCCATCATCTTCTTCCTGAGGCTCCAGTTGAGCCACAACACAGTTTTCCCTGTAAAAACCTACTACACATATGGCTTTATCGGCCACATTTCTGTGCCCATCCCACGGTGCCTATAGAACTGCAACTCTCTCTGTGTCACTAGTGACAATATTAAGATCTGGCGTACCAGGTTTTCATTTGTCAGGCGAGTGATCTCGTGCTGTAAGCTGGCTTCTATCCGGGCCTCTGGGGGCAACTGGAGATTCTGTGCCAGCAACTGTTGCTGGCGGTTGTTTTCCTCCTTCAGGCTTTGGATCTCTCCACGGAGGGCTTCCAGTTCATTGTCATGGCTCCTTTTCTGAGTCTGTAGCTGAGACTCCAAAAGCCTAAGACAAACCAACAAAAGAGAGGGTATTTTGGAAGGGGGGGGAGAGGAAAGTGGGGGAAAGAAAACAGTATTTCAGGATGCATATTGCATAACTGTGCAGAGGTTCTGTATGTAATAGAATATATTGTATATAAATACAATATTTATAATATTATAATGTAATACAATATAATAATAATAATAATATATTATAATTATATATTTTACAATATATTATAAGCCATTAGAACCAAGCCAGAATTGAAAAGCTGACAACAGATCCCAAATGTAGACTCTGCAAGGAAGCAGATGAAACAATAGATCCCACCCTCAGCTGCTGCAAGAAGATCGCGCAGACAGACTCCAAGCAGAGACACAACACTGTTGCTCAGGTGAGTAATTGGAACTTGTGCTACAAACACCATCTGCCTGCGACAAAGAACTGGTGGGATCACAAGCCGGAAAAAGTTAACAGAGAATAAACATGTGTAGTTACTCTGGGACTTCCGGATTCAGACAAAGTTCTGGAGCATAATACTCCTGACCTCACAATCATGTTAAAAAACAAAGTATGGATCGTTGATATCGCAATCCCAGGTGACAGCAGGATTGAAGAGAAACAACTGGCAACACGATGTGAGGATTTAAAGATTGAACTGCAAAGACTCTGGCACAAGCCAGTCAAGGTGGTCCCAGTGGTGATCGGCACACTGGGTGCAACATCGACGATCCATACTTTGTTTTTTAACACAATTGAGAGGTCAGGAGTATTATTATTATTATTGTTATTATTATTATTATTACGCTAAGGTCAAGAACCTTCAACCAATTTGGCTGTGTTGATGATTCAATGAATGTCCTTGGGAATGTGAACAAATGATTTATTCTGCAGGTACGAATTGCAGGAGAGAAGGAATGGTAAAAGTATTGCAATGACATGATAATGCTACATATAATACATATGCACACATACCTCATCTAAGATGCTCCAGAAGACACACTTTCAGGTTTTAAGCACACCTCAGAAGACAGGCTAACAGCTACATTGACCAAGCACATGAAGGTAAATGAGGCCATTGACCTTTCGTTTCTCTGCTGCTTGTTCTAGATGCTTTTGCTTCTTGAACGCAGAAGCGAAAGCTCTTGAGCCACCTTTCCCTTTGCGCTTTCTGCAACTACTCCCAACATTAGCTTCAAGCAGATTTACAAAAGCCATATGTTATATGTTAAGTGTTTTGTTAGTGGCACAAGAAAAGGAAACACACTGGTTGAAACAGTGTTCAACACAAAGTAACTCACGTAATACATTTTAACAAAACTACTACAGAAACAAATGGGTGTTTGGGGACAATATGTCAAAATATGGATGTATTCAATAGTAACGGATGCGCATATCTCTTACAAATATCAGCAGCAGGTCTGAGAAAGAGTCTGAAGGAGCTTAAATGGAGTCTAAAGGCATTTTCTTCATCTGGTGCCTCTTAATAATTAATTACTGTATATACACCTTTTTTTAGGCTGAAAAAGCCTCCCTTAGCTTATACTCAACTCAAGGTTATTTATTATTTTACTCTGTTATTATTAATATTTTTATTATATTTATTTTATTTTACACTATTTATTATTATTATTACATTTACATTATTTTGCTCTATTATTATTGTTATTACATTTTTATTTTATTCTATTTTTATTATTACATTTATTATTTTACTCTATTATTATTTTTACATTTGTTATTTTATTCTATTTATTGTTATTACATTTACATTATTTTACTCTATTATTATTACATTTATTATTTTACTCTATTATGACTGTTAATATTACATTTACATTATTTTACTCTACTATTATTACATTAATTTACTTTATTTGTATTATTACATTTATTTTACTCTTTTATTATTGTTATTATTACATTTCCATTATCTTACTCTTATCATTATTGCTATTTTTACATTTATTTTATTCTATTTATTATTTTACTGAATTATTATTACATTTATTATTTTACTCTATTATGACTGTTATTATTACATTTACATTATTTTACTCTATTATTATTATTACATTTATTATTTTACTGTATTATTATTACATTATTATTTTACTCTATTACGACTGTTATTATTACATTTCCATTATTTAACTCTATTATAACTGTTATTACTACATTTACATTATTTTACTCTATTATTATTATTATATTTATTGTTTTATTCTATTATTATTACATTTATTATTTTACTCTATTATTATTGGAAAAATACGTAAGCACATTTACATTGAAGAGGGTTAGAATAATGGTTTAATCAGAGTTCGACAGTCTTATCTTAAATTACAGTTAATTGTAAATATTCAAAAACATTTAACCTACTGATGCCTCAATTAATGTCATGTTATTGGTATCTATTTTTGTTTTGAAATTTATCCACTCGCGGGTTATACTTGAGTCAATACGTTTTTACATATATATATTTTTTGTGCTAAAATTAGGTGTCTCAGTTTATATTCGGATCGGCTTATACTCGAGTATATACAGTATTAGCTCTTTGACATGCTATGCATTAAACCGAAAAGGTGACTAACACACAGAATGCTATTAATTGCTCACTTGCATCTGAATAACTGTTTTGCATTGGGATATATAAATAGCACGTGTTATAATTTTGGGTAATAAACAGCTTGGTCTGCAACCATTTTAATTGGTGCAAGGATTCAGGTGGAGAAAGTTGGGAAATAACTTATAGTATCACAGAAGGTAGGTAGGTGCATAGGCTGTGAAAACAGAGTTGCAGAAACTGCAACCTTCGCATAGTTTTTCGATCTCTCCTGGCAAATGCAAAAGCCAATCTCACTGTACCTGACTCACAACATATTACCCTATACGGCTCCGGCCCAGCTTACTTATCTGAACGTATCTCTCTCTACGTTCCACCTCGTAATTTAAGATCTACTGAGGAGGCCCTGCTCTCGGTCTGCATCTGGTGGGGACGAGAGACAGGGCCTTCTCGGTGGTGGCCCCCCGTTTGTGGAATTCGCTCCCTAGCGAGATTAGATTGGCGTTCTCCCTCCTAAAGTCGTGGTTTTGGAGCCAGACTTTTGGCTAGTGGTCATGGCAGCACTTTAGACACTCAACCCAGACCATAGGACTGTTATGACAATTGGAAATGGCTATGTGACTTTGTGATTAGGCGACTATGTTACCATATGAGTATGTGATTTTAATTAATGTTACTGTTTTAATTTGCTATGTATTTGATTTTACATTGTTGTATTGCTATTGTGGCATTGAATTGTTGCCTGTGTTAGCTGCCCTGAGTCCCCCCTCGGGGGTGAGAAGGGCGGGGTAGAAATGGTCTAAATAAATAAATAAGTAAATAAATATTAATGACTTTGAGCTTCTGACATGGAAATTGTTGATGTCCATGGCCATGAGCCCCAATATTTATTGCACCCTGACTATGGATGCTAGTAGTCTCGTGCTTGCTAGACCTAGATTTATTTTTTCATGTCAGGAGCAACGTGAGAAACTACAAGTCGCTTCTGGTGTAAGAAAATTGCCCGTCTGCCAGGACGTTGCCCGAGAAGGCCCGGATTTTTTTACCATCCTGTGGGAGGCTTCTCCAATGTCCTCGCATGGGAAGTTGGAGCTGACAGATAGGAGCTCACCTCACTCCCCGGATTCAACCGCCGACCTTTTGGTCAGCAGTTCAGCCGGCCAGGGGCTCCCGCTAGACCTGGATGATTTCCTTCTTTTCTTTTAACCATTTATTTATCTGATAGGAGATTTTGGAGCTACTGCCAGAAACATTATGGCCAAAGCATGTTAGTAACATGAGAGAGAAGCTGCAACTTAAAACAAAAACACCCATCCTGCGAAGTCTTGTAACCTGTTGGCTTGTTTTAGCCCTTCATAAACCAGCCACAGCTCTCCATCCTCATTCAGCATATGATAGTCTTGAAGAGACGATCTTCCAAGCAAAATATTTTTTTCCCAAAATGCAAAAACACAAAAAAACAGGATAAATGATGACGGTGGTGCAATGATTAATGAGATGGACAACGAAAGCCAAGGCAGTGTTGTTTTCAAAAATTACATACGATTTTCACAACTATGAATTCTACAAATGTGATTTTAGGCACATTTATATTCAATGGATATCAAGTGAAGAGAGAGGGGACCAGGAAGACAGTTCCATCTTGTCTCCTGTGCTTTACTAATAATATAATATAATATAATATAATATAATATAATATAATATAATATAATATAATAATGTACATACATATAATATTTATAGTATTATAATGTAATACAATTTAATACTACTAATAATAATACTATATTATAATTCAGAAGACAGTTCCATCTTATCTCCTGTGCTTTACTAATAATACAATATAATATATTGTACATACATATATTTATAATATTATAGTGTAATACAATGTAATAATAATAATAATAATAATAATAATACTATATTATAATTCAGAAGACAGTTCCATCTTGTCTCCTGTACTTTACTAATAATATAATATAATATAATATATTGTACATACATATAATATTTATCATGTATTGTCGAAGGCTTTCATGGCTGGAATCACTAGGTTCTTGTGGGTTTTTTCGGGCTATATCAAATCAAAGAGCACTACCTCTGAGGATGCTTGCCATAGATGCAGGCGAAACGTCAGGAGAAATGCCTCTAGAACATGGCCCTATAGCCCGAAAAAACCCACAAGAACCTAATATTTTAATAAATCAAATGCAGAAATAATCCTTAGAATGTGCTCTTTTTTTTTTCATATCTGTGGTTTAAGGAATCTGTGGTTGGGAATGTGTCCCTTGCAGATGTTGTTGTTCATTCGTTCAGTCGTCTCCGACTCTTCGTGACCCCATGGACCAGCCCACGCCAGAGCTCCCTGTCGGCCGTCACCACCCCCAGCTCCTTCAAGGTCAGTCCAGTCACTTCAAGGATGCCATCCATCCATCTTGCCCTTGTTCGGCCCCTCTTCCTTTTGCCTTCCACTTTCCCCAGCATAATTGTCTTCTCTAGGCTTTCCTGTCTCCTCATGATGTGGCCAAAGTACTTCAACTTTGTCTCTAGTATCCTTCCCTCCAATGAGCAGTCGGGCTTTATTTCCTGGAGGATGGACTGGTTGGATCTTCTCGCAGTCCAAGGCACTCTCAGAACTTTCCTCCACCACCACAGTTCAAAAGCATCTATCTTCCTTCGCTCAGCCTTCCCTAAGGTCCAGCTCTCACATCCGTAGGTTACTACAGGGAATACCATGGCTTTGACTAGGCGGATCTTTGTTGCCAGTCTGATGTCTCTACTCTTCACTCTTTTATCGAGACTGGACATTGCTCTCCTCCCAAGAAGTAAGCGTCTTCTGATTTCCTGGCTACAGTCTGCATCTGCAGTAATCTTTGCACCTAGAAATACAAAGTCTGTCACGGCCTCCACATTTTCTCCCTCTATTTTCCAGTTGTCAATCATTCTTGTTGCCATAATCTTGGTTTTTTTTTGACGTTTAGCTGCAACCCGGCTTTTGCGCTTTCTTCTTTCACCTTGATTAGAAGGCTCCTCAGCTCCTCCTCGCTTTCGGCCATCAGAGTGGTGTCATCTGCATATCTGAGGTTGTTAATGTTTCTTCCAGCAATTTTCACCCCAGCCTTGCATTCATCAAGCCCTGCACATCGCATGATGTGTTCTGCATACAAGTTAAAAAGGTTGGGTGAGAGTATGCAGCCTTGCCGTACGCCTTTCCCAATCTTGAACCAGTCTGTTGTTCCGTGGTCAGTTCTGACTGTTGCTACTTGGTCCTTGTACAGATTCCTCAGGAGAGAGACAAGGTGGCTTGGTATCCCCATCCCACCAAGAACTTGCCACAATTTATTATGATCCACACAGTCAAAGGCTTTAGAATAGTCAATGAAACAGAAATAGATGTTTTTCTGAAACTCCCTGCCTTTCTCCATTATCCAGCGGATATTGGCAATCTGGTCTCCCGTTCCTCTGCCTTTTCTAAACCCAGCTTGAACATCTGGCAACTCTCGCTCCATGTATTGCTGGAGTCTTCCTTGCAGGATCTTGAGCATTACCTTACTGGCATGAGAAATAAGGGCCACTGTACGGAAGTTTGAGCAATCTTTCGCATTTCCCTTTTTTGGTATGGGGATATAAGTTGATTTTTTCCAGTCTGATGGCCATTCTTGTGTTTTCCATATTTGCTGGCAAATGGCATGCATCACCTTGACAGCATCATCTTTTAAGATTTTAAACAGTTCAGCTGGGATCCCGTCATCTCCTGCTGCCTTGTTGTTAGCTATGCTTCTTAAGGCCCATTCAACCTCACTCCTCAGGATGTCTGGTTCTAATTCATTCACCACACCGTCAAAACTATCCTCAATATTATTATCCTTCCTATACAGATCTTCTGTATAGTCTCGCCACCTTCTCTTGATCTCTTCAGCTTCTGTTAGGTCCTTGCCATCTTTGTTTCTTATCATACCAATTTTTGCCTGAAATTTACCTCCAATGTTTCTAATTTTCTGGAAGAGGTCTCTTGTCCTTCCTATTCTGTTGTCTTCGTTCAACTTCCATGCATTGCTTATTTAAAAATAGTTCCTTATCTCTTCTGGCTAACCTCTGGAATTGCGCATTTAACTGGGCATATCTCCCCTTATCCCTGTTTCCTTTTGCTTTCCTCCTTTCTTGGGCTACTTCCAGTGCCTCAGCAGACAACCATTTTGCCTTCTTGGTTTTCTTTTTCTTTGGGACGTACTTTGTTGCCGCCTCCTGAACAATGTCGCGGACTTCTGTCCATAGTTCTTCTGGGACTCTGTTTACTAAATCTAGTCCTTCAAATCTGTTCTTCACTTCCACGGTATATTCGCTAGGAATGTTAGTGAGATCATATCTAACTGGTCTGTGTATTTTCCCTGATCTCTTTAGTTTTATTCTAAATTGGGCAATAAGAAGTTCGTGATCTGAGCTACAGTCAGCCCCAGGTCTTGTTTTCACCGACTGGATGGATGTCCGCCACAATTTAATACTACTACTACTAATAATAATAATACTATATTATAATTCAGAAGACAGTTCCAGATTGTCTCCTGTGCTTTACATATAATATAATATAATATAATATACATACATATAATATTTATATTATAATGTAATACAATTTAATACTACTACTACTAATAATAATAATACTATATTATAATTCAGAAGACAGTTCCAGATTGTCTCCTGTGCTTTACATATAATATAATATAATATAATATACATACATATAATATTTATAATATTATAATGTAATACAATTTAATACTACTCCTAATAATACTGTATTATTATTTATTTTTGTCGTGTCAGGAGCAAGTCGCTTCTGGTGTGAGAGAATTGGCCGTCTGCAAGGACTTTGCCCAGGGGACGCCTGTATTACAATATAATAATACAATATTATAATTATATATTTTATATTACATGTAATATTACTAATAATATTACAATATAATTGTGTAGTACAATATAGTAATATATGGTGCTGATGTTGTGCTATGTTAATAATATAATATATTGTATGTATATATATATCTTGTAAGCTGCTCTGAGTCCCCTTCAGGGTGAGAAGGGCAGCATACAAATACCATAAAAATAAATAAATAAATAAATAAACATGATCTTATAATTATATAATTTATATTACATGCAATATTACGAGTAATATTGCAATATAATGGTATAGTACAATATAATAATATATAATACTGATATTGTACTATGCTAATAATATAGAATATTGTATGTATATATATTTTGTAAGCCGCTCTTAGTCCCCTTCAGGGTGTAAATAAATAAATAATAAATAAATTATAACTTATTCTGTTGGGATCCTGTAGGAATGAGCAGATAAATAAGGATCCAAAGCTGTCAGACTCTGGAATCAAACTCACACCAATAAAACGCTGGAGACAAGTGGTTTCTTCCTTCTTTCCAGAATCCTACAAAGACAGTTCTAAAGTTTTCCCACTCAAACCTCCTGAATGTATCAGCTTTAACTCCTACCCGCCCCCTAGTGGCCACACACTTTGCCCACAGTCTGTTAAATGCAGTTTCAATTGCAGTGTAGATGTCTTATCTTCCCCAAGTGTACCCAGCCTCCCTCCCCTCCACCTCCCTTGTTTAGGGCAGAGAACTGAAGCAGCCAGTGTCAGGCTGATACAGTGATCCTGACACAAGGCTACTGTTTCTTACAACCAGTTCCAATGACAAAATATATGGAGTTGCATTCTGCTCTGAATACGGGCTACTTATGTTCCTATATTGTATACAGCAATTATGATTTCCACTTACATGTTTTGCTCTTATTGTTCATAATCTGTCAATTTATGTGGTTTTTCAGCTTCCACTTTATGAAAACCAATGACACAAAAACTGAATCCCATGTATAAGGCATCTGAGTGCAAGTACCTGTTTGTCTCCTTCAAACCAATGTACGCCTGAGCGATCTCTCCTTTGTCCTTCATCTTCTGTACATCCTCCAAAAGGATGGTGGAGTCAGTCATCGTGTTCTGAGAAGAATTTACAGAATATAAATTTGATTAGGTCAGCCTAGTCATTGCTTGAACACATTAAACGTAAGTACATGTTGGGCTCAATGCAAATTCTATCATTTGATGCATCATCAACAGCAGGAAGATGGCTTTGAAAGGCAGCACATCACAGGAGCGGTCTTCATAGACCTGTCAGCAGCTTATGATACTGTGAACCACCGCCTCCTCCTGAGAAAAATGTATAATCTCACAAAGGACGACCACCTCACCCGCCTCATAGGAAACCTGCTACAAAACAGGAGCTTTTTTGTAGAGTTCCAGGGCCAGAGAAGCAGATGGCGGAAACAGAGGAACGGCCTGCCTCAGGGGAGCGTGCTTGCTCCATCCATGTTCAACATTTACACAAATGACCAGCCATGGCCAGAAGGGACTTCATCTATGCTGACGATCGTGCCATTACTGCTCAAGCAGGGAGCTTTGAGATGGTTGAACAGAAGCTCTCCGAAGCTCTAGGTGCTCTTACGGCCTATTCCAGGGAAAACCAGCTGATCTCTAATCAATCTAAAACACAGACATGTTCTTTTCATCTCAAGAACAGACAAGCATCCCAAGCTCTGAGGATCACCTCGGAAGGAATCCCACTGGAGCATTGCAGCGCACCCAAATCCCTGGGAGTCACTCTGGACCGTGCTCTGACTTACAAGAAGCACTGCCTGAACATTAAGCAAAAAGTGGGTGCTAGAAACAATATCATACGAAAGCTGACTGGCACAACCTGGGGATCACAACCAGACACAGTGAAGACATCTGCCCTTGCACTATGCTACTCTGCTGCTGAGTATGCATGCCCAGTGTGGAACACATCTCACCACACTAAAACAGTGGATGTGGCTCTTAATGAGACATGCTACATTATCACGGGGTGTCTGCGCCCTACACCACTGGAGAAATTACACTGTTTAGCCGGTATTGCACCACCTGACATCCGCCAGGAAGTAGCAGCCAATAGTGAAAGGACCAAGGAAGTGACATCTCCAGCTCATCCCCTGTTTGGGTATCAGCCAGCATGTCAACGTCGTAAATCAAGAAATAGTTTTCTAAGATCTACAGAGACACTCGCTGGAACACCTCAGCAAGCGAGAGTCCAAAAGTGGCAGGCTCAAACCCAGAACCTCAATCCGTGGCTGATACCAAATGAGAGACTCCCCCCCTGGGCACAAAGAAAATGGCGACTTGGAAGGCGCTGAACAGACTGTGCACTGGCACCACGAGATGCAGAGCCAACCTTCAGAAATGGGGCCACAAAGTGGAGTCCACGACATGCGAGTGTGGAGAAGAGCAAACCACAGACCACCTGCTGCAATGCAACCTGAGCCCTGCCACATGCACAATGGAGGACCTTCTTGCGGCAACACCAGAGGCACTCCAAGTGGCCAGCTACTGGTCAAAGGACATTTAATCAACTACCAAGCTTGCAAACTTTGTGTTTTGTCTGTTTGTTAAAAATTTGTTAAAAATGTAATACAATTGTCTGGTTGCTACTGACACGATAAATAAATAAACAGCAGGAAATGGACTTACCTTGTCATCCTGGCAATCCATTTGCAAGCAGAAAAACAAAGACAAAAACCTGGTCAGTTGTATTGCCCAGTTAGGAAAACAGACCTCTTCTCTACCTTTTCATGAACTCTTGCAGGTACCACAGAGTTCAAATGTCGCCATGAAACTTAGGTCCCTTCCACACAGCCTTATAACCCAGAATATCAAGGCGGAAAATCCCACAATATCTGCTTTGAACTGGCTTATCTGAGTCCACACTGTCATATATCCCAGTTCAGAGCAGATAACGTGGGATTTTATTCAACCGTGTGGAAGGGGCCTTAGGTTCCTTCTGCACTGCCATATAAAATCCAAATTATCTGCTTTGAACTGGATTATATGATAGTGTAGACTCATAGCTCAACTTTAAGATCGTCTGGGGTGGCCCTGCTATCGGTCCCGCCTTTGTCACAAGTACGTCTGGCGGGGACGAGAGACAAGGCCTTCTCAGCAGTGGCCCCTCGGCTATGGAACACCCTCCCCAGGTATATCAGATCAGCTTCTTCCCTTCTAACATTTCATTAAAAAAAACTCAAGACATAGCTTTTCGTGCAAGCGTTTGCAAATACAGAGCAGCTGTCATAGGAAAATTGAACAACTATACGATGGAACTGGACAATGTTTTGAATAAGGATTCATTAATGACTTATGTTTCATTGCTGTTGTTATGATTTTACTTATGTTTGTGTTTTCAAATTGTTCTTGGACTTTTGTGGCACTGAATTTTGCCATGAAAACCACCTTGAGTCGTCTGAGGGCTGAGAGGAGCGGTATACAAATACAGTAAATAAATAAATAAATAAATAAATGAAATCCAGTTTAGAGCAGATAATGTGGATTAACTGCTTTGATAATATGCATTATATGGCACTGTAGAAGTATCTTAGACTATGAGATTAAGAAAGGAATTTTACAAGGGATTTAGTTTGACATCATAATTACATTGCCTGTTGTAATTTAGCAATACTGTCCTGACAGGTGTAATGAATCCCTTACCTAAGCTGGCTGCCTGAAGCCTAAAGGGAATGGGCCTGGCGAAGCCACGGCATCCATTTTAGGAAAGGGAGACAGGGAGAAGCCGTCTTAGTTTAGGTTTGCCTTGAGGGGGCATGCTGTAGTCTTGGAGGGAAAGTTAGAAGGCTAGGATTGGTTAGGAAGATGGGGGCGAAGCCTAAGTGATCTAAAGGAAAAAAGTGTCTTTTAAACTGAGGTTTGAGTTCCCAGTTTGCAAGTTGGAATACTGTGTGGAACAGAACCCTGTTAGTGGTCTGTTCATTCCCTAAGGAAGGCTAGTTCAGGGTTTTGGCTAGATTCCTAAGGGGGATTTTTGGGAGTTACTTTCAGAGATTCATTTCAGAAAATTTCCTGAAGTAATTTTCTGTGTTGGACCTTTTAAGACTTGTAACCCAGAAGTTTTTAAGATCTTTACTCAAACGCAACCATAAGCTTTTTGTGCCAGTATTTTACTGAAACCATTAAGCATTTGTACCTGAATAATTCAAGTTTGTTTAATAAAACGTTCTTGTTATTTTTATCAACTTATACCAGCCTCAGTGTGAATACCTTTGTGATCAAAGCATTATTCAAGTTAGCTTCTAAAAGCCTCTAAGAAAACAATAGTAACACAGAGTGTGTTACTGAACAATCTCTCAATAATTCCTCAGCCTGTTTATTATTAATATGGTGGCAGTGGAAATCTTTTGAAGAATCATTTTTAAGTCCCTCAGTTCCAGCGGTTCCCAGTTCCTAGCTTTTAAATATACAGTTGATTTCAACAACCATATTCCCTCTATATTTTGGTGAGCTTGTAGTAGTGGTGGTGTTATTGTTATAATTTGGTTGAGCAGCATTGGGATTATTTTTCTATATTTCCCCGTCTGATAAATCAATTTAAAATGTTACTACTACTACTCAGCTGTGCTTCGCTATAACAGGCTTCAAAGTCCCATGGCATTCCCAGGAATTACTTCATCAATTAATAAAACAGCTGATTAAGTCCTGCATATCATTAGCACAGTCTGAATTTCTAAAAACCTGAAATAGGAGTGTGGTATCATACATTAGCCAAACGAGGATTTCATGTTCTGTTTGTGTTTTTCCTCATTTGTGGCCTTTTTCTTCTTAGCACTATTAAAGCTGATCCAAAGCCCGGGAGAGTCACTTTTTGAATTACAAACCCCATAGTCCCCCAGCCACAATGGCCAGGTTGGACATAACTTTTCCAAGCTGTAGGCTAGTACAGAAGGGAGGATGAACTACACACTCGAGATAAGTACTCTCATGCTTCCTAGCAGAATGAAAAACAGTATGGTCAATCCACTTTTCCATTTTGTTCCTTACCTTGGGTGGAATTGCCTCCTTCTGGCTCATCAGCTGAGACCTCAGGATGAGGACTTCCTCCTTGCGCACCTCTAGCTCCTCGCTGACAGAGGTCATCTGATCCAAGAGGACTCTGTACCCCGGGGCACCAGGGGCCGTTGCATCTGGAGAGCTCTTTTCCAGCAGGGCTTTCCTCAGCTCATTCAACTCATTCTTCAGTTTCTTATTTTCTGATTCAAGCTCTTGACGCTGCAAGACAATCATTGTTTTAGTCCACCTTAAACATACTGGGGAAGTTGCTGGGGAACAATACTGGGGAACAATAACAACAATAATACATTTTATTTATTATCTGCCTCTCCTCATGGCTCAAGGCAGGGTGCAACAAATTCAAAAACCAATGAACATAAAATATTATAAGTTATTAATTTACATAGGTAAACACACACACACATATAAAGGTAAAGGTTTCCCCTGACATTAAGGGCCCTTCCACACAGCCCTATATCCCATAATAATAATAATAATAATAATAATAATAATAATAATAATAATAATAATAATAATCCTCAGCTGCTGCAAGAAGACCATGCAGACAGACTACAAGCATAGGCACAACACCATTGCCTCGATGATTCATTGCAACTTGTGCCATGAATACCATCTGCCTGCGACAAAGAACTGGTGGGATCACAAGCAGGAAAAAGTTACAGAGAATGAACACGCCAAACTCTGAGACTTCCGGATTCAGAGAGAGTTTTGGAGCACAACACTCCTGACCTCACGATCGTGTTAAAAAACAAAGTATGGATTGTCGATGTTGCAATCCCAGGTGACAGGAGGATTGAAGAGAAACAACTGGAAAAGATGACACGATATGAGGATTTAAAGATCGAACTGCAAACTCTGGCACAAGCCAGTCAAGGTGGTCCCAGTGGTGATCGGCACACTGGGTGCAGTGCCTCAAGACCTTGGCCTGCACTTAAACACAATCGGCACTGACAAAATTACCAACTGCCAGCTGCAAAAGGCCGCTTTACTGAGATCTGCATGCATTATTCGCCGATACATCACACAGTCCTAGACACTTGGGAAGTGCTCGACGTGTGATCCAATTCAACAGCCAGCAGAGTGTCTGCTGTGGACTCATCTTGTTGTGTTGCAAATAATAATAATAATCATCGTCACCATCATCATCATCATCATCATCATCATCATCATCTTTATTTATATACTGCTCTATCTTGCCGAGGGAACTCAGAGCGGTTCCCAGGTAACATCACAAAAACAAACAAAGTAAAAAAAACAACATAACCATAAGGTTAACAAACAAAATATAAGCATAAAAATTGTCGCCATAACACACATATATTAAAAGTAACCCTGCCTTTTCAAGACAATTAAACATTTACAAGGCCGGGCCAAGATTTGTGCAAGCCCAAAAATTCTAGAGGGCCCAGGAATTAAGTGCAACAATAATATTAGGAATGGGTCTGTGGCTGTTCATTCCGGGGCCAATTAGAGGAAATGATCTGGGTAATTGGTAGAAAGAATAAGGCCGTATTCGACAATGTGTAAGACTGAGTTTGAACTGGTCATTTTCAAAGGCTTGTTGAAACCACCAGGTCCTAATTGGAGGGGAGGGATGGGGCCTGTCTTATTTCCCTTGGAAGGACGTTCCAGAGGCGGGGAGCCACCACCGAGAAGGCCCTCTCTTTCATCCCCACAAACCGTGCTTGTGACAAAGGTGGGACCAAGAGGAGGGCCTCACCGGAAGATCTTAGAGTTCGTGCCGGTTCATAGAAGGAGATGTGATTGCGGAGATAGGCGGGGCCCAAACCGAATATCAAGGCACAAAATCCCACAATATCTGCTTTGAACTGGGTTATCTGAGATCACACTCAAATAATGTGGGATTTTCTGCCTTGATATCCTGGAATAAAGGGCTGTGTGAAAGAGTCCTCAGTCTAGTAGTGTCCGACTTTGGAGGGTGGAGCTCACCTCCATTTCTAAGTCGAAGAGAGGTGTTGTCCATAGGCACCTCCAAGGTAATGTGGTCTGCATGACTGCATGGAGCGCCGTTATCTCCCCACCAAAACACTACCTATTGATCTACTCACATTTGCATGTTTTCAAACTGCTAAATTGGCAGAACCTGGGGCTAATAGAATGAGCTCACCCTGCTTCTTGGATTTAAATTGTCCACCTTCTGGTCAGCAATTTCAGCAGCTCTGCGGTTTAACCCACTGCGCCACCAGGGGCCCATACACACACACTCAAACATATATGAAAACTATTTCCCCTGCTTTCATCTCGTAATTTAATCCCATTTTATCAAACTTATTATTTAATCAAGTTTTATTGTGATTTAATTTAATTTAGTTAACTATTAAGAGGAGTTATAGGATTGTGATTATGTCCCCTTGTTGGTGTATTTTTTTGTCTTTTATTATTGATATGGTCAGTGGACTAATCAATAAACAGATCTATTTATCACCATATGAAAACATACCAAACACAGCTATAATGCTGACATATAGTGGCAATAGAATATAAACTGAAACTCATGATAGAAAGTAGGCCTGCTGAAAGAGATAGGTCTTCAATCGTATTTTTCATTCCGACCCCTCCTTTAACTATCAGAGCTTTTCCGGCAGGTCATTCCACAGTCTTGGGGTGGCCGATAAAAAGGTATTTGTACAGAAGTTGATTGTAAATGATATGATTATAACTGTATTTGTGTTTGCACTGGTTGCCCTAATGCTGGAGCGGCCTAGCTGTGAGGAGTGTGTTACCATGGAAACGATGCTGTAGAGAAGTGGGAGGAGCTTAGAGAGGAGAGTTTTGAAAAGCGACAGTTAAAGTCAGTTGGGGGTTTAGGCTCAGAGGAATGAAGAGTCAGGTTTTAGGCTCAGGGAAATGAAGTGTTGAGAGAGAGAGTGGGAAGTAGAGAAGCAGTGATTGTGAATAGTCAGAGGTTTCTTCAGTTTAGGAAGGCTGAAGGGGAAACCTTATTAGTTTCATTAGTTAGAGAAGACTAATAGAAGCTTGTTTAGATCACTAGTTAAAAGTGAACTAGAGATCTGAGGTTTGATCACGGAAGGATCAAACAGGAAGACTATTCACCTCAGGAACCACTGTTTAATAAAGTGCTTCACCACAGCAAAAGTTATTGATAAGTTGTAACATCAGAAGTCTGTACTGTATCGCAACCAAGTTATATGTAACGTTCTCCAAGTATCTTCCAAGTTTATCACCAAACTGCAACCATACGCTTTGTTTCAAAATAAACTTGTTCTCTTTGATTTTAAGACTGCCTCATCTCCATTAATTCGGCGTTCAGTGTGCCCAATCTCCCAAAATTACCTCACATCATAAATTGGTGGCACCATTAAGAATAATAAATAATAAATCGTAACTTTTCTCTCTCCTGAAACCCCTTTTCTTTGAAGTGGGGCAGCCCCTTTGCAGTATTAATATATATATATCCCTAATATTTTGTGTTGTGACTTAGTTATGAGAAACTTTTTCACTCTTAAAATACATATATACATAGAATTACCTTAAGTGATTCATATTCCAGCTCAGCGCCTCTCATTTGAGGCCTTTCCTCCGCCTAGGTAAACAGAAAAACCAAAAAGGGATTTATCAGTTAGCTGGTACTACTGTAAAGGTGCAAAACAGAAGATATTTGTAGGAAGATTTTTTTTTACATTTATAAAAAACTTTTGCAACAGAACTATTTTTTTTTTCAAGCCAGGAGTGACTTGAGAAACTGCAAGTTGCTTCTGGTGTGAGAGAATGGGCTGTCTGCAAGGATGTTACCCAGGGAACGCCCAGATGTTTTACCACCCCGTGGGAGGCTTCTCTCATGTCCCCAAACTAAAAAATGGAGCTGACAGATGGGAGCTCGCCCCACTCCCCGGTTTCAAACCGCTGACCTTTCAGTTAGCAGTCCTGCCGGCACAAAGGTTTAAGCAACAATGTCAACCAGCAACGCAACCTGCAGTTCATGTTCACCAGCTTTGCAAACTCTCTAACTTTGCCCACATTTATCCAGAAATATCTGGATTTAATAAGGTTTACATAAATTTATCCAACTTTAAATGCAAGTGGCTTGATGGTCCCAAGATCAAAATTGTGACTTTGGCGGTTGTGTTTACAGTTTAGCAAAATTAAAATAACAGGAAAGGGTGGGATGAATGCAGCATTTAAAGTCTAAAAGAAATGTGCAAAGGAGCAAAGAAGTCATTCAAATAGAAAGATGCTTTATGGCAGGGTTCCTCAAACTACGACCCGCTGAGGGTGTTTATCCGGCCCGCCGAGGAGGAGGAGGAGGAGGCCTCCCTCTCAGTGGAATCAAGTCTTGGCTCTGCTCCTTTCGTTCTTTTCGTCTTCCCCTCATGCCTTCTCTCTCTTTCACCATATATAATTATATACTGTTTTTTTTTTGTGATTTATTGATTTATTTTGAACATTTTTGCCCCGCCCTTCTCAACCCCTAGAGCAGTGATTTTCTCCCTGGATTTTCTCCTCTTTTTGGCTTCTCTCCAAAAGCGCATCGGGAAAGCCAGGTTTTGAGATCCCTCTTGAAAATTTCTAAGGTGGGGGCCTTCCTAATCTCACTGGGCAATGAGTTCCAGAGTCAGAGGGGGGGGGCACAGAGGAGAAGGCTCTCTCCCTTGTGCTTACAAGATGAGCCTGTGATAAAGGCAAGGGCAAAAGGAGAGCCTCCCCCAAGGATCTAAGAGCTCGGTCTGGTTAAATCTGGCTTTCCTGCAGTACTCCAATTCCCATCCTCTACTGGGAAAGATATACCTTTGGCTCCACCCATCACTGGAATGTAAATTTCCCTGAAACTAAATTCAATGCTTCAGGCTGAAAGAGGGATCCGGCCTTAGCTAGTGCCCTGCACACACCTCCTCATGCCATCTATTTTGCATCTGTTTTGATTTTTGTGTAAGCCTCCCTGGACCCTATGCTAGCAGAGAGGCGACATGTAAGTAAAATAAAATAAAGCAACACAGGATGGAAAAAACAGAATTTCAACTTTCATTGTTGAAAGACAATGCCCTGTGAGGCTTTACCTGGGCCTTGGCTCGGAGAACTTGTTCTTCCTTCCTGTCCAGCTCATCCTGCATGGATTGCTTTTCCTGCTCCAGCTCCGAAACCCGTTTTTGCAGCTTGAGGAAGAGAGACATGTCCAGGGGAGCTTTCTTCTCGCTTGGTTCCTGACCCAAAAGGAAGCAGATCAGAATGGTTCTAAATTTATTTGTGTGTATATATATATATTCTGTTGTCTGCACTGCTACAAAGCAGATCTTAACAATAGGCTATAGTCTAAGATCAGAGAAAAACATCCCAAATTTTCTAGGAATGTTATTCCTGCTGATGTTGCTGGTGGGAAAACTATTGTTGTAGTCCAGCCTTGGATTGTGTCTGTACCTGATCTCACTGGGGATTCTGGGCCTGTTAGGCAGCCTGATAATGACAGTGGGGATTCTGGGCCTGCAGACCAGCAAGAGAATCATGAGATTTTAAGCCCTGAGAATGAGGGGTCTCTGTCCAAGGGAGACCACATTCCAGAAAGGCAGTTCCCTAGAGATGCAAAGTCAGAGGCAGAAATGAGCTCAGGGGAGGAAGATGCAAGGCGGGAAGATGCAACTCCAGGTGGAACAGGCTCATGAGCAGCAGTGAGATAGGATATAGATGTTTTGTCAACATAAAGTCTCTCATGAGGCGGTTTGAAGGTCAAGTTGCTTATTGGCCAATAAGCCCTTATCGGTTTTATGTCTATATTAGAGACACCAGCAGATCATTTCCTCGGTCCAGACAACGTTGATTTTGGAGTATAAAACTCTTGCCAAGTCAAGTCTTTCAGGGGATCTCTAGTTTCAGGTTTTCTTGTGTTTATGATTCTTGTGTTCATGTTTAATGTCTCAAACTCCTAAGAACTAAGGTACTTGTTTATAAAGCTATTGTCCTCCCAACCCTGCTATACGCCTGTGAGACGTGGGCTGTCTACAGACGTCACATGCAACACCTGGAACGATTCCATCAGCGCTGCTTCTGAAAAATCCTGCAAATCTCTTGGAAAGAGAAGCGGGCAAATGTCAGCGTGCTAGAAGAAGCAAAGACCACCAGCACTGAAGCGATGGTCCTCCACCATCAACTCCGCTGGACCGGCCACATTGTCCAGATGCCGGACCACCATCTCTCAAAGCAGTTGCTCTACTACGAACTCAAGAAGGGAAAACAGAATGTTGTTGGGCAGGAAAAGAGATTGAAAGATGGGCTCAAAGCCAACCTTAAAGTCTCTGACATAGACACTGAAAACTGAGAAGCCCTGGCCCTTGAGCGCTCCAGCTGGAGATCAGCTGTGACCAGAATTTGAAGAGGCACGAATGGAAGGTGAAAGAGAGAAATGTGCCAAGAGGAAAGTGCATCAAGCCAACCCCAACTGGGACCACCTTCCACCTGGAAATTGATGCCCTCACAGCGGGGGAAGATGCAGGTCAAGAATAGGGCTCCACAGTCACCTACGGACCCACCCCCAGGACACTGATCTTGGAAGACTATCCTACTCGGACTACGAGGGATCTCCTAAGTAAGTAAGTCCTAAGAACTGTTCCCATATTGCCTGTTTGGATTTATCCTGCTTTTGTATTCCTGGTTTTTGATGCATTTTATGTATTCTGAACTTTGAGGATTATTCCTGTTTTTTTGGACACTGGTTTTGCTGGATTGCTTTTTATATATATTCTTCAATAAACTGCTTTGCTATTTTATCTTGGACGGGATTGTGTGTTAAGTACAGATGTGATTCCCAGCCTTGGGGTGCAACAACTATCACTGCAGTTTGGGAAATCCAAACTACAGCCATGAAAACAGAAGCAATGCAAGGACACCATAAAGATACTAGCCGAAGCTAGACCCAATGAGCATGTTAACGTCTAGAGTTAGCAATAACGAGCAAAAGGACTGAGGAGCACGTTACTTGATTAGGAGTGCGGCTTATTGGCATTTGAACTGTTCCAAAGAGGATTTGGAAACAAATTATTTTATAACAAATCATTTGGCTAAATGAATCTAACCTAAAAGCATCTAACCTAAAGCCTTAAAGGCGGAAAACTATGAACTAACTAAAAGTTTCAAGTCTATAATCAATCATACCTTTCTTTCTTACTTGTTTAGAAGGGAAAGGGAGGGAAGAAATGGTGGTCCGTGGTTAGATTCAAAGAAAAATCATATGCACAGTAAATTTGTACAGGATACATACACAATAATGAGATATTTACTGCTTCATCACACTAGAGCAGGGGTCCCCAAACTATGGCGCGGGGCCAGATAAGGCCCTCCAAGGTCATTTAGCCAACCCTCGCTCAGAGTCAACCTAACTCTGAAACGACCTGAACGCACACAACAACACCCTTCCTAGGGATATTAGATCGGCCCCCACCCTCCTAACATCTCTATATATAAAAAGGTAGGAAAGAAAGAATAAAGAGAG